CTTCAATGTTTGCTGACGAATCGGGAGCAGACGAATACGTGCTCTTCAAGCTGAACAGCAGCTTTCAACTTTTCCGGTTGACTTGTGTTCGGCGGTCGCAGATAACTCTGACTACAATGGCGCTTTTCTCTCCAATCTCCACTTGAACAGCATGAATCTGTCGCTTTCTCTTCCGGATGAACCCTCATCCGGCGACTCGACGATGCCACAGGCCTTCAGAAATACTGGAGGATACACAGATGCAGGCTTCCGCGGCGACGATTTCGCCGGAATACAATTTGACGATTATCAAGCATTAACGCTGCCATCTGTTCCAGGGCTCTTTCCCGGGAATGCGTGTAGCAAAACACTGCTTCGGATGCCTGAGTGTGCATATTCAGATGAGCACTATCGGACGTTGCCAGATGATGACTCCTTGCTTTCTACGCAAGAGCTCCTGGACGAGATATCATTCTTCACTGACGAAGCATATGAATGCTATCCTATTCTGCACCCGCACAGCCTGATCAAAAATATCGAGGAAGGAAAACATCTTTCCGACGCCGAGTGTCGTACACTTGCCCTTTCAGTCGTCACGCTGAACGAAGCTCGCAGGTTTCGCCGCATTCCACAACATGGTACTGCCCGTCTGGACTCTCTTCTTGGGACGGTCCATAACCTCAGGCAGAAATCCAATCACGATTATCTTGCCGACCCACCGTCGCTCGATACGGTAACGGTGTCTTGGTGTCTTTTCATGGCGCACATCTTTCGAGGAAATATCTACAAAGCCTTCGCATATTTGACCGAAGCAATAGGCTTTCTAGACCTTATCGACTACCCATCAGACCATCTCGAGTCTATCAGGCTACGACGAATCGAATATATGCTGTACATCACGGAGTCGGGCGCCGTATCTCTCTATGGCCCTCCCAGAAAGCGACGGATTGCAAGACTACCATCGAATTTTCCTGGTCGCGTTGATGATCTAATATTTCCAGATCACTCAGAAAGCGAGGTGTGCAGCCTAGCACAAAACATGGCACAGGAAAAGATGCAGATTTCGGACAGACGGGCAGTGGAGCTGCTGCTTTTGATGGCCCGCCTTCACGCTGCCTCTGGACCGGACGAAGTGGCAAACGTCACAGTCGACGAAAAACTGATGGCGACAATGGCAGGATCGCTCGGAAAGCATGCGAGGACGGGCACTGCCATATCGGAACAGACCGCAGATGTGGCGATAACTCGCCAGTGGAAGCTTGGCTGGCACTGGTGGACAACGCTGGCAGACTTCAGTCCTTTGACCGAGCATAGGACTAGTCTCAATTACACCACGCAGATCCTGGGAATGACCGCGCTCCAATGGGGCAAAACTCTCTCACCGCCACTACTGAGACTTATTGGCATAGGCAAGATCGTTGCGTTAGCGGAGGCAATCCTTCACATTTCATCGACGATTGGGGAGCGTACAAGCTGCACAAATATCATCGGAGACCTGATCCGGATGGTATCCGAAGTCGACTACGAACGGAACTATGCTGTCCAGCTCTATTTTTTGCACCCCTCTGTTTTGGCAGTCCCGCCGATGATCAACTTGAATGACAGTCACAGTACTGAGGTCCATCGTGATCCAGAGGTTGGATAGACCCAGCTAATTCAATCTGGAACCATCATACAACAGAAGAACCAGACTGCGGAGAATCTCTCCTCCGCTTTAAGTGACATGAGCGCTTATCAACAGCCGACCACGGCTGCTCCAGCTTCGATTCTTGTTGTATCAAATAGCTGTATGCGGTCAACACCCCCCCCCCCCCCCCCCCCCCTCCTCTCCCGGGAAGCAATTGTGGCTCAAAAGTCGGTATTCAATGCATAATTCAACACCCTCACTTGATTCATCATGTATTGCTTTGATGCGTGTGCTCTGGGGAAAAGGTCAATCTCGTGTGGGACCCCAGGAATGATTTCCAACTGCGTATCTATTCCGTGATTTCGGAGGTGAAGAGCGTATGCGATACCCTCATCTCGCAAGGTGTCGCAGCCGGCGACGGTGATGTGGACGGAGGGATGGTGCTCTGGGGGAACGGTATGGAGCACAGAGGCATAAGCATGCGAAGGTTGAGAGGCAACGTAGGTTTCTACTTACGAACTTTTAGTGGCGGAATGGTTTACCTCTTACTTGTATTTCTGTGAACTCACCCCAAAGCTTTTCCATGGTAGCAAGAGGCAGTTGTGCCTCTTTGCTTGTGCCAAATCTGATGGCCGAAGCTCCATTCGAACTGACGATTGGCGGATAAAGTGCCGGATGGCATGTCACAGGGACGACCAGGTTAACATGCTTGACGCGAGGGGTGGTGTTTTCCAGGCAATCTTTTAACGCCACGGCGGCGGCGAGGTTCCCTCCAGACGAGAAACCCCAGATTGCGATGCGCCTAAGGTCGATCTTGTATGTGGCTGCGTTGTCCACAGTCCAGTTGAGCGCGGTGTAACAGTCGTTCATTGGGTGTGGGAAAGGGTGCTCGGGAGCGAGTCGGTAATCGACGTTGACAACCACTGCGCGCAATTCGGATGCGAAGAACTTGGCCAATTCTCCTGCCACGTTAGAGATGCTGGGTTATTCATGGCGTATATCTCACTCACCTTCGTCCATCTCGGGCAGGCCATGAGTCCACCCACCTCCATGATACATGATCAATGCAGGCCTCAGGCCAGAACGAATGGACGTATTGTGCGCCGCTGGATCGTATACACGGACTGAAAATCCCATGTCGTTCTGGTATATGACTGGGATACTTCGGATTGAAAGCGAAGCCGTTGGAAGGATGCGCTTCGACACGGGCTTCCTGGGCAGACGCAGATGGACATCTCGAACTTTTTGACGCATTTCGTTATGGTCAGCAATATCACGAGGCGCGCCCATGTCTGCCAGTGGGCTTTTCATAAACTCCTGTCCGTGATTAATATCGAGATCACAACCCATGGTCCTGTCGGCTCTCACCTCGAGGAAGTTTGCATCTCTGTGCTCAATGATGCTAGGATGTGTATCTCCAAAATGTGAACCTTGCTCACTCTCTGAGCCCTCCTCACCGCGATTCATAAAGAGCTCTGTTGACTTTAACTGCGATAACGTGGAGGCAGGCATCTTGCGGACACAAAAATATGCAGCGAAGGAGTTTTAAACCTGGATTTTCACAGTCAAAATATCGAAATGCGCCTATGGAAATACGAGCACCGTCGACTGGGAACCTTTGAACAACTACCAAGGGTGTCTACGTATGCTGGGACACCCCAAAAGCAGTCGGCACCATTCCTTTCAGAGCGACTTTGTAGCTTCCCGAGCCTTCTGTCATCGGAGCACAATTTCGGATACATGCTGGCCACGCTAATAATGCATCGGAGGCATTCTCGGTAGCAAACCCCGGTAGGAATCGTCTCTTCACCAATCAGAGATGCCAGCCGCAAATTCGATCCACATGGAGCCCTCGCATCCTTGCTTAACTTTCTCTGAGATCGTCGCCTCAAGCGTAGCATTGCTTTGATGGAATACAGCTTGGAATCTGCAAACAGGCCGACATATTCCTCAGCCGCTGCAATAGCGGGAACCTTTTACAATTCTTTCTGGTCATTGGTAACCTGTGAACTCTACTATAATGGATGCGCAATTTTCCAAGCTCACAAGGCACATGCCAGAAAACCGAACAGCCGAGGCCCTTTCCACAATATATGCAAGAAGGCAATTCTGTGTCACGGGTACATTCTCAGTTCCCAGACCGACTATCTTCGAAGTGCCTCTGCTTCATATAGGATCCCCATGTAGTGTAATGGGAGAAGTTTGAAGTGGTGGATAACTTTATGATTGGCTGGGGCGTCGACACTAGACTAGGGTTCTTCTTATATAGTCCTCGGGGGCTATCATTCATAGAAGGAATCAATCAATCAAGTTACGAACAGAGAGAACTTCCTTTGGTTGAGTGTGCGTGCTGTGAAGAGGCTATCCCACCGCCGTACGAGTTGATGCCCATGGCTAGTAGCCTCGCCCCAGTTCAGTAGGTAGGTACAGCCAAATCTGAAGGAGGACTTACCATCAAAGCTAAATGTTGGCAACCTCCCTCGCTAGGGCGTCACCTTTGAGGCTTTTCAGAAGATATGAGCACTGGACATGCATCTCCTTATCATCAAACTAAAGCAACTTCTCCTGATAGTAGATATCCCCTTGTCAACCTTGGTCGAAAATGCTTCCTAGTGCTTGTGTCAGATCCGGTGGCCGTATTCATTCTGGTGCTCCATGAGTTTTTCGACAAAGAATAACATCTCTGTTCTCGGCAAGCCCTATCATCATCTCTCCCGGAGTAGTTCCAACAAGCTGTGACGGTTGGGTGGTCAATGACACCTAGCATGCTAATCGCCTCGAAACTGCTGTATACTACAATAGTATTCTCTTCTTCTCGTCAAGGTGGAACTAATGTTAGATCTGGAACGTCCATGTGGCCGAAAACAATATAGGACTAGTAGAAACAGGTGGGAAGGGACGGAAAAGGTACACCGTGGAATGATGTTGAAAACGAGATACAACGTGTTAGACTCAAAGATGAAGTTTTGAAGTATCATAATGCACAGCACTAGGACTTGATGGCAGACCGTGAGAGCTGTACGGTGAGCCCAATATGTGAGAGAGAGAGGAAGTGGAAGGAGGGTATAGTATATCGTCACCTTGGTACTCACAACTGCGGGATCCAAACAACTGCCAGGTGGAAAGGTAGCTTTTCTTTGCTTTTGTTTTTGGATTGAAGTATTGTTATCGAATTATATTCAAGAGAATTCCAATCTATACGTGTGGAGAGAATTTCGGCTAGTTTTTCAAAAAAACCAAACCCCTGTACATGGGCACATGAGGCTTCATTGACCGCCCAATCACCAGGATCAGCGATAGTTTGGGGGGTGAATACCCAGGGGGCTCGTCACAACCTTCCACTATGCGTCACAAACAGTCTCTTTCGATAGAGGCAACATGGCCAAACACCTAGCTAGCACTCAGATTGGCTTGCATCCTTTTCCGATGCCTCAGGTGCAACAACCCTTGGCCCTACGGTCTTGTAGTCTGCACCCTTTTGTTAGTATCTTCATATCATGACTTTCTTCTTTCGAGTAACTCACTTTTCCACTTGCGTTTTGGCAGCTTCGAAGCATACAACTCATCGATTTCCGCGAGAGTTCTATTAGCCGTCTCAGGACTGCAAGAACTAGTCAGATTTCAATATCTTGAAAGACAAACGATGTCGTGCTTACTAGTAAAAGTAGGTCCAGATGATCGTTAGTAACATGAAACCGGCAAAGATCAAGAATGCCTTCGCCCCCAAGTTACCCCTAGATCATATCAACGGACTGTCTCAAATGTTATTGTGTCAACGGTGGGGAAACTCACGCGTTCGGACTTGTTATTTGCGGCGCAGCGAACGAGCTTATGACCGCAGTGCTGTAAGCCCATATCAGCGACCAACTCTGTGCCGGTTCACGCAGAGCCGCTGTAGGAATCTCGGTAGGGGCTAAATAGCAGCTACTATGGAGTCAACATCTCACATCAGGAATAGTAGAGGTTCTCGGCTTACAGCGATTGAAAAGAGAGTGCATCAACGAAAAAGAAGATAATACAGAGTGAGGCCAAAGCCAGACGCTGTGCATTAGTAGTTAGACCGGCACATGCTATTCCACCCAAAGCGATGTCGAGAAGAAACAGGATGGTGAAGCAGTAGAGTGCGACTGGTCGCCGACCGATTTTGTCAACCAAGGGAGGGCCAATAATGGTGCCAATTAGTTGTGCCATGTAGATAATGACTGTAATCTTAAATGGATCGGCGACTCCGGCTTGGATGAGGCTCACAGTAGAATATGTGGATACGAGGATCTGGCCACTCGATTGTGACGTACAGTAAAGTGCTCCAGAGGATAAAGTTCTTTCGAGATGTGGCGGTTTCAGGATATCCCAGACGCTTCTCGTCGCTCGTTCGTCATGTTCGGTCTTGAGAGCATCCAAGGCAGCTGTGACCTCGGCCTCCACCAATGTCATGTTTTCCGCACGTAAAGACGTCAGAACAGCTCTTGCCTCATCGATTCGCCCTTTACTGATCAGCCATATTGGGGATTCGGGGATGAAAAGAGTCAAAACGAATAACAGCGCAGGGGCAGCTGCTTGAATCCCCAGCGGAATGACATACTGGCGGTGATCGTCGATCTTTTCGGCCGCCCATACAACAACCGTAGCAAGGAGAGCGGATGCAGCAAAACCTGCAACGGTGAATCCAACGGCTCGAGCTCTGACATGAGCAGGGACGAGGTCTGATTGATATATGGTGGTGATGTTGGTCAGTATGCCCATACCAAGGTCTGACACAAAATCAGAATTCTTTCAACTGTCACGTAGAAATCGAGGTCTCACAATTCCAGAACCTCCCAAAAACAAAGGCGGCCAGATTGGGGGCAAAAAGCTGCAAAATGGAGCCAGGAATGCAGAGTATAGCGTAAGCCAGGAGAAGACTCCTCTTGCGTCCGATTCGTCTCTGAAGCGGAGTCGCTACAAACGCGCCGATAGCACCTCCGCATATGGGAAGCGCCACGAGTAAATCCAAGTTTCTCGCCTTGCATGTAAGTTAGTAATGTAACCCAAAAGCCCAGGTGATTTTTTTCCCCCTTCTTTTTCTTACAGAAAAGACGTATGCTCCATCAAATCCAGGACCTTGATATTTGGCTACGAAATGTGGAAGCGATATGAGAGGAGAGATCAAAGCTCCATCATAGCCCCAAAGACCCTCTGCAAGACCGATAATAATTACTGAACACTCATATCAGCTCATCAGTGAAGATAACAGAGATTTTGGGCTTATACTCACAATTTATGAGCACCAGCCAGTTCAACCATTTGTGATTGGGGGTCGGGCAGACCGGGGAATCAATGTTCGAATCTATGGTCTCTCGAACTTCAGCAGAAGCCTTGGTCGTCGCCATTTTGCTTTCCAGGGCCGAAGTCAAGTGTGTGCATAGTCGCTCTCGGGATTGCATCGGCCATTTGCAGATATTTATCCTCTAGCAATACCTTGGTCTGGTTGGGTTTATTCATACCAAGATTCGGATCCTAAGTATTTGAGTGGTGAAGAGGAATTCCCCCGCCGAGTTTGCCTGCCTTTAGTTAGCCTTCAATTATCCTCCCGAGCATGCCTCCGAGGATTCCTTCGAGTGCCCTTCGATCATGGTGCTAACGTTGCTCTCTGACGTCTTGTATAGAGCGCTGAATGAGGAGAATGTGAAGTGTCGGTTCTCTTCTCGGATATCTGGGAAAGGCATGAACGTATATATTAGAAACGCTGCTACGTTTAAGAAAATCCGGGAAACTAACACAGCGACTTTTGAAGAATAAAGCCGCTCATTCTCACCCCCCAAGGAAATCCGGGCCGTGCGGTCAACGGCCGCCGTCATTCGCTGCCAATCCCCAATATCATCCTTCAGTGGCGTCAATGTCAGTGTTTATCCTCCTACACCACTGCAAGCATGGAGCCGCGCTTTTCCCCCAGAGACTCAACGCCTCGCAGCACGAAGAATGAAGTCATTATTGGCGGCCTGAAAGTCTACGTCTACGGACTAGCCGAAGTGAAGCAGCAGGGTCACACCGAGCTTGCGATTCTGTATCTGGCTCATGGCCGAAATGGCACTTATCTTGATGTGGAAGACGTCGCGCATGAAATCCTTCACCAGTACCGAATAAATGGGCGAAATAAGAGGGCCGGCCTGATTGCTGTGGCTTTCAATATGAGAAATCACGGAGATCGCATCGTGCGTTAGCATCTCTTGCGCGATCTGCCTGGAGTCTAACAGGCATTCAGATTAACCACAAGGCGAATCTGACTTGGAGTGACGGTAACGATATGCATGCGTATGAACGAAACCCCACTGTCGTGCTTGCGAAGAATTCGGCGGTTAGACTGACAAATGGGCATTGAATGCAGACAAGATATGCTCTCTTCCATTGCTGGCTGCGCTCACGATCTTGAGCTCTTGATCGACTATCTTCCGCTCTATCTCCCTACTTATTTTGAAAACTTTTACAACGTCGTGTCTGGTATCTCCCTCGGCGCACATATTTCGTGGAGGATGGCGACATCGAGCGCGGCAGCACGCGGCAAAATTCAGGGTCTGGCAATCGTCGCGGGCTGTCCCAATCTTACCGCACTCTTTCTTTCGCGTCTCGGTGTCAACACCGCCGAGCTGGCAATTCCTTTGAACGAACTGTGTGGGCTTCAATATGACCAGCTCTCGGCCTGTCTGACCGAAGAACAGCGCCGGCGATGGCCACCTGCTGTGAGTGAAATACTGGGCGAGTTGGATCGAGCGACGTATGAGACTTTTCCTTGTAACAATCCTACCCTCGTTCTTCATGGTATGCTAGACCAATTGGTGCCAAACATAATCACCGAGACCTGGATCACGAAGAAAAGGGCGGAAGTGGATGCCGCCATCGAATATTTTGTGTATGCCAATGCCGGGCATACATGTACGGCGGCAATGGTCGATAGAATTGCGGAGTGGCTGACGACGTTATTTGGATGCAGCAGCGGAGGGGCAGGAATTGCCAAGTTCACAGAGGCTTAGTTGAAACAGATGTTATAGCTGGGACGACAGGTTTAACCGATCGCTGGAGGAGCCAGACCAAATACGTAGATGTACACTAAAAGTCCCAATGTTGCAGCCCAATCTAGGCCGTACGGCGCGGCACCCGAATCGAAGCTGAGCCAAAGTAAAGCTGAACCTAATTTGGTGTCCATCGAGTGTAGATCCCGAAATGGAGATCGTGGTGAGTGAGATTTGATCCAGTGGTCTCCATATTAATCTCGCACAATTCTACGTATAAGACCAGGCTTCGAAGACCAAAAACTTTTGCATGGCTTTCAATTGTCAAACTTCCTTCCTGGATGGCCTTGTTAAGCAGGCGTTGGACCGATCCTAACGCGCCGATATCGCTCCACCGTGGAAATATATACTCCTTACTCCTACATTGGGTAAAGCCTCGTCAATAACAGATAACCAATCAGGTTTCTCGTTGATAGCCTCGCGCACGCAGAGTCTCGAGAGACTCGCGTTCTATCGCGTTCGTTTGCGTTCCTGATCGACCGACTCTACGGTCTGTTATTTCATGCGCTCGGCCGACGATCGGCGACGTTCCACGCTCATTTGGTATGTACTTGTAGAAAACACATAAATAGACCCGTGCGCATTGGTCTGCATTGCCGAGATCAGAGCACTCAATTCATTCGTTCCAGGATCTAGCATCAGGACACATTACCATCCACCAGTCAGGTGCGCCTCACATACTACACGTGCGGAAATCAAACTCCTCAGAATCCTAAGTTGTTTCATTGCGGTTCGATAGGGATAGATGCACAATACGTCGATCCATATGAAGCGGGATCCCCTCGATGACTTGAGCATTTCCAACGCTTCGAATAGATTTCGATTGATTTCAATTTCCTGACCATCACGAGATAAATCTAGAGAAGTCTCCCAGTCAGATCCATTTCTTCGACTAAAACCAGGGGTGGAATCTCCCCAGATATATATGAAAGTGCCACATGGCTGCGAGCTGTGGCCGTCACGTTTTCGCTGTCATTTCGGTACAGGGTATTGTCATCGGATCGGTACCGAGTACTCAGTACAGGCTACTGTGGGGCTAGTTCGCCTTGGTAGCTAAGGCGTTAAAAACGGCACCATTCTGGCACCTATTAAGCCACCTGCGCACCCACTGTCTGAATACCAAGTTCTTGCCAAAGACAGGCATCATATCACGTTGTGGCACGTGACCTCTCTGCAGCTAATTATTTCTTGGCGGTGTAACCACCCCAATCACTCCCCACCTTCATTATTCCATCCTCCATACGAGGTCCTTTCCGCAGGAGCGGATGATTGCGGCTTCAGGCGGGATCATTTTCGAACAAAATCACCTGAGGTCCGTCTTGATTTCACTTCATGCAATTCAGGTAAGGCAAATCCCATCACAAGGCTACTACTATCCCTCATTCATCCTAAAGTACCCCTGATTGAACTGCGGAGGGTAATCTTAGATATCAGGCCATTTGATTGATGATGGCACGATAAATTCATCCAACAACCCTGCATGCTCGAGTCCTTTGTGCCCGTGTCCTGTCCAACACCACACATCAGTCTGCAATTGGGCGAGGACAATAAAACCCAAGAAAGAACCAGGCCACTCCTGTGACGGGCTCTTTATTTCCCGCACCGCCTTCGCCCGTCACCAGTGAACCTGGACGACTTTTTTAAGCCGTGAATTCTTCATCTCGAGGGCACGACGAAACGTAACTATCCATGGCTTGAAAAACAATAAAAAAAAGAAGGTTTGAACACCCCCCGCGTGCAAGCGACATATCAAGCTGGCCTAAGCCAAAAATATCTTGCGAGACGACGACGGGATGTCGCCACAAGAAGCCAACGGTGGGAAACCGTCCATAGACTGGTCTCTGTACCTCGTCACAGACTCGACGCCCGCCATCCTGGGAGACAGGGATGTTCTGCACGTCGTCGACCAAGCGATCCAAGGCGGCGTGGGCGTCGTCCAATATCGAGAGAAACATGCCGATACCGGCGTCATGATCGACGTAGCCTTCAAACTGCACACCGTCACACAGAAACACAATGTCCCCCTGCTGATCAACGACCGAGTTGACGTGTGCATGGCAGTAGGCGCAGAAGGTGTGCATATCGGTCAAGATGACATGGACATCGTCCGTGCCAGGGAGATTCTGGGACCGCACGCCATTATAGGGGTTACAGCCTCGTCGCCAGAAGAGGCGGCAAAGGCGATCAAAGACGGTGCCGACTATCTGGGCATTGGAACCACCTTCGCCACGCCCACAAAGACAGACACGAAGCATATCATCGGCACCAGAGGGCTCCAGGAGATATTGCGCACTTGCGACACGGGAACCACCAAGTCGATCCCTTGTGTCGCCATCGGCAGCATCAACGCCTCCAATGTCCAGCGCGTTCTACATCAATCCGCGTCCGGTTCGAACCGACTTAACGGGATTGCTGTGGTCAGCGCCATTATGGCTTCACCAGACCCGCAAGCGTCCGCCAGAACGCTCCGCGATTTGATCGAGTCCGGCCCCGAAAAATTCTACGCGGCTGTTCCCCCCAATAAACCGATCATCACCGACCTGAAAACCCTCATCACGCACGCCCCCGATGTCATCAGGGCGCACGTCTCGTCGGGCACGCTCTGCCACAACATGACCAACACGGTCGTGCAGAACTTCGTCGCCAACGTCTGTCTCAGCACGGGGTCCTCGCCCATCATGTCCGAGAACGGGTCTGAGGCCGCCGACCTGGCGAAACTAGGCGGCGCGCTCGTCATCAACATGGGCACCATCACGCCAGACAAGATGGACGCATACATCGAGGGGACGAGAGCGTACAATGCGGTGGGGGCGCCTATCCTCTTCGACCCCGTCGGCGGAGGGGCGACGGCCGTCCGCCGCGCCGCCATTGAGCGGCTCCTCACGGCGGGCTTCTTCAGCGTCATCAAGGGTAACGAAGGCGAAATTCGCGCCGTGGCAGGCTCATCGACCTCCCAGCAGCGGGGCGTGGACTCGGGCCCCTCGGACGCCACTTCTGGGGAGAAAGCTCAACTGGTCAAGACCTTGGCGCAGCGCGAGCACTGCATCGTGCTCATGACGGGCCAGACAGACTACATGTCCGACGGCACACGCACGGTGGTGATTAGAAACGGCTCGCGCTGGCTGGGCAAAATCACGGGCTCGGGCTGCGCCTTGGGGGCCGTCGTCGCGAGCTACATGGCCGTGTTTCCCGACGACAAATTCCTCGCCTGTCTCGCGGGCATCCTGCACTTTGAGATCGCGGCCGAGTCGGCGGGCGAGTATTGTAGCGGGCCCGGCACGTTTGTGCCCGCATTTCTCGACTCGCTTGATCAGCTGGGCCAGGAAATGCTCAAACAGGAGGGCCTAGGGTTGCCCGGTTATTTTGCCTCCCAGGTAAAGGTGGAGATGGTCTGATAAGCAGTGAGCCACAGCGAGAAAGAGAAAGGGAGAGAGGTAGTGCTATTACAAAGAAGGAGGTTCTAGCGTGCGCCCTGGCACGCTTGTGCGCGAGTCACCCGACCCGCTTGATGAGCTTAGCCAGGATATGCTCAAACAGGAAGGTATAAGCTTGCCTGAGTTTTGACGAGTTAGGCGAAGGTGGAGATGGTTTGATGAGTCCGGGCCAGCGAGCGAGCGAGTACGCGCGTACGAGGGACGGAGGGGAGGGGGGAGGAGAGGAGATGGAGAATGAGGGAAAGAAGGAGAGGTTTTCTATCAGCAAGGAGGAGATTCCAGCAGGCAGGTTGAACGGAACGGAAAGAAATCTTAATCCTAGTAAATAGGAAAGACGGACAGGATACATGGAAAACATGGTGCGGGAGAAGAATAAGGGAGGAGAGGAGTCGCCGATGCATGAGCACCCCGGCGTGAATGAACACTCACTCATTCTCCCTCCCTTCCTTTCTTTCTCTCTATCTCTCCTTTTTCTCTCGGAGCGCCAGGACAGAGGTGAAGAATTAATCCTTGGATTTTTCTGTTCTTGAGAAAATCCAAAAAAAAAAAAAAAAAAAAAAAAATTTCTATACTCTACTATATTCTAGTCAAGACAATCACACCAGCCCTCGGCACAAGGTCTAATGTCCTGCTCGACATCCAGACGCAACCACCACCCACTGCCCTCGCCCCAGCCAGGAGCAGTACCGCCACCGCCGTCGCCATCGCCACTCACAACGCGCCGCTCCCTGACGCCCCTTATGGCCGTCGCGACTATGAAGTCCGTGTCATACGCCACGAGCTCGATCTGGACATCTTTGACCCTCCTGCCGCGGAGCAGCGTGGTCATGCCCCGCTCGGCCTTGTCGGGGGGTGTCCATTTCGCGGTCTCCACGGGCGAGGGATGGTGGCCTCCGCCGCCGGCGCTACGGCCACTTAAAGACAAGGGCGCTGGGAGAGGCGGCTCAAGAAGAGAAGGCGTGCTTGGTGAGTCTGGGAACGGGGAGAGGTAGTCATGCGAGGAGCGGTTGCGGGTGTGAGCGTGAGCAGCGTGAGGCCGGACTGTGGAAGTGGCGGGAATGGAGAGTTTTCTGGGTCTGCCGCTGCCGTCTGTCGGGGAGGAGAGGGATGGTTTTCTCTGCGCGTACATGTCGGCGGCAGGGATCGAGGGGTTTCGACGGTGCGTGACGGATGATGACGGGGCGGGAGGCGGGGGAATGCCCTCTGCGGATTCGTGCTTTGCGTACATGTCTGTGGCTCCTCCTGCGGCACCACCACCGGAAATGGATGACTCGGCAGGGGCCAAGGAAGGGATGTTCGCCGGGGATTTCCTATGTGCGTAGATATCGGCGGACGCAGGAAGAGGCATGCCTTGTGACTCTATAATGCTGTGTGTGTTGCTGCTGTTCTTTGGCTGGTAGTTCGAGGCCGTGGATGGCCGGTTGTTTTCCTTGGGCAATGGCGGAGGCGGCGGAGCATGAACGTCGAGGAATTCGAGTTCTCTTAACCAGCTCGCCAGCAGTCCCTCGCCCACCATCTTGATATACGCCTCCTTGAGACTCCAATACGCGTAAAATCGTCGCAACTTCATGTTGATGATCTTGGCCTCATGATTCTGGAAGAATTTCGTATTGCCGCCGGCACCGGGCCCGTCTGTGGGAGAGGAAGCTGACGAGGAAGAGCTCGAATCACTCGTCCACTCTCCTTCCTCGCGCTCTTTGACGGGGACATGGATTGGCATTTGGCGCATGTGACGTCGCTCACGGTCGGAGAACATCTCGGCAAAAATCTCGATCCACTCGTCGAATTTGGACTGAGTGGTGAGGTCCTTGGGGGTGCGCTTGTCCTCGTTTGTGCATGCAATGTCGACCCCCAGACGGACCAGATCGGGATGATCAAAGGCCGTGCATGTTGGGTGGCTGGTGAGATCTATTTGTGCGAGAGAGTCTAGCACTGTGGGAGAAAGTGGGGTTGGATTCGGAACGACGGATGAGGGAAGCTGGGGGGTTGGCGTAGAGCAGCCGATGATGGCGACAAGACCGGCTTGATGAGAGACATTGAATTCGAGACCTCTTATCTGGCAGGACTCTTCGGAGTTGGGCTCGCTGTCGTCGTATATATCGGTGGTGGACCAGTTTTCTGGCGGTTCCCAATACGGGCGTCGATGAGGAGCTGGGGTCCGTGAGATCTGGACTTCGGACCAGGGGATCTTTGCGCGCCGGTGGATGAAGGTATACTTCAGCAAGGCGCTTGCAAGGGACATGAAGCGGTCCGCGGGGCGAATAAAGCGGGTGATGGCCTCTTGATCGGAACGCCGGAGAGTTGAGAGCAACGGGAGGGAATGGAGAGATTTGGGATTGTGCGGCTGGGGGACAAAGGGCCGGGTGTCGATGTACCACCGGTTGATGGTGGTGATGAAGTCCTCGGGGCATTGAGGCAACATAATGGGACGTTGCCGCCGCCGGCGGTGTGGTCGATGCTGTCAGCCGCAGTCCGGCACCTCCTCCGGCACTCGCAATGGCGCGAAACAGTAAATGATGCTCAAGAAGTTCCTAATAGCCACATGATCCGCATTCGCCGACGAGATGTCGCGACCTTCAGTCAATGGCCGAACTGGTAGACGTTGCGGGGCCGGGTAGGGGATGGAATTGGACGTGAGGGTCTGTCAGCACCTGATTCGTGGGATGACTGGATCACTGAATCTCTATGATTTTTATATTATAGAGAAATGAAAGAAGAAAGGAATGGCAAAGAGCGAAAGAGAGGGGGAGAGAGAGAGAGAGCTGGTGTGTGGGAAGTCGATGTCGAGGAGAAGGTCTTAATTTAGCAAAAGGCCGAAGAGGGATCAACAAGGGCTCCAGGATTCACAGGGGTTCAGCAGGGGTCCACGAGGCTGGTGGGTGCTTGTACCCAGTAGGCGTCACAGTGTCACGCCTTCAACCGCCAGATACTTACCTGGGACTCGGTATTGGATCAGAGGCCATCCGTCTGTTGTCAGCAATACGGTCGAGCACTCGAACAAACAGCGCTGCCACCAAGTACTACGGAGGACTATTAGCTCCCATGCGCCTGGCGTGTGGACGGGGGCGAATTGATTTTTCCTACTCGGTACATAGATGACACATGGATAACGGATAATAACGGCGAGAACACCATCACTTGCTATCATCCATCCCCCATATCTCCCCATTCCATATCTCCCACTTAATATCCCCTCTCTCTACCACTCCCGGCTCGCACATGTGCTGTCAATGACAATCACCGTCGGCGTGTTGGCCCTGCAAGGCGCCTTCTGGGAACATCTCGTCTTGCTACAAAAGGCCGCTGATTACTTACGCAATCAAGGCACGGCGGCCTCGTTCGAGTTTATAGAAGTCAGAAACCCTCAAGACCTGGCTCGTTGTGATGCTTTAATCATTCCTGGCGGCGAAAGTACAACCATTTCCCTCGTCGCCGCCCAGTCTGGTCTGCTGGAACCGCTGAGGGAATTCGTCAAGTATGCGCTCGACCCTTATCGCTCTTGTGATTACTGACCAACACCCCGTCAGAGTCCACCGCAAACCAACTTGGGGAACCTGCGCCGGCTTGATTCTGCTCGCCGAGGCGGCTAATGCTACTAAGAAGGGCGGTCAGGATTTGATTGGTGGCCTGGATGTACGCGTGAACCGGAACCATTTTGGACGACAGGTAGAAAGCTTCCAGGAAGACCTCGACCTGCCCTTTTTACAGACCAATGGTGCAGTCGACAGGAAGCCCTTTCCCGGCGTCTTCATTCGCGCTCCCGTGGTCGAAAAGATCCTTCCCAATGTCGATGGCATCCAGAAGGAGGAACAACAATTGGCCGGGACCGTCGTTGCCCCGTACAAGTCTGCCGAGGACGAGCACGCCCGGCAGGCCATGAGCTCGCATGTCGATATCATGGGAAAGCTGCCCGGTCGGTTGAAAAAAGCCGCCGGCATGGGGCCCGACGCACACGCCGGTGAGGAAGTGGGAGATATCATTGCCGTCAAGCAAGGCAATGTCTTTGGAACCAGTTTCCACCCTGAATTGACCTCGGATATCCGGATCCATGTCTGGTGGCTAAGGCAAGTTTTGGATGCGGTCGGCACGACAAATGGCGTTCCATGAATCCAGCTTTTAGGAGATGGTCGATGATAATTCATCATCTGCCCCCACCATATTCTTCCTCCTCCTTTTTCCTCTCTGCATCAATCGCTCGACCGTAGCCTCCTCTTCCGGGGTCGAACTCGTCTCGGTATTCATCTCTGACCTGTCCGCCCGATTTGCCGCGGCCGTACTGTCTGCCCTCTTGGAACCCAGCATCGAGGTCAGTGCGTATGACACGTTCATCGAGCTTGGTGCCGCCTATGTATTTCATGCAATCCAAGGCCTCTTGATGGGTGTAGTATTCCACAAAGCAAAAGCCGCACGGCGTCTTTTGGAAACGGTCTAGGCCCATGATAAGTCGTTTGATTTCGCCGCATTTGGAGAATAGCTCATGGATCTGCTCCTCGGTGGTGTAGAACGACCTGCGCCAGAATCAGCTTATCGCCCGGCCGAAACATATCGTTAGAGGACGTACAGATTCCCGACATAGAGCGTGGTCGCCTCTGTCAGCAGGTCTTCTTGTTCTGCTGGCTTGTCACCGTCTTCAGGCTGATCGCGCCCATACTTCCGCTTCTTCTGAAATGCGCGTCAGCTCACGTCCTACTTCATTCACCGTATAAGGGAGACACCAACCCTTGCAGAGTAGTATGTACTAGGCCTGTCCAGCCTCTCAACCGTAGACATGTTGTTAGCATTCAGCGACCTGCAGTGAGAGATTGAGTGATGGAGAAGTGAAACCAAAGCTGCGGCGCGTCTTCTCCTCCTCACGCAAACTGGGTGCCTAATTTGGCTTAGTGCAGTTGGCGTCTCTCCACCAATCAAATATGGCCCTGCCTATCGCCGCTTCATCGCTTTTTGAACCCTACTTACCTCGTAGGATGTGCTCTGTTCACGGGTCAGCAATCCCTTTTCTAAGAGGAGTAGTATTTCACCGGGGAGGAGGTTACACATCGTTGCCTAGGTATCATACTTTCTATATTTCCTATCTTTGTTGTAGTACCAGATTACTGCCTCTGCAGGTAAATCATCACGGCATCACACTCTCATGTGTTGCTCAGCCTAGACCAATACATAGTACCACATCTGAACACCACCGCCGGCCCATTCCTTTTGGTTTCAATTTCCGTAAATCCTAGTTCCCATTTCCCAAGTCTCATGTGGAAAGAATTCTCGCGCCGAGGTCTCTAGCCCAACCTCTCTCTGTGCTCCTTGTCCACACTCTGCTTGTTCTCTCAGTGGCCACCCTCTTCTGGTACAACCGATATACGTTGTTGGTGAGAAAGCCCAAGTCCATCCGAGCGACTAGGGACTAAATCCTCATCTCGCCCAGTTCCAGAGATCCAAGAAACCTCGATGCCCCCGAGACCCTCGATGTGTTGGATACCACTTACTTCGAATCCGTCTTCGACGTATTCGACATCGGCATATTGCTCCGCGACTTCGGCCACCACCTGAAGTTCAAGGCCTTCGATGGCGTTGCCGTCGAAGCCGTACTCAGCCAGAAGATCATAGTATTCAAGTTCCGACGGAAGAAAAGTCCTGGTGTCGTAGGCAGCGGCCCACGCGTCGACCCAGCTGGCGCTGTTGTTATCGGCGGTATTGTTGTCTGAGGTGTTATTGGCGGTGTGGTCGTTAGTGGTGGTGGTGGTGGTGGTGGTGGTGGTGGTGGTGGTGTTATTGTTGTTGTTATTAGAGATTTGGGAGGACGCCATTTCGAAGAGCGTAAATGAGGATATATTGTTAAAGGTGGTTGTCGGTAGGTGGTGTGAAGTGTATTGTGGAGGTGTATTTGATGGACGTGGCAACGAGTTAAGAAAGTATCACGGTGGATTGTCACTTATTTCGGGGAAATTCTGGCCTGCAAAATGGCGAGAAGGTGAACCATATGTATACCCTTAAATGGGCAACAGCTTCTCAAGCTACGGGTCCTCGTCTCCGTAGAACCTTGGACACGAATATACGGACCAAGGGTTCTCGAACCCTATCTCATGGAAACAACGTTCTTGGACGCATGTGAGGGCTAAACGACTAGGGGTCTTGAAGGAACTACTTCCCTTAACGAGCTGGAAACATTGACCGCTCCATGCCAACGAGGGACAGGGAGAGTACTGAAGCAGCTTTCTGGTCACTATCACCTTCCCGTGGTCGTTGAATCCTTCTGTAGGGGCCATTCGTCATGGGTTGCGTGACTGACAGTACGGAGACCTACCTGCTGTCCTAAACGGGGAGCACAGCCATGCGGATAGAGTTCGGTGGTACCGGTGGATGAGCTCACACATCGACAGTGGAGTGGGTCCAAATCTGAGGGTGCTCCCTTGCCACCCGGGTAGTCGTGTAATGCTTGTGGACAGGCGATACGAAAAGCTGGTTGGCTTGTGCATGGAGCTGAGAAGTGAAGTATATGCTTTGGCGTAACCAGGAGGCCACTTGGCCAGCAGTGGAAACATGCAAATTTCACCCTTCCTGATATTTTAGAAATGCAAAATTCCCACCACAATCGCAGACACAGATAGACTGACCATTCTCAGGCTTGTGTTTGCATGTGTGGTAGGAAGAGTTGTTGCTCGATCAATCTTCTGAGTCCATTAATCTAAAACTCCGCCAATGACTTACATGGCCGCTCGTTAAGGAAACGAAGCCTGATTAGTAGGGAAGGGTTTACTCCAGTATGTGAGATTTTTTGCTGTTTTGGTGGGGGTCCATGGGTTCGATCCATCTGCTTTTCACCCATTTTTATTTTCTTTTCCTTTTCCTTTTTCTCTTTTCGTTTCCGTGGACTGTGTCGTGTGATAAGTGTCTGGATTGGCCGTACACTGATCCACATCTGGGAATTCACTGCAGCCAGTAACAGAGGTGCTCCCGTGTTAAAGGTTTCAACGTGATCTAATGTAGATCTTGGCTTTCTGAGTTCTCTGTCCGCCTGCAATTCCATCCCTCCTCAGCTCCTCATATCGATGTTAGGCGCTCACCGTGGGCGCTGTGCTGAGGATGCGAGTGCCCATTTTGCTTCGCGCCATTCCTCATTAGCGATGCAGAATTTGTGGCTGTCACTGCAGGCTTCCGAGTGCTCACAGAGCTATCTCCATCGAGCTGATCATGTTTGTCGATCCCGTAGTAAGGCGGCTTGATCATGTCTTTTCCGGCGTGCTGCATTAATTCCGCAGTCGGCTCATAAACTCAGTAACATGCACACACTTTTTTTCTCCTTCCGTTTTTCCTGGGACCAGAGGCTCAGCGAGTCATGTTTAAGGGGTCGTGGGGAATCCCTGCCTCAAGTATGTACTCGTTCCGAAGCTGGAGGGCGGGTAACCAGAGGAAGATTAGTTGTATATTGATTTTAGATCTCATAGACTTCTAGTCGGTCGAATTCGATGCCACGCGTTATAAAACGACGCTTTCCTAGGTTGTATTGATTCGGTATCTGTCTTTGGTCGGAGGTTAAACAAGGGATCCGAGCGGATAACACTCATGTAATCGTTTGCGAAGTTTCCCAAGCCTTTGCTGGACACCAGAGGAGAAGGTACGACGGTGTACTGCCTGCTCCGAAAGTCTAAATGCCCTGGCCAGGTGAGCAGGTACTCAATTGTAGTTTTGCTGAGGTGTCTCATTCAAAAGGCCAGTTTGTCATACAACGCCCTTCGAGACGAATGGAGGCAATTGAATATAAGGCGACAGATAAGGCGACAGGCTAGGGTCAAGCATTTACAGATATTTTCGAGTTGGGTTGAATGCAGTCGATCCAATTGTCCTGCTATATGCTGGATCACGGCAGACGACGTCGAATGAGGTTTTGGAGCAACTTGATTGAAACATGGTCGGACGTGGCGTGCGACTCACCTGGTCGTGCCGCTATACTCTTGCTAGAAGGTGGGTAAGCGGGCTAAATTGTTGGAATTCTTGCCCCGATCTCTCGAATTGAAGCTTCTAAAGGCGTGGATCTCAGTATCTCTTAGCTCCTCCACACTTATATAGTCGTTCTTATTAGCTGGCGAAGCGTTCAGCTACCATAAGGGACCACCTAAAGATCATCAAAATAAATCACGTGAGCGAGAAATAGGAAGCTCCCAAAAGCGGCGTGGCGAAGCTGCTGTTTTGGGAAGACTGTTTCTCCGCAGACGCGCCCAATTTGACCTTCTTTCAACATTCACCACTGTCGGTACGAGAGACTGCGTATTTGTCTTGATCCTTGTCTCCTGAGATCCAGTCGATCCCACTCCAATGCGGCTCTAGTGCTGTGATTGTTTCCAGTTTGAAGTGTCAAGATGCCCAAGATCATCGGATATACACCTCCATTTCTGTCTCGACCATCGCCAGGCTCCAAAATCTTCACAGATCCCGAGCCTCAGTCGCCCGCCTCTCCTTCCAAACGCTCCTCCTACATCGGCCCACTCCCCTCGACACAATATCAAGGACCCAGAAGACTACTCGCTAGCAGAGGCACGGAAATCTTTACGGTTGTGGGGAATAAAATAAGATGGGCGGATCTCACAACGGTTCGAGATGAGTGGGAAGACAGCACCCAGTCCGGCGCCAGTCGGTTTGGTCTTCCTCGCTCTGACGCAACCAAGGCCACAGATGACAGTGTTTACAGAGTAGGTGGGATCATGACTTGCCGAGGAGACATTGTTGACATTTGCAGACGCTAGCTGTGCCTGTGTATTACCAGATTCGTCAGATTTCTATCTCCCCGTCCGGTCTCTTTCTGGCCATCTGCACAGAACATACGGTTCACATCGCAGTGCTTCCAGACCCATCACGGCTGAAGGAGCATGACCGATCGCCGCTGAAAGTCAAAACATATCAGCTTGGTCCGACGGTCCATGTAATACCTGAGTCTCCGCTTGTGTCTGTATTGTGGCATCCGCTGGCTTACGCCACTGCTTCCACCGATTGTCTCGTCACTGTGACTACCGAAGCAGCGGTTCGAGTATGGGAATTTGACAAGGCAAACAGCTGGTCCCTGGATCGTCCGAAATTGGCCATCGACCTGCGAAAACTTGCTGACGGTGTGTCGTGCGACCAAGATTTCGAGCCATCGGGATTTGGCAAAAGTCGGGGATTTTCCGTCGATAATTTTGACATGGAGGTTTCTGCCGCATGTTTTGGTGGTCGGGGACGAGAGGACGAAGACGCATGGGCGGGCATGACACTCTGGATCGCCATGAGAAACGGGGATCTGTACGCTCTGTGCCCATTGCTGCCGTCGAGATGGAAGCCCACATCAACCACTATTCCTTCGCTGACCACGACTGCTGTCTCTCGAATGGCATCAATCAACGACGATGAGACAGATATAGATGAAAGACGGGCCGCGGACCAGCAATACGAGTGGGTGCAAGAGATCGACAACGAGGAGGCCCAGATTCACCAATCGACAGATAGCCTCGGCGAATTTGAGGTCCGATTTAGACCACAGAACCCGAGTGCGATTCCACGTCTTCAAGGGCCGTTTACTATTGTCCCCGAGGAAGACGCCACGGAGATTGAGGTTTCTGATATCCATGTGTTTCCTGCGAAACTTGATGAACAAGACCTCTTCGATGGTGACGATGACGATGAAATCGACCAAGGGCTTGTCCAGCCAATTCCTTTCACGACTATTTGCGTTGCTACGCCCGAGAATCAAGTTTGGTTTGCCATTGATCTTGATGGTGTGACCGGACAGTGGCTTCCAAAGAAAGGAAAAAGCGTATTTGGTGTGCCTTCATCTGATGCCAAATCCCTGACGTTGATTGATATTGTTACGCTCGACGAACCGACCACGGATACTGCGGCTAATTGGCCTGTTTTCACTCCGGATGTCGTGCACGATTATTCGCTTGTCCTGACTACTTTGAAGCGTGTCTACTCACTGTCTTTGTACGAATGGGTTAGTCACCTGGGCGCCGAACTAACGGGAACCGAGCCTGTCGATCCCGGCTTGCGGACCAGGTTGTCAACCCGGTGTCATAGTCAAGTCTGTGTGACCGAACAGTTAGTTGAGTCGCGCGAGCCTTCAGAGGTTCTCTCTGCCCCTGCCATTATTGACGATACTTCGCTTGGATACTTGCTCTTGACTGCAACCTCGAATGGTCCTTACGGGGTGATTTTTGACCAGGCTCCTCTAGGCACCTCAATTATCGGCCCATCAATTACAGACTTCAGCGTGTCTTCTGGTCGTCTAGAATCTCAACTTGCAAAACGTCCCGTGTCACCCATCGAAACAGTTCCTCTACGAGAGCCATACTGTCCTCCCAAAATCTTCTACTTCAACCAGCATATTCCCCTCGATTCCATGCGTCAACGTCTGCCGCCGTATCCCAAGAAAGCCATCTCTGAACGGCCTATGCGTTTAAGCCCTGCCATGTTGGAGATTATGACCTTCACCCACCGCACCATAGGTGTGCAGTCTGCTCAACTAGAGAATGCAGCTGCAGAACTCTTCCGGCGATGTGAGCGTCTAAGAATCGAACTTGCTGGTCAAGTCAAACAAATGACTGAGCTCGCTCAACAGTTGCAGCGTCTTACCGCTGCTACGGAGGAGGACGAAAATGGCAATGTCAAGGAAAAGAAGACCCCCGACACGAGGATCAACGAGGCACGGGAGAGGCAGAGCAAATTGGCGGCGAGATACGAGGCTCTAAGAAGGAAGGTGGGACGTGCAGGGTCGGCGAACAGAGAGTTGAGTGCTAAGGAACTAGCCTGGATGCATGAGATTGAGATTCTTGGTAAGAATGTTGGCATTGTGAGTAAAGAGGACGGCGAACGAGAGGGTGGCGAAAGAGGTACAACTCTCGACAAGCGATTTGAGACGGTATGCTTCCCTTGCTTTGTTTTGCCTCTTGTCTAGAAACGGGTTCTGACAATAGACCACAGGTCAAACAACTCACTCGTTCCCTCGTGGAGGAAGCTCACGCTGCTGAAAAACAACAACAACCGGCCTCGCCGAAAGGTCCTCCAGCCTTGGAGGCGTCCGTATCGTCAATCTCGGCATCATCAATAACACCATCAATGTCAGCGTCTCAGATCACCGTTACATCTCGATCCAGTGGAGCCGCGGCATCCCCGAGAAGTTCGACTTTCGGTGGATTAGGTGTTTCCAGTCGCCTGCAAAAGGAACGCATCGCGGATATCATGGCCACGGTTGAGAGAGAAGGTGCGGTAATCGAGGCGGCCATGAAGAGGCTCGAGAGATTGAGGATGGAGTATTAGCAGTACTTCTGGACCTGTTCTGACTGTGGTGAGCGTGGGGACGGTGCCATGAGGGTCGCGAAAAGGAGGTGACTACGACAGCTACTATGTGGCGCTAATAGATCGATAGTGAATGTTTCCCACACGCTATGGAAGCTCAGACAAGATGAATAAATGAGACAAGTTACCAAGCATGGAGTAACGCGACTTTCTCGCTGAACTTAGCTATCATATTTACTGCTCTACAAGGTATTGAATAGACAGTTTCATCTTTTACTATCTCACTACCATAATGCTTTACACTATTTATCCAGATGAGTGTCCTGTATGCTAGCTGGGTGGCTCTATCCAGGACTCCCCGGCCGCCTTGATCATTGTCAAGTCATTATAATCATGCACCCACCCCACGTCTCGTGTGTCATGATTCATTTCATCCCGGGTTCCGGCTTAATATATCATCTATCAATTCATCCATCTCTGCTTCCTTGGCCACCGCCGTCTTCAAAACCTCAAGCTCCTCTCTTCCCCTTTCCTGCTTCGACAATCATACTCGATCCACCTCGCGACGCCACTGCCCCTGGGCGCAGCACCAAAGCCGCCCGCTTGGCCCTTCCGGAGGGAATACTCATCCACAAGCCTGCCCACGTTCATGACGTGACATCCTTCGTAGCTCATTGCAAAGGCCGGCATTTCGGCGTCGCAGAGAGCCAGCGCCGTGGGCAGAGGGTAAAGTGATAGTGCGGCCGTGTGGTCCCAGAGTTGGGGACGGGTGGATAAGGGGAAAGGGGAGAGGTGGGATTGGTCGAGGATGGTTTTGATGAGTTTTCGGGCGGCTTGGATGGATGGGGCGGTGCTGCTTGACGGCCCGGGAGCGGGAGTGGAGGGATGAGAAACAGGAACATGAGAGGTTGCCGTGTGCACGGCTTTGTCGAGGTTCTTCCTGGGATTCTGGTCCAGGTCCATTTCCTCCCCGTCAAACTGTGAATGGTCTTGATTCTGACCATCAGCTCCTGCTGCTTCGTTCTCTTCTTCGTCCGCGTCTGGGAGCTTCGAGAAAGTGATCGCAGTCCGCCGAAATCGGCTCGTGATGTCGTCTCGAAACAGAACAATCTCCTCCAGTGGCCCGAATAAACTCAGCCTCGCTGGGTTCGTCGCCCATATACTCTCCCCTTTCAGCACGTCTTTCTCTTTCGAGCTACCATGAACCTCTGCATTGGCACTCGTCAACGCTCGTCGGACTCTGCTGCTGAATACCTCTGGCACGCCCAGTCTTGGGAGCATACAACTCGCTCCCGCCGAAAATGAACTTGCCCACGGATCGTTATCTCCTGGTACGAAGACGAAGGTTGTGTTCGCCAATAACGTGGGAAATTCCGACAAGATTGACGCCAGGGCGTCGAAGTGTTCTTTATATTCAATGCTGCCCCCGCCCATGCTCGACCCCGCCATGCTTGCCGCGGAGACGAAATTTCCCATTATGACAATCGAGAAAGGTAGGTCACTTATGTGCCCAGAGCTAGAGGTGCTGTAGGACGAGAGGATAGCGCGGATCGCTTCTAGCGTTCGAGGGCTGTCGAGGTTGCACTCCCCTAAGAGAGCAATTTGGCGACGAGGCGGTTCGGTTTCGATCTGGTCGTCATCTGGGAGATTGATGGTCTCCGAAGTAGCTAGTGGTCTGAAGATACGTCGTTGAATTCGACGCATCTGGGTCCCCAGAGCTTTCTCACTGCCAACGCCGAGGAAATCGACCCAGCCAAACCCTGCCCCCACGCTTGTATTTGTGTGGCCTCCCGAGTCCAACCCAGTGGAAATGCCGAGAGACAAGGCTCGTCGTTCGGCCGGTGGCCCAGCCATGGTATGCGCGACAAAGGTCCCCTTGATCTGTCCGCCTACACCAGCAGCTGTGCCTAGATTTGAATTGTGAGAGCCGTCTTCTTCGTAAGTTCCTTCTACGAGAACGATCATGCCGGGACAAAACCATACGCCGTCTTCGGGGACAGGTCGGGCTATTGACAGGTCAAGAACCACACTTCCGGATAGATCTGTGATGGAGAGATCACCAGCTGGAGAGTGCACCAGCATACCTAGAAGGAGATGAGATGATCCTGATCGGCCAAGAAGGTTCGATATAGGAGTGATTTTATACGCTTGCTGCAAGGTTGTCATGCCGCTTGCTGAACGTATAAGACTTGGTGGCTGCGTGGTGGTCGCAAACGATGGAGTTTGGAATGATTCATTTCGCATCAGTCGCTGGTGGACCAGGTGATAACGGTTTCTGAACATGGAAATCTTGTGCTGAATGGGAGGGAGAAGGCTGGGTGTGCCTTTCACAGGCTCTAGGCTTTTTGATGAGGTTGAGTACACTAACCGTGGCTGATCGAATGCTGAAATGACCTTGAAGTATGACCGGACATCCGGTTGAGATTGGCCTTCTTCCACCGCTCTGTCCCTTTGAGCCGCGTCTTCCACGTTCAATGCCGAGAGTCCTAAGCTTGACTGACTGACATCTGTGTTGGCATCTGGACGGCTCGTGGAGAACGAAGGCGCTCGTGACAAATTGGGGCTCGGTACTGAACTGTTGCTTCGAGACCATTTCCCAGTGTCCAGGCGCCCGCCTGACATGCACAGTTCCAGAGTTTTAAGAATATTAGACAACTTTTGCTCGGGCCCATCCTCGACGAGGAGGCCCCCTCCACACTTCTTCCATGCTTTTGCGATCTCATCCAACACACGCTCTGCAAGGCCTTCTTCTCGCCACCCGCTGCCACAGAATTTCCCAATAAATGTAGAGAGCAGTCCCAGCCCCGACGAGGTCAGGGTAAGGCTGTGTTTTTTGGTCAGAGTCCTGAAAGCGACGGGTCTGAGAGTCTGAGGCGGAAGGAGGATCGGTAAGACTGTCGGGGCGTTATGAGCAGTTGCACTGGTGTTTAATTGCGCTGCAAACGGCTTTGCAATTTCTGTTGGTCGGCTCTGGATGGGGTATGCAGGCGTCCCAAAGCCCGGCGATGAAGAAAGTAACTGCTCTTCGGCGCGCAGGTCAGACGCAGCTTTGAATGTTCGTGCAGGCAGCCCTGGAGTCGAAATTGGTTCTTCCATGATTGAACTGGATGGCGAAGGTGTACGATGTGTAGGGAGTGGAAGTAGAGGCAGGAGAAAGTCGAGCCTTGACGCGTAAACAAATCACTTTACGCGTGTCTCGTGTTTTGGAGACAGGTGTGACGTGATCTGCTCGTGGTCTGCCGCACAGTGACTTTGTCTTTCAACCGATTCTCCACGCTACTGTTCCCTTCATTGTTCGTTACTCTCATCTTACCATCATATCGATTTCCGATCCACCCATTTTCCATCCATCGCGCATCATGGCGACGACTGCCGACGAAACTCCCAAGCCCGATCTGGAGCCCACCAAGCAAGAGCAGCTGACAGATCTTACCGCGAAGGCGACAGCTGCATATGCGGTCAAACACTACTCGGAGGCAGCAGAACTGTACTCCCAGGCAACAGAGCTACAAGCTGAGCTCAATGGCGAGATGGCTCTCGAGAACGCCGACCTGTTATATTCCTACGGAAAATGCCTGTTCTTCCTGGCGCAGCAAACAAGCTCCGTCCTAGGCGGCACAGCGGCATCGGCACAATTGTCCTCAAGCAAATCTCGAAAGACGGGAGCGAAGAGAAAAGCGAACGGCGCAGCGAAAGCAGAGACATCTACAAACGGAGGCGGCGCTGGTGGAAGCTCCAAGTCGATGGATGCGATTCCCGGGGGGTCGGTGTCCAATGTCGGTGATGTCGTCCCCAAAGAAGAGGTACAGCCTGAGAAGAGCCCTTCCGACAAGCCCTACTTTCAGATCTCGGGTGACGCCGAAGGCTGGGATGATTCGGATGAGGATGAAGAAGAGCAGGATGAAGAATCTGATGAAGAGGAAGAGGATGACTTTGCCACATCCTACGAGCTTTTGGATTTGGCGCGTATCCTATTTCTTAAAAAGTTGGAACAGAGTCAAGAGCATGCATTGGAGGACTCTGAAAAGGGAAAATACGTGGCGTCTATAGACCTCACACCAGAGGTCCAGTCGCTAAAGGCCCGGGTGGCAGACATCTACGATCTGCAATCAGAAGTTTCGTTGGAAGGAGAGAAATATTCAAATGCCGTCACAGATCTAAAGGCTTGTCTTGCCCTGCGGGAGGAGCTTGAGCCTCCGGAGTCGAGTATTCTAGCCGAATGTCACTACAAGCTCAGTTTGGCGCTCGAATTCAGTTCTCAGACACAACAACTCGATTCCCAGGGGAATCCAACAGGTGAATTTCAGGTCGACTGGGATATCCGAAATGAAGCCATCGCCCAGCAGGAGAAAGCGATTGACAGCTGCAAATTGCGCGTCTCCAAAGAATCAGCAGCGCTGGACAAGCTTGAAGCAGGTCCTCAGAAAGACAAGGCCATGGCTCAGATCGAGGACGTCCAGGAGATGGTTGCCGAAATGGAAGTGCGACTGGCGGAACTCCGCAAGCCACCCGTCAGCGTCAAGGCTGAGTCGGAAAATCAGATGAGAGAACAGATTTCTGGTGTATTGGGCAGTCTCCTAGGCAGCGGCGCATCTGAAAAGGAGAAGAAGGAGAAATTGGCTCAGGTGGCGGAGACAGCGACTGATGTATCGGGATTAGTCAAGCGAAAAAAGCCAAAGAACACCCAGGCCAACGGAGGGGATAGTGCGTTTGGATCTTCCGCGTCAACACCGGCGGCATTGCCGGCGACCGCAGAAGGATCAAACTTGGGCAAACGGAAGGTGGGATTTGTGGACGAAGTGGAGGACGACGCTGACTCGGGGAAGAAGGCGAGGGTGGAGGATGCCGAGGACTCTGGACGTTGATGGCCTTTTGGGAGGTTCTGCTTCCAACCGGGGAAATGATGGCTGCTGTTTAGTGTTTTGACAGCAGGAGGGCGGACAGCCACAAACAACTCGGTTTTCCTTTTAACGCACAGCAAAGATCTCCATGACCCCGAGAGAATCTAACTGCCAAAATCACTTGTGATGTACAATGGCCATCGCCTCGACCTCATACAACCAATTCGGCGCCGCCAGCGCCGCGACGCCCACCAGCGTGCTCGGCGGCCGATGGCCCCCGAGAAACTTGCAATATGCCTCTGACCGCGCCGCGTTGTCGGTGGTCTCCAAGTTGACGACGAACTGCGTCATCTTGACGATGTCCTTGGGAGTGGCCCCTGCGGCGGCGAGGCACTTGCCCAGATTCGACAGCGCGATCTCGACCTGGGCGATGAAGTCCTCTGGTGCAGTGCCCGTGGAAATGTCGACGCCGATCTGCCCTGCGATGGTGACTAGTGTGCTTGTGGCGGAGAGGGGCGTGCATTGGACGTGTGAGTATGTTGGGCGTGGAGGGGGCACGTCGGATGGGTTGATGAGCTGGAAGGAAGACATTTTTTTCTTTTTTGTTTTTCGATTTGGTTTGGTTTGATGCGTGGTGATTTGGGGCGATGGGATGTCGGACGGGTAGTTTTAGTTATTAAGGGAAGACGAGGAGAGAACTGATAGTAGTAGTAGTGGAGGAGGAGGAGGAAGATGTTCATTCAGACGACCGAGTTGGGTTATGTAATGTCAATGCATATTATCGCTGGTGTCGCTGTACCCCGCGGGTTCACGGACTAGTCCGCCTACCGTATGAAGCGGGCCAATGACCAGCTGCAGCCACTAACCGTAGAGCCGAAGTCGGATTAACTGATTATCCGAAACGCTCCTCCGAACACTCCCGCGAGGGCAAAGTCAACATCAACATCAATACAGGACCCCAGACCGTCACGCAAAGGCAGCAATATAACCCACCCACCCGTCGCGAAACCGGGCATATCTGCCTGTCCATGTCGTCCGCGGTGGTTTTTGCCCCGTCAGCCTCGCTGAGCCGCATCCAGTCGCTATGGGCGAGGTCGAACGAGCCAAACCCGGTCAAGAGGGCGGGGATGCGTTCGGTCTTGACAATCTCAGGCCGTTCAACATGCACACTGTCTCCGATAGCATAGCCCGTTCCCTCCATGTCATGGACATGCTCGGGTTTCATGGCCCCGGTCACCACGTTCGGGGTCGACGCGGGCCATGCTGCCCAAGATGCGTTGCCCACGTATAGGACGGTGTCGTTCCAGGTGTCGATGTGGATCGTGAACCCCGTGAGATCGATCTCTGTTGCGTATACCTTCATGCGCCAGTCTTTTCCACTTGTCATTTCCAATCCATCGATCCAGGCGACCACTTTTGGAGCGACATCGAATTTGTAGCTGAAGTTGATGTGGGATGATGTGGGATGATGTGGCCGCTTGCGATTGTTGCCTTGAATCATGCTCCAAGGTACTCCAATGACCAACCTGATATTGAGTCGTGTTTACCGCGGTGTCAGGCGGAACAGCAATCCAGGTACAGATGGCGGTGTATAGTTGAAAGTCTGGGACAGCATCAAGAGTCATCAAAATCCCTTGGCTCGTGATGCCGTCAGCAGAGGAGTCCATCACCAGCACGGAGGAAGTTTGCGATCAAGCTATTGTCGACAAGCAAGTCATCTGAGCTCGAGACGCCACCAACGCCGTTTCCTATGGTCTGGTGGATTGGGAATTCTCTCTGGTATCCAGCGCCGCGTTTGGTTGATTGCAAGGCTGGGCATGCAGGTGTCAGCTGAGATGGCGCCGTACCAATGCCTCAGCCTGACAACATTTTCGGATACGAGGGCCACAATTTGCTATAGCACTTCCAGCTAACCATTTAAAGCGATGCCATCTGACTGTCTTCTGTAATTCCTCTGTTGTACACCGCACCGTCGCATCCGATGGAGATATAATAAAGGCCTCGGTTGTCCCTCGAATTCCTGTATCCGATGGCCGAGGAGGGCTGGAGATGTCAGCTCTGTCCAGTACAATCTCGCCGCCGTGCAAGCGTATTGTTCTTGTAGGCAGTGGCTGACTTACATAGCTATGACCCAGATCCTTATCCTTATGGGTTGAAGATATTGCATGCTTCGGACCAGGCCACCATCGAGTGAGTGGAAACATGTCTAATCCCCTGTCTGGACTTACATTAACTTGACCAGTATTATCTTTGTCCGTGGGCTGACCGGGCATCGGACTGAGACCTGGGCATTCCGTGATTGGAAGCATAGCTGCTTTTGGCCGGCTGACTTGTTGTCGAAAGACCTCCCGAACTCTCGGATTGCGACATGTTGTTACGATGCGGAAGTCGTAAGCTGGCATCCGTTCCGCACGGTTGGGTTAAACGACGTGGAGCGGCACGCACAGTCGCTGCGCTTTGATGTTGTCGGTATGAGAGCACAAGATGATACTCAGAACGTGCGGGACCACCCTTTTCTTCTGCTTCTCGTGGGCTGATGGCGAACGAACGAAGCGGCCGATCATTTTCGTAGCACATAGCCTCGGCGGCATCATCTGCAAAACGGTGAGTACGAGCGCTGTCTCGTTAAAACCGACTCGATGTGTTGTTGACATTAGGACTAGGCCTTGTTGTTGTTGTACTCGGAAGGGGCGCGTGCCTGGGAAACGAAAGCAGCCAGATCGGTAGCCGAGTCAACACTGGGGATCATGTTCTTTTGGCACGCCACACACGGGGTTGCCTCAGGCCCAGTGGGCAACAATATTGCTGTCAGCAGTATCCAACGTCAGGGAAGTGAATGCTGGTCTAGTTGCTCAACTACACAAGAACAACCCAGGCTTGTTGGACCCTCAGGATAAGTTCTATGGCTTCCTTAGCTACAGCAAAGAATGTAGGAGGCCCATCGCAGTTGGCTGTTGCTACGAAGAGAGACCCCTTGTCGGTGCAGGAGAGATCAGGCAGCCACCCTGGCGCTTTGCACTGCGTATGCTAACAAGGGTCGTGCAGATTGTACCTGATGCATCAGCCAAAATGGTTGGTTACTCGGAGATTCAGATCCGTTCGGATCACAGAAACATGGTCAAATTTCCAGACAAGGCATTTGTCGGTTGTGACAGAATGTTGAGTTCCCTGAAAGCATGGACCAAGATGGACAGACAGACTTCGGAAGCAGGGCAACAGGACCAGAGCAGCCCAAGGGGGTGTGGAACCGTGATTCGGGGGGGGGGACTATCACGGGTAGTGTCCATAGCACAATCAGCGGTGGTTCAGCAGGCAGTGTATATGGGATTTACAATCAGAGGTCCTAAGCAGGGGCACTTGGATAGCGAAGGGGTTCTTGATCTCGAGGTGTGCAGTTCACAAAGTTGTGTCCGCGGCTGCGAGACACCGTCAGCGATACGAGGACCCCAGTTGTTTTTCCATGATGATGATGATGATGGTGGTGGTGGTGGTGGTGACGGTGCCAGTCATCGTCAACGTGGTATAGGTGGTTCGGGCAATCGGCGAGTCGGCAAAATCCGGAAGAAGACCGTGAGGACGAGGATGGGGAAGGTGAGGCGAATGTCAGGCTAGTTGAAGCTGGGGTGCGTGGCGCGGACAGCTACAGTAGTACTGTACTTGTAGCGAGTAGTACTCGGTACGGAGTACGGAGAATAATCTGCGGGCAAGCAGCGTACTTGCGGGTACGTACCCAGGTACCGTGTACCTCTTGGTACCTCTAGGTGCCTCGTACCGGCCTAGGCACCTGACTGCGGGTGCGGCTACGCGTGGACTGCTAATGTGGGGTTACAGGACTCGGTACCTCGTACCAGGTTTTCCTTTCGCCCTTTCAAAGTTCTCCTCGCGTTCTACTCGGTCGACACTAAGCAAACTCGCTCACTCGCTCACTCGCTCACTCACCTCACCTGGCACCTCGGGATCCAGCTCCCTGCAGCACTCATCATCCTGTTTCACGAGGGTTATCTGAGTTCCTTACTCTCGGTATCAGTCTCCACTGCTCATGTTTGTTGTTTGGATGTTGCGACACTCCCCTCAACGCACCTCAAGAGCCTGGCGCCAATGACCACTTACACCGCTGTTCACACCTCTCCGACCGACGCCTCCGAAGAGAGAAACTCGTCTGTCTCAGGGAGCGACGCCGAGAACGACCATGACAATGCCGACAATACGCCGGAAAATGGCACCTCGACCAGCAAAAAGAGAAAGAGGCTCTTGAAAATCTCGTGAGAAGCTCCCTCCCTCTTGTTGACCTCTGACCGGCCTCACGTTGACTCCAATTTGCGCCCCTTAGCTGTGAACTCTGCAAGGTTCGTAGGAATAAGCCCTGCGGCTGATCGATCGCATTGTGTTTACTCAGTGGGAGCAGGCCCGGAAAGTTAAATGCGACAGAGCAGAGCCGGCTTGTGGCTGGTGTGCCCGCAACAACCGAGCATGTGTTTACAAAGAGAGGCAAAAGCCCGGTCTCCGGGTGGGCTATGGTCGCGAGCTCGAGGAGAAGATCAATCGCCTGGAAGCCTTGCTGCAAGTCATGGGTCGCCGACTAGAAGAACACATCGCTGGGCATGGTGACTTTTCAACTCATCGACCTGGTTCCGTTCGCATGTCCCATCAGCCCCAGCCTGCCTCATTCAACGCTTACCCCCAGAACGACCCTCGCCCGTCGACCGCCAGTATCGTCTCCCAAGACACTCCTGGTTCCGATCCCAGATGGCCGCCCGTCGCCAATGCCTATGAGCGAATGCAATACCCCCGGCCTCAAGATGCCATGTCCATCCGTTCTGTCGTGGATGGCGCCAATCACGATTTGATGTCTCAAAGCGAGAGAGGCCATTCGGTAGCCTGGTTTCCAACAGCGACGCCAGCGCCCTCAATGCCCGACTCCGAGCTGCCTCCTTACGACTTACTGTATACCTTGGTGGATCTCTTTTTCAAACATGTCAACCCATGGTCGCCGATCCTGGACCGTAAGGCCACTTTCGATGCATTCTTCGGTTCACAATCCATGGACGAATCGGACAAGATCCTCATCCACGCCATCGTCGCCACCACCATGCGCTTCTCCAAAGATTCGCGACTCACCCCAGAGTCAAGGAGGCAGTTCCACGAGATCTCCAGGCAGAAGATTATGATGTATGCCCTTGACCATCCAAACGTACGCGCCCTCCAAGCTCTGGTGATCCTTGCCGTCGACGAGCTGGGCACATCAAATGGGCAACAGGGCTGGAATCTGTTGGCTCTCATCACTCGCAATATCGTCCAACTTGGGTTGGACGTCGAAAAGAGCACATACCTGGAGTCCACGACATATCCGTCGGCCACCCTCCTTCAGGCTGCGCAACCTCAATCCTGGATCGAAAATGAAGAGCGCCGACGACTATGCTGGATGACATTCATTCTCGACAGGTATGCGACAGTCGCCACCGCAGACTCCTTTACCTTGGATGAAAGGGAGATGGACCGTTGTCTCCCTTGTCGGTACGACCTCTTCTCGCGAAACGAACCTGTGGAGACGAGGTGGCGTCGGCGAGGCGCACCTTCCGAATTGATTGTCAATAAAACGGAAAACCTAGGGAGTTTCTCTTACCATTGTGAAGTCCTCGGGATCCTCAGTCGCATTCATCGATTCCTCCATCAACCGCTCGATATCACTCGTCACTCCGACATTCAGCGCTGGCGCGAAACGTACCGTGGACTAGATGGGGAGTTGAACGATTGGCTGCAGAACTTGCCCGGCGAATACGGCAAGATCTCTCAACTCTGCCACTCGGATCCTGGAAGCAGAATTTCCAACTGGATCATGCTTCATGCCGCCTTTGTCACTTCGGTTATCCGACTGCATTCTTCCGCCGCCTATCCCACCATCAAATCTCCTGTTTTTACGCCTTCATATCATGCAATCCAGCGCTGCCTAGGCGCCGTGGAGAGTTTGAGAGAAATCGCCCAAGACGTCATGAACACCGGCATGCTTGCGCTTCTGGGCCATCCGTTTGCGTTTGCGTTGTGGGTCTCTGCGAGGCTGCTCCTCGTGCACGCAGCGACCATGGAGTGTGAAATCGATCCCAAAATAATGTTCTTCATCTCCACTCTGGAGCAGATGGGGCGACATTGGCAAGTTGCGGGGAACTACGCGAGGATATTGAATGATGTAGTGCAGGAGGGAAGCAATGGTTCCGGTCGGACATTCACCGCAATGAGAAGGTAGGGTTCTTGGGACCTCTCAGTATTCTTCCGCCCAACCAGGAACTGACAGATCATCTTCAGGTGTGCCTACGAACTGAACCTCCTAACCTCCCAACGTCCTCATTCGGTTCTCGACACCGTGACCACGCACAACTCGTCGCAAAGCGAACTCGAATTTTTGGAGGTCTTCGACTTTTTCAACTACCCGCGATTGAGTGCCATTGCGGGCAGCAACGCCTTTGATCTATCTGCCTCAGTCACGAATCAGAACCAAACGACGCCGACGCAAGGCCAGGCGCCGAATCATCGAGCGACGCCGGCCTTTGTCATTCCGAATCCGGAGAGCGATTGGTTGATATTTAAACCACCTTTTGAGTAGGCGCTCCGCCATCAGGCGATTACTACCTATGCCCAAGCCTCCTCGTGTTCGTCGCAGTACATTCTTGATACACCTTATCGATGTGTTTCTGTTGCTACAAGTCATACACCGCAATAAATGGCCAACAATATCGGTACCTCGTCACTCCCAAGACTGGGGAGGCTAAAATCCAAATGATCTTCTACGCGAATGCCGCTGCAAGCGTGACGGATGTCATGGGCCAAAAACCAAGAACGGGCCAAACCACCTGCTAAACCACCTGCTAAACCACCTAATATCATACATACTACTATTCCTCCATGTTCTCCGACGACCGAGGATGAGGTCTGGGCCACGAGCCAGCTCCAAGGTGGCCGCCGGAATGGGAGGAAATCTAATCTCAATAAGTGCAAATGTTGGATCGAGGGGGGTAAACTCGGTTCAGCACTCAGGCCGATAAGTGCAACCTCTGCTGTCAACGCCACCGGAGTCGACCAGGCCGATACTGTGACAGCTTCTGTCAAAGCCACAGCATTTGGGATGAACAGTGAATGCACTCGTTGAGGTCACCTCAGACCTTGGTAGACGGATCGCGGGTTTCCAGGTCCTCCCCACGACCCCCGACTCTAGCTAGATCGCAAAGGCTTTCATATGTCCGCAATGCTGAGAAAAGGAAGGAATAGAAACCCAAAGGCTGAGAATCTCAACCGTGCCCTTTAGAGACAGGGCATGAATCAATGCCACTATGACACAAGAGTGCCAGCACAAATGTCAGCTCCTGCCGCTCGGTCAAGAAGTCCTCTCGCCATGTCTCTTTGCACTCTTCTACCTCTTTCCTTCATCTTACCCGGCGACGTCTGACCTCGCAATGCTACACGTCGCACCAAGCACCCACCACCTAGCTACTACTTGCGCAGACTTCACAATTGCCCCTCGACAAGCTGCAACATGCCTACGCAAATGCACCCGGTGAGGCTTTGCAGACGGCAAACCCGCCGAACTGGAGAACGCTGGCGCCAATGAACAGGCCATTGAACACATGTGCCGCCGTCATGAAACTGAGTGTCGACCCGTTGTCAAAGTAGATCAGCTCCGGGGTGTAGTCGTTTTCTCGACGGAGGCGCAGCGCTGCTGCTGGGACCAGGAAGTCCTTGCCCAGGGATCGGACGTTTTGGAGGTAAGCCGGGAGGTCTTCGAGCGTGGGGAAGACTGCATAGGGTGGGTGATACATTATCAGATATCTGGATTGGGGTGCATTGGGGATCGAGACAAAGCGCTCCCTTACTTACCTGCGACGATGAGATCGCCCGTGCTTGGTATGATGTTGATGTTGTCTGCGGCGGCTCCCAGATCCTGCGCATAGTCCGGGTAATTCAGCCTATACTCTGTGTACCCCCTTCTTTTGTCTTTTTGCCCCGTCAATCTAATGAGGATAGATAGGACTTACAACGGTCTGCAAACGGGTCAAACTCTTGTCTCCGTGTATCTCGAACACAGTGACGGTTCCGTTCTTCGAGTCGCCGACATAGAGACGATCTTTCCATACGTTGATCCCATTGGCCCCTGGAAACGTGCCGGACACTTGCTTGCAGACGACATCCTGTTGAGCGGAAGGCAATAAATAACGTGAGAACCGAATCTCGATCAAAAGACCCTGTCGTTAGTGAAAGAAAAACGCCTACGTACCTCTGCTCCTGCGTCGCAGTATTGTACATGGGTAGCCCAGCTCCACGGCCCGAACGTCTCCTCCATCGCCCGCAACAGACCCCCGGCGAAATAGTGGTCATTGGTCACGAAGAAGTCCCTATATTTAAGTTGTCAGCGCGATGCGAAGGGGGCGACACAGACGGTTTTTACTACCCCCCCCTCCCCTGGTTAGCTTAACGGGGGCGGGGAACTTACAATGGCCCTGTTGCGGCGACGCCGTTCGCGGTCTTGACATTGGCGTGCTTGACGTTCTTGACCAGCTCGACCACGTCGGACCCGAGCGTATGGACGAATATGGCGATCGAGTCACCGCTGCGAGCATGGTTGACTGCAAAGATATGGATCTTCTCAGAAGTTAGCTGGATCTCATCCTCCGGCAGATATGTACAGCCTGGGTGGGAGGGAGGGGGGAGGGAAGGAAGGAAGCCTGACGCGAGAAGAATCTCCAGGGAGCGGAAATATGTCGATACCATGCGTGATGAAATCGCCTTCTAGGCCCTTGATGCGCAGCTCTGTGGTCTCGCCAGTCTCCAGGTCGTGCTTGAACAGATGTTCCCGAAAGGAAGACTCGGCGCGGAGCGAGACCGTTCGAACACCAGCGCAAGGGTACCAATGTGTCCTTTCGACAGGATCGCCACAGGCCAGAAAGGCAGTGTGCGAGGGGAAATGGATCTTGACGTCTTCACACGCGTTGGCGGCCCTGATGACTTGGCAGTCCTCGTTGTTGAGCGCCGAACTGTTTTCCCAGCGCACGAGTCTGGCTTTGTCGATATCTGCTCGCCCGACGAGTCTCCCAAGTTGGCCTGACTGGTGATAATACAGGGTGACCGCCGAGATCAGAGGAAGAAGCAAAGACAACAGGCGAAATGTTGTGCTTGACATGGTTTGGTGTATTTCGTTGAGTTTTCCTAGAGGCGACAGATATATTGGCAGCAAAAGGGCGGCGAATAATTTGTAATCTTGACAAGCCAGAATCAGGAGGTTTTTGCGGAGAAGAACGCACCCAAGGATGACCCTTCCTCCTTACCCGAGATCGCATAGCCTATGACAGAGCAGCCCTGACAGTTGCTGGCCGATCGTGTATGTATCTCTCACCGGGCTCGCCTCATTTAGACAAATTCCTAATACGGATACGTCGACCCGGACCTTTCTGTTTTGTGCAGCATACCATCTAAAACTGTCCTCTTTGAGAATGATCGGGGAGCAGCAAAGCGAGGTAGGATATCTCGTTGGGCCTCTTCCGACCTACCGTCTGTTATTTCTGATTGCTTGCATACTGTCTAGATGGATCAAGGGTGACAAGATGAGGGGAGCTCGGGTCAGCGTCGATGAGAATCATTTCACAACGGAGATGCCTCCAGCAAATGGCGACCTCCACGTCTGGTCTTTGCTCAGGCACACTCTCATTCTTGGCCGAACAAAATATCATGCTGTGCAAGCAGCATGTCGCCTCCTCCCGCTCAGCCGATCACGGCGCCATGCTGTCCCCTGGCTCAGGCGTTGTTCATGACACGAGCTGACACAGCGCCGGTGGAATAAGGATCAGAAGAGAGCCGGCTAATTTCGAAAAAGGATGATTCTTGCCATTTGCAGTTCAATCCTTCTGAGCCGCCATGTCAGCAAATACTGTATTGAAGTGGCCACTGCTTAGGACATGTGCCAAAGAATATGGAGCATTGGTTATTGTTGTAAGGCCAACATTGTCAGAGGGGATGATGATAATAGTGGGGTGCTGTTTCCTTCCGTTGCCCAGATAGGAAACGTGGGGCCCTCCACATTGTGGGATTGATGAATGTAGTACGGTATATTGGGGTAAAAGCGACATCGACTCTGGACGAGGCTGACATCAAGAAAATATACTGAACCTCTAACCAAAGACGATAGATTTGGCCATCGCCGTCCCTCAATTCTGCCACCATGTCGACAGTCACGGTCGAACATCCCTCAATAGGACCAGTCAAGGGCCTTGTGCGCGATGAGGTGTATCAATTCCTAGGGGTTCAATATGCAACGCTCACGGACAGGCTTGCTGAAGCTCAAGTTAAGTCGACATATGAAACTCCAATCGATGCCACAGCTCATGGGTAATTTGATTCTTGCCATGTGGCTTGTTGAGATATTGACAAATATCTTCAGGCCCTCTTCATACTCTCCCGCAGATGGATATGACAACGAGATGCTATTTATTCAGCACTCAATGCCCAAGCCAAATATCGTCCACTCGGACTTGGAATGCTTGAATTTGAACATCACAGTGCCGAAAGGCCAGGGCGACGTCAACCTTACAAAGCAAAAGCTCCCCGTGTTCATCTGGATGCACGGAGGTGGTTTCGTTGTCGGAGCGAATTCCTGGCCGCATTATGACCACGCCAAACTCATCCAGCTTGCCGGTGCCAATGGAGTCCCCGTTATCGGTGTAGGCATCAAGTACGTATCCAGCTCTTCCCAGGGGAATAGACGGCAATGGAATTTGGGACTTGCATTTGAGCACTGCTGAGATGAGATTAGCTTTCGCCTAGGACTGCCAGGCATGTTGACCTCAGAGGAATTGCGCCAAAAAGGATACAAATCTAACAACGGACTACGCGACCAGCGCGCGGCATTCCGCTGGGTGAAACAGCATATTGCTGGATTTGGTGGCGATCCAGATAACATCACTGTGATCGGTGAGAGCGCTGGAGCAGGTATATAAAACACCCCTGATTTGAGCTCTTTCTCATCGTGCGAAGACGTGCAGCTGACTTGAGTGATTTTCTAAGTTGCCACCACGCTGCACCTGTATTCAAAAGAGCCGCTCTTCAACCGAGCAATCGCGACGGGCGGTTCTTGCCTCCTGGTCCCTCCGTTCGCTCTTGAGGATCAGGAACGCACGTATCAACAGGTTCTGTCCATCCTGGGCCTCGAAAAGCTCGATGCCGAACAGCGGATCCAACAACTTCTAACACTACCAATGGACGAAATCATAGCCAAACTGCCACCATATGTCGCATTCTTGCCCACGGTCGATGGAGACATCGTTCCTGTACGGCCCACTTTTGCAAGCATAGCCAACAAGTCGGATCAAAGCATGGCGGGCAAGCAGTGGGCTGAAGCCTTGATGATTGGACACAGCCAATTTGATGTAAGTTCGAACAAGCAAAATCTGATTGATCTGGTCATTGCGGATTGTTGCCAGCTGACAGATATCATCTCCCCTCTAGGCATCCGTCCTTGGATTCATGCTAGGACACCTCAAGTCCGGCATCAGCGAGAAGTTCCCCGCATCAGTGAGATCCTCTCTGTCGGCAACACTAGACCTCGCAGAACATCTACTCGACTCGTACGGTTTCAACGACTCGACGATGGATGACGACACCGCATTCGTCAAATTCCTCGAGCTGGTGAACGACATCAGTTTCTTCGGCGCGACCACCTCCTTTGCTCGAGGCTGGCCCCTTTCGTTGGGCGCTCAGCCAAAATTCTTCACGTTTTTCTTCAACGAACCGAACCCGTGGCCGGGTGCTTACCAGGGTCGAGCAACCCACGTACTCGATGTTGTGTTCTTGTTCCAGAACCACAACCAGAACTTGCCGCTCGCGCAAAGAGCCGCTGCTGAGGCGTTCGGGCTGGACCTGGTCAAGTTCGTCGCCGGGCAGAAGCCCTGGCCAGGGTACACGCCTGAGAAGAGGGCTGCGAAGATATTTGGGCCGTCGCAGGGAGACGAAGGTAAAGCGAATGCCAGGGTTATTGATGACGCGGAATCTTTGGAGACGGGGAGAGGCAAGGCGATCCTGGAGATTGGAGACAAGGTCGGGTTTGATAAGTTGAATGAGGCAATTGGGAGGTTCAGAATGGGTCTTTGAAGTGGATGGCACGGGAATAGAAATAGCCCCGTGCATAGGCCCCCAGGGATCGGATGTTGGCTGACCTTCGCTCTTTGTAACCAGGGGCCCAGCCTTGCTGGATTTTGGGGAAAGTTGGGGTACACACTCGTACATACACACGCACACACGCACGCGGATCGCTTTTTATTGGGTGCTTCTTGCCTCCTATCCTTGCTTCATTTATATGTCTTTATCGGTAAGAGCCCTTAATAGCTTGATCTTTCCCCGATCAGCTTTAGCCATGGAATGGAGGGATGGGAATTGCACGGATGTTAGAAGGTCGGTCCAACTTAGGGGGTTGTTGTACACAGAACAGGAGTGAACGGTCAAGCGGACAGAGTGCCGCGGAAGAGGCGAAGGATGTTGCCCATCTTGATTTCACGTAACGGCCGCGAACCAGGTTTAAAGAGATGACGAGACGGCGGAGAGGTTTTCAGGTTAGAAGCCTGTCCATCGCCAGCAGAATTGCGACGAGAAGCGTTCTTCTCGGGAATTATTTATACGATTTTACGTTGCCTGCATTTTATTAGCTGAAACGCTTTGCTTCCTAGCCTGGGGATGCTCGGAAGATGCCAAGCTGGATTATATGCGCTATGGTACAAAGATGGTCCCCGGTAAAGTAATGAAAGGCTCAAATTGACCTACAGAGGGAGCCCTTGGGGCGGAAGTGGGAACCTGAGCAATATAAGGGTTCCATCACGGCAACAAGTGATTGAAGCGCTTTAATTGGTGTCGTGATGATAAGTTCCAGTACGGAAGAGTCGAAGCACTCGGTACAGAGAGAGCAGCCAGGCCTTGATGGCCGAGTCAAGCTAGTGCCGTGACAGGTTCTCATGCCTCTACTTGTAGTGTGTGAAACGTACGACAGTCCAAATAGTAGAGAGCATTGGTCTATTTTCAGGGATGTCGGTGCATCTGCCGTTTTAGCGATTTCTTTCCTATTTGTAAAGATATCTGGCCTATATATAAAATGCGATGCAGAAACACTCCATATCAACGTTATCTGTGACGGTGTCGTCCTGTCATATAACCGTGGTGTCTTGGGCCGCGTGGTTGCCCAGTTATGCTTTCGAGAACCAGTCTTCGTGATTCCACCAAGTTAAATCGTTGCTTCTGTGGCCTAGCCGTAACTCTCTCTACAGCTGGAAATTCCGAAGGAGTAGGCGCGGCGAATACAGTTGTTTATTTCACCAAAGGAAGCTCTTAGTTCGTACCGCGCTTACTTCGGTAGGCGTACTCGGCAGAAGTCGTACACACCAAAATTTAGTGCGCTCAACCTCCTCATACAACACATTCGAAAGCCGTTCGAATAAGTGTTGTTCTTAAGCGAACCAGGCGATTTGAGCGAATTGCTTGACCCTACACCGGATTCGTAAAGCCGGCTAACGATTTCAACTAGCCCCTACCGTTATAGCTCCATACTCGCGCCAAGGCGATAGATAAGTATTTGTCCTCCCTTTTTTTGATGAATTTCTAGCCCGAGAAAGTGGAAGCCATCTCAAGACATCCAATGTTATCATTCTTTGAGAGATTCGTGAATCATAGTCTTTCTTAGCGTGAATCTGACGAACCATTTCCATTTATTTAATTGCGCAGCCATGGCTGACATCGGAGGTGTGACAAGGCTGGAGGCTGACACATACACCTCTCCCTCAGAATTGAACCTATATCAATATCAATCTATCCAAGAAGACGCCTGCATCCGACTATTGACACTACTACCGTCTAAGCTTGCGTCCTCAGATATCCGCATTAAACTGTCAATAACTCCCTTGTCGGACACACCACCGTACGAAGCTACCTCGTACACCTGGGCTACCAAAGATGGCGACTCGTCAATATCCAGCTCCGTTGTTTGCGAAGGGGCCCACATAAAAGTCACTCGAAACTGCGTCAACTTGCTCCAGACGCTCCGCAGAGAGGACACTGAAAGGGCACTATGGGTCGACGCGATCTGCATCGACCAGACCAACATGGAGGAACGATGTTACCAGATCATGCTCATGGGTGAAATCTATACCAAGGCGGCCAGGGTGGTCATCTGGCTTGGCGATGCATCTGAGGCGGTCGACCCAGACACAGGTGTTCCCATCTCTGATCTCGGCATCAACTATCTCACGGCGACGGCGACCGAATTGCGCAAGTCGGAGTCTAGAGCTGAAAGATCTCCTTTTTCCTCGCCGTCTTCATCTCTCTACGACGACCTCTCAAACCAGGGCGCCGAGTATGTCATCCATAGGAAATCCAGCCCCTTACTCCAGGGCTTTCTGGATGTAGTTCTCCGACCATGGTGGGAACGCGTCTGGGTCGTTCAGGAAGCCGCTCTGGCGGAGTCGGCCGTCGTGATCTGCGGCGACAGAGTCGCCAACTACGCCGACTTCTACCTTTACTTCACCGTGCTGTCGCGCGACGAGGGCCACAATGCTGGGTTGACGTGGAGTTTGATGGATGGATGCAAATCGCACATGCTGGCCGTGTATAACATCAAGGACCGCGTGCGGGATCTGGGTCCTGCGAGGGCATTTCGGAAAGTCATGTCGCGGAGTCGGCGCTTGCGTGCTACGGATAAGCGGGATCATATCTTCGCAGTACTCGATACCTTCGGGGCATTTAAATCGGACCTCCCCTTTCCAGATTACACGAAGAGCACGGCCGCGGTTTTTGGCGACATGACGGAACGAATGTTTCGACTCCTCGGTTCACTCGACGTTCTTCTCGAAGCTACCAACACCGACAGTGACTCGAATTATCCGTCGTGGGTCCCGGACTTCTCTCGAAGACCACAGTTCCACATCCCCGCAAACTGCGAGTTATACCACGCCTGCGGCAAATCCAGGCCCGAGTACAGCATATCCCACGATTGCAGGGAGCTCAAACTGCTTGGGAAATGCATCGACGTGTTGGAATATCACCCCAAGACCGCCGACCTCTCAGCTTACAAGAACCCCTACATCGCCACAAAAAGCATCCCAGGTTACCAACAATCATGCCTGGTCGGCCTCTCCCTCTCAAGTTACTCGACCGGAGAAGATATAAAGGAAGTCGTCTGGCGCACACTCTGCTGGAACGTCGACGTGCGCATCGACTACCCCGCGACACCCTCGCTCGCCCCATCGTTCGACAAATTCCACGAAGCTCTATTCTCGGGAAAACACGTTGAGGAGATTGACAAGGACTTGCTGGGCGACGGGCCGGCGGGATTCAATGATATTTGCGTGCATTCCATGCCCCTGGGCATCACGGCTAAGAAGTATTTGGCATCTGCTCCGTGGACGGCGCGTGAGGGAGATATCATCGTTCTCTTTGCCGGAGCGCATGTACCGTTCGTGTTGCGCCGCAATTTACCGCTGGAGGAGGCATACTATTCTCTAATAGGTGCGTGTTACGTGCATGGAATCATGGACGGAGAGGCTTTCCCGCAAGATGAGGCTGAGTTACATTGGTTTGGGATTAAGTAAACGAAACAAATCAAAGAGAAAGACCGCCCTGATCAGAGTGGCGCAACAGAGCCTTCATTCTGCAAAAGATAACCTGAGGCATGTTTCTAGCTCTGAGGAAATATGCCTTCCGCGTATGCCTCTTTTACCTCGTCCCCTTCCCTCCGTGCTCTCCTCTCAATTCTCTTCTTACTTCTTTCCATGTTGATTTAGGTCCTAGAGCTTAAGGCGGAGCATGATTTTAGGTTGGCTTACTCGCAATTGTATGCGCGGGCCATTTGAGAAGGAACGACGCTCCTCAGCTTATTCCTGAACTCCCCCTCTCTGTCGCACATCTTCCGGAGCTGGACAGTTGAATGTCTCCGCCAATGACTCTAAGGGATCACGAGAGTAGTCGGACTCAGCATCAGTCAGCGTCATCCCGCTCAGTTCGCTAGTTGCATCTTTCGGTGACGCGGAAGAGAGGGGCGAAGGTGAGCTAAGATACTGATCGAACAGCGTATCTAAATTCGAGTCGTTATCGATGTTTTCTAGCGGCTCTGTGAACTCTGGGTTCTATTTAGCGCCTATCTTATTAAAACTATATTGTTAAAGATCCTACTTGGATCTGACTGGGTCAGGGTTCCTAGTAACAATCTGAATAGTATGAACTGGTTGTGGATCACGCAAGGTATGAGCAGTCACCTGTTACTGAGAACTGTATAGTCCAATAGGTAACATGAGTTGGCTACGAAGAGAGTGTAAACTATCTAGGGGGAGTGAGCGTAGCTATATACCCGTAAGGGCCGTCCCGAACAGGTAACCGGGGATGATATGTTGGTATGTTGGTATGTTGACATGCCAACACAGTACCATAGCACCATATCATATATTTCCTTTTCTGGCAGTCACGTGCTGCATGTGATCCAGCCTTGTCTTGGGCCTTTGTCCCGCAGGGCTGTTCTTTGCCGGTAGACCTTCCTTCTGCTATCCCCCCCTGGGGTCGCACAAAAGGCTGTGTCTAACATATATGTATCGGCGATACCGACGGACGAGGTGAATGAAGTATATATATATAGACTTCTAAGTAAATAAAGTTCGTAGCGAAATAAGAGAAATATATTATCGTTGTTAAACTATTATAAATCTATGTCTACACCCGTTTAGATTAAAAGTGTAGCTAAAGTATAAGTGTTAGACACAGCCTTAAGGCCGGTCACGGGTCGCACAAGCACGACTCACCACACTCATTGGACACATGGAAGGATCCACAGGAGAACAAGGCTAGATCTGAGAATACCTAACCCAGTTAGGACCTAGCGGCGGCTCTAACAGCGAGCTGCCGAGCCACTTCAGAAGTCAAACACCTTCGGACGTGTCTCATGCATGTTCTAGCCGCACCCTGACAAGCCAACTGCAACTTTCAGCCTAACGACCTATGTTACAACTTCCTTCGACTTCCTTCCTCTCAATGCATTATCACCGGCGATGTATCGAATTATATTCTGACCACAATGCTAGATTTGCGGGCCCTGGGAATCTCTTATAACTTCCCGTCAAAGATGGAATACAATCCACTCCCCAGCCTTCTAATTTTGGTGACTGTAACATCCTAAGTCGAACCAGCAAAGGCCTGGGCTAATCACGATTTGAAACGTGGCACTCTTGGGGAGTGCGAAGGGACTAGAATTCGGATGTCCAGTAGAGGCAAAATGTTTACCTTAGGAGCTAATGCTGTGTAACACGGTCGGGCCTCGGGGCAAGCAATCAGGCTGAAAAAATACGAAGTTGGCGGTAGTATGTCTCAGCCTCGATACGTGTAGATGCACGATGTTCTAACCTAGACTAACTCAGCGCCAAACCCACAGGAAGAGCTGCATCCTGCTCGAATGAGCCTTCAATTATCAGCGTCATCCAAGGCTTTCCGATTTCAACTCAGCTGATTACTGGCTTAGCCGTTCCTCGTTAGTGGCTCGGCATAGGGTTATTCGAGACCGGTGAGAGGATCATGTCCGGTGCACTGCAGGTAGGAATTGACTAATTTCATTCGGGAAAAGTCACGCAATGCGTGATAGCGGCTGAGACGGCAGCATTTAATCTTTACTAGATCCACTCTCTCGTTCCACTACTTCATCAGTTACTAGAAATCTTCGACTTTCCTACCACCACTTAACAACTAGTCGGACTCAAGAGCCTGTCTACCATGCATTTCAGGTAAGACTCCAGCATGTTCATCGGACTGTTGCCTGACATGTATATCAAGCGGGAATATCGAATGCCAACTCGGTGGCAATCAGGACGGACCTGTAACCTATGGTAAGATACATATAATTTTGAAGATCTACGCTAAAGGCCGTCAAGCTAGAGGACAACTTCTTGCTCATGGCAGCTCTGGCGGAGGAAACCATGGTGGTTCCAGCAGCGGCGGAAATACTGGCTCCAGCACCGGCGGAAATACTGGCTCCAGCACCGGCGGAAATACTGGCTCCGGTAGTAGTTAGTTTACTGGATTAGCAACGTTGAGTTGCTAGGAGGGCGGCCTTGTGTGATGATCACTGGTTGCTAAGGCTCGGGCTCAAGCAAAAACGCAAATTTCAGCAATCACTACACAATCGAAACAATGACTCTTAGATCTTGCTCTGCGTTCGCACTGAACACATAGTCGATCTTACTGATAACCTTCTCTTAGTCCTTGACCCAGAGTGCGGCGTACAGATCCTGATTGAAATCCACAGTATATCCACTGACAACAGCCAATCGATATCCCAGATCCACCCATTTACCCTGCTCGCTCTGATACTCCGTGGCGGTCAGCCCATGCCGTGCAAACCACCCCTTGCTATGAGATTTGTCCCAAATCGCGGCGTAATATGCCTCATTGTCAACCACGTAGCCACAAACGTGGACAAGTCGAAACCCCCGATTGACGTACTTGTCGAATTCCTGCTGATATTCGCTCGATGTTACGCCATGGGCAGCAACCCAAGGGATCTCGGTTTCTGACTTGTCCCACAAAGCTGCGTACAGTGGCTGATTTCCTTGTGCATACCCACTGACGTGTCGTAGTCTGTATCCTTGAGAGATATAGGTATCAAAAGCCATCTGATAGTCTGTAGAAGTCATGCCATGTCTAGAAACCCACACAGTGCCAACAGACTTGTCCCAGACGGCTGTATAGAGAGCTTTCCTTCCGATACCGGTGTAGCCGTTGACAAGCCTGAGCCGAAAGCCATCTGCAACAAGAGCCTCGAATTGCTCTTGATATTCTTCGCCCGTCATGCCGTACTTTGCAACCAAGTTTGGAGAGTCCATTCGTACCCATATAGCAGCGAAACGCAGATCAGAGTCGATAATATAGTTGCTGACGCACTTAAGACGGTACCCGTCTTTGGCAAGATGATCAGATGTTTCGTGATAAATAGACGACGGCATTGCGTGTCTGGCCTGCCATTGAATACCAGCTTGAGCTTGACGCTTTGAATTCCTAATCGCCTCTTCGAGCCGGGTGAACGCATAGTCTCCCTCGCCATACAGGAAAGGCATGTAAACGCCGAAAATGCCCAGCAGAGAATACGCCTTGTCCTCTTTGCGCTTTGTTTGCCGATTCGCGGCCCACAGCATTCGTTCATCTACGCTGAAATTGGACATAGGGCTTCCCCGAAGAGCCTCGACAGGAATTCCAGTGGCTTCGTGCACTTGTTGTTCCAGCGATCTCTTGCTGCCTAGGTGTTCGCCTTCTTTGGAGTAGAATTCAACTGATCGCGGCGCGAGCAATTCCTGCAGTGTCCAGCCGCGAGTAAACCATCTACTTTTCCGAAAGGACGACTCCCAGAACTGGCCGATTTCAACATCCGATAGATACCCATAACAGACGGTCGCCTCGTGGTACCAGCGAAACATAGAGATAATGGCCTCTGACAGTTCGGTGTGGTTTGGTTTGTTGATACAGCAAGTGTCAACCCAGAAGTACCGTAGGCCATCTTTTGAGGCCTGCTTTGCGCAGAATATGAGCTTTTGGTATCCAGCCTTGGCTTGGCCTGAGCCGGTGCTTATATCTTCGAATGTGACCTCTTCGGTGTCCTTGCCCCATGTATGTGAGAGTATGGCATATCTGGATGTATCTTCAGTGGGGGATTCATCGACGAAGCGAAATGTTGTGTTGTTGTGATATTCCAAAAGTCGCATTGTCTCAAAACGGATTGAGGGGTCGTGGACGTGGGTAGTTCAAGCAGCTCGAGCTTGTCTGCGATGTAAGTTAGGAAAGTAATTGTAAGGGCTGTGACAGGACCGGATCATTAGATTTTCCGTACCCAGTAGTACGGCTCATCTCCGGGGCCTCATGAGGCCCCGGCGGGCCCCGGTCCCCACAATTCAGACCTCTTCGTCTCCGTAGCATGTACGGCGGGGCGCCTCAAAAGTCATTGCAGCGCTAAATTTTAGCTTCTACCGCTAGTACCTTCACTTGCAACCTTGAAAGACCCCTCACCTTATCCGCCATCGAACTAGGTTATATCATGCATCTTCAGCTCCCTATTATTGGAAGCGAAAAATTTACACCGCTAGTTCGATGACTGGACAGGATTTCAACTCTTCTCACTCCTTTACCAACCTGAATAGTTAGTTTCCTCTTGGTCCAAGTTGTTCATAGCTCTTTGGCTATACTGCCGACCGCGTGGAACTCTAGCTCGGTGTAAAGAAGAGGAATGTTCAATATATCTGGCAGAAGGCGAAAGAAAGAGGATATAAACCAGCGTAGGATCCTCGAATTCTTCTTCATTATGTTGAGGACGGCTATCGTTCTAGGCGGCCAAGGCTCATCATTCAGCTAGGTGCGCTCTTAGGCAAGGATCCAATGGCAGAAGGGGTCTAGAAATGGGACTAAGGACTGCTGATGAGAAGGCTGAGCACTGAGCAGATTGACTAAAGCGGCTAGGCCACATCCTAAAACGGGTGACAAAGTTTGAAAAGTTCAGTCGATGGTGAACACCGAATCCCTGGAGAATCGTAGATGCATTACTCGACTTATTTTGTGGCTCGGCGGAAAGGGGGATGAGGCTATATATGTTTGTATGTAGATCGATCTCCTCCTCCCCTTGGAGATGTCCGTGGCAAATATTGGGAGAAAAGTCTCTATCTCCTGGCGCCATGATGTATGATAGTGACTATTAGGCTAGGAGCTATAATGCTATATGCTATCCCGTAGCGGCCAAGTAACCACCTTCGCTGCTCGGTCACTCTTCATGGGTCCGGATGTGCATCTTCTCGAGCAGGTTATTCCGCGCCCAGTAGCTGCGGTACTTCTTCCCCAGGAAGAACATGGCGGGCACAGTGGCGATGAGGGCGAAGGCGACGCCGCCCCAGACGTAGAAGGCGTGCTGGGCGCCGACGCTCGCGGTCCAGTTGTTGACGAAGTAGCTGAAGCCGTACAGGATCAGATTCTTGACCGACATGCTGGCGATGAAGATCTCATTGGCCATCCCCCGGTACGCGTCTAGCGCGTAGTTGGACGTCCCGATACACAGGAACATGACCCCGAACAGCATCAGGCCGTGCACCGTCGCGCACGCGTAGGGGGACGCGCCCTGCGAAACCAGGTGGCCGAAGAGCATGAGACCCACACCTGAACATACGCCCAGGATGCACGGGATGAGGCGGTACTCGGGCTCGTAAACGCCCCTGTTGCGGCGCGCGCACCATTTAATGAACGGGTCGGAAAGCGTGCCCATGATGATAGACCCCAAAATGCCCCCCACGAACGGGCCGAGTGAGAGATAGCCGATGCTGGCTGGGCTGAGGAGATACGGCGGCGGCGCGAAGAGCTGGGCCAGACAAAATGCGATGACCACGTACAGGACAACGTACATCGAGTTGACGATGAGGATCCATAGGACCGCCAGGTTGAGCACGACGGCAAAGGGCGCAATGAGGAGTTGGACGAAGTTCTCGTTCGAGTAGGTGCCGCTGAAGATGGCCAGTTCCTGCGCAAAGGTCTTCTTGCGGTACACCGGCGTCGAGGGCGCGCTTGCTGTCTCCTCCGTGTGGGTGGCGATGCCGGGTTTCTCCATGTTCAGTTTCTCCTGGTACTCGAGCGCGGCGAGGTCCTGGAGGTTGTCGTTCTTGACCTCGTCGATTTCATACCGCCGGTCGCGCACATAGCTTGTCTCGGGGACGAAGAAGAACTGCAGGATGGACTGGATACCCCCAAAGAGGACCAACAGATAATACCTGTAAGACTCGATCAACAGGACTGCTCCAAAGGAAAAAAGTCCCCAAATTGGACGTGGCCACAACACTTACAGCCACCGCCATCCGACATTCGACGCGATCGGGCCAGCGACCACACCCGTCAGATTCGAGATTCCAGCCAAGATGAAATTGATGCAGGATGCGTAGATTCCACGCTCATGGACGAAAAATAGATCGCTGATCAGAGTAAAGATGAGCGATTCGTACGGCGCAATGGCGAAACCCTGCAGGATCCGGGAGGCGAGCACTCCCTCGTAAGTGTTCACGCAGGAACCCACAATGTCGGCAATGAGACAGAAGACCGAAGCGAACAGGAAAATCGGTCTCGTGCCCCATTTCCTGGAAAGAGCCGAGAATAAAGGCCCTGTTACGCCAATGACCAGCGTTTGATATCCCGAGCTCAGCACGAGCTTGGGGATCGTCGTGTTGATCTCGATGGACATTTCGTAAAAGGCCGAGTTCAGCATGGCGCTGACGACGGCGGCGTACAGGATCGAGCCCCAGCAGGTAATGCCCAAGGCTGTAAGTTTCTTAGTGTAAGGCCAGTTGAGCGGGTCGTTCGGATCGTTGGAAGGCTGAGGCACCAGCACGATGTGAGCATTGCGGCCCGTGCCATGTTTGAGCCCGCCGGTCACGTCCTGCGAGTGCGCGGCGTCCTCTTCGAGGATGACGGTGCCCGGAACGTGCGGGATCTTGGTGTCGTCGAGAATGCCGAGAAAAAGCATCTTGCTATGAGTGGCCGGATTTAGTGACCCGGTAGCGTGCCTGCCCTGGCAAGGATGGAAGGGTGGACAAAGAAGAGTTGTGTCAAGGAGATGGCAACATTGAAAAGCGGAGGGAGGGCGCGGAGTTCGGCCGTTTCTTATAATTTGGGATCCCTTTTCTTTTCTGACTTCGCTTACAGAATGAAGCTCTTCGCAGGACTGAGTATGACCCAAAGCACTCGCGGTCCTTGCCTCCCACCCATGGGCACAGGAGGGAGGAAGCCTTGGGAGAAACAGACGAGATTCCCCGATGTTTGAATTTCTCCAGTTAGATACTAGCTAAACACCTCCACCCGCCCCATTGGCCCCACTTCTCCAACCGCCCACCGCCTTTCCATTTACGGAAAAACCTGGAGAGCCATCTGGGGGTCAGCATATCATATGCGGAGTAGTGAGTATCCAAGGCACCACAGGTACTTTCCCCCTTCAGAGGGGAGAGAAGAGGAACGTGGGGTTCTCCAATTCCCATAGGTGGCTAGACAACCAGGATCGCTTTGATCCAGTCCACACGTGGCCCCTGCAATATGATCATCTCTCTTGCCAGGGGCTGTCCAAACGAATGTGTTGTTGGCTAGATACCTATACCTCAGGTCCTCGACAAGATGCTTTCCCAAAAGCTTGGACAGCACAGTTCTCCGAATCGCTGCAGGTACAATCATTTAGCGTAAAGTTTCTGTGCGGCTGAGGCTGGTCACGAGGTGGCATTCAGAGTTTGAACGAGGTACTATGGTAACCAAAAGAACTCGGATAATACAATTGCAAGCAGTTGAATGATACATGCCCCACGTCAATTGAGACTCATGTAGACGGCCTTGCCCCAATGCATAGCCAAATTCACACCCTAAATTTGAATCACTGGACTCCAAAACACCTTACTTTTCCTCCTTCGGGTATCAGTCTCAATTTGTCCCCACTTTTGTTATGTTCCCAACCCGCCGACGAACAGATAGTCCCATATTAAAGAAACTCATGGCAAAGATCCGTGCGCCTCCGGCACAGGCCTGAGTGTCGGTCTCAGAGGCACAGGTCTTTTCGAGGTGCCCTCCAACGGCGCGAGACTCCGTGAAGACACCTCTCCCTTCAACACTTGCTCACGGGTGATTTGGAGCAGATCGCTGGGCAAACCCATGCTGGCCAGGAACGCAACAGTGTCTGTCCACTCTGCCTGTTTTCTTTTTTCACTCCATTTCAGCTCTTCGGCCATGATGTCAATCACCTTGGGCAAAGCATGCAGCGCCGCCTGCGCATTCAGAAAGCTCAGCCTCGTCCGCCTCGCGAGAACGTCTACTGCGGTTTGCGCATATTCACTGCGGACAGCATAGCGGACTTCACCGTCGATGAATGGATACAAAGACGATAGCCGTTGACCACGGAGGGGATAGTGTTCGGTGTTGTCGGTGGGAGAAGCCAGCGCCGCGACATCCCAAGCCCGGTCGCCGTAATCGCTGGCCAAATGCTTCGCAACATCCGGGTCAAGACCAAAGTGCTGGATCAGGTTGATGAAGAGAGTCGTCGAGTACCCATGAGCTCCAATCAGGCGAATATGGTGCGTTTGACAGGTTCCATTGAGAAGACCAACCGACGGATCAATCCCGTTGACGCCGCTGATATCCGGGACATAACTGATCGCTTTCGGTTGCAGCTTGAAGACTTCAATCGCTTTGTCGACTGCGTCTTCAGCCATTTGTCGGTACGTTGTCCATTTTCCGCCGGCGCAAGTCAGCAGCCCGGAGTCTGAGACCGTGACCAAATGGCTCCGGACAAGTGACTCTGTCTTTTTGGAATTTGGATCCCGGACGAGTGGCCGTATACCTGGATCATTACCGTCAGCATCAATTCATTCCACAGGTCAGACTATAGGAAACTCACCCGACCAGGCGGCAAGGATATCTGACCTCCGAACATCGATATCGGGAGTAAGGTATGTCCGGATCTCGTCCAAGATCCATTCAATGTCTTTCTCTCCGGCCACTGGGTTCTGGGAGATTGCACAGGGTGCGTCTGTCGTGCCTGCAATGGTGTTGCCTTGCCATGGGAGGAAAAAGATGACTCGTCCATCCGAGGTCGAGGGGTCGATCAGGCCCATATTTTCAGGACTCAGATATCCAGGAAGAACGACATGCACCCCCAAACTAGGTGCGACAATCTCCTTGTCACTGGGAGAGTCCATTTGCCGGATGGCGTCGGAAAATGGTCCTGTCGCGTTGATGATGCCTTTCGCTTTGACAATAAATTCCTCGTCGTTGCTTTTTCCATCCTTGTCTGCGATCAGATCCCGCACCCTAGCGCCTGTAAGTTTGCCGTTTGCGTTCTTCTCCAGGCCTGTCACCTCCAGATGGTTGACTGTTGTAGCACCGTACAATGTAGCGGTCATGGCCAGGGAAATATTCATCCTTGAATCGTTGTGCTGGCCGTCGTAATACACGAGAGCGCCAATGAGATTCTCTTTCTTCAACATGGGAAATGCTTCTAGAGCCTTACTTCTCGGTAGGAAATAAGAGCTCTCGATTCCCTCAGACCCAGCTAGGAAATCGTAGAATTTGGTTCCTGCCCAGAAGTAGGGTGCCTGCCACCATGCCTGGAGCGGCAGCATAATCGGCAGCCAAGATGACAGATGTGGTGCGGTGTACAAGAAACTCTTCCGCTCTCTTAAAGCCTCTCTGACCAGTTGGTATTGACTGTAATCCAAATTCCACACAGCTTTTTCAAGGTACCGCACTCCGCCATGAACGAGCTTGGTGGATTTGCTGCTTGTGCCACTGCTGAAATCGTCTCTTTCCACGATTGCCACTTTCAAGCCTCTCGTGGCTGCATCGAGGGCGATACCTGTGCCAGTAGCTCCGCCACCAATAACGAGAAGGTCGTAGATTTCTGATGAGGGCGTCGAGGATGACTTTTTGAGGTCGGCAATCTGTTCTGCTCTCGTCTTGATGTAGGGGAATTTAGGTGGGATGATGTTTCCATGCTCGTCTCTTCTAGGCGGTTTTGGCGCGAGTGTTTCTGCACCCGGGACGTTTCGAGGACGGTAGATAATGTACATTCCTGCGGTACCTGCCACGGCTAGACCTGCGCCGTACGCCAATGGCTTGAGCAGCCGGCGCATGGAGAATCGGGAGGCCATCGTGGGGAGGGTTCAGAGAGAGAAGCAATCGGGTAAGAGGTTCGACAGGTGAGAGTGGAGCTTTGGAACATATACCGGTGCCGGCTGGAGGTTGCCAATACGGTATGAAGTGTGAGCAAGCTGGAGTCTCTGAATGCAAGGAGACTGATGAGCCTAAGTCAGGGAGGATGCCAGCCGCGATATTTGAAGGAGTCGTAAATGACTCTGGATCGATGAGCAATCGACAGGGAACGCAGCATGGCGGAATAACGGTCTGTCATTGACTGCGGTCGGCGGATTTCATGACCGAGCTCGAGAGGCAAACTTAACCCAGGCCCGCGACGAGCTTTGGCGACCCCGGATCTGCTAGGCATCTCGCGTGATGCTGAGTGTTGGCCTTGGTATTCTTGTCGATGCGGAGAACTAGTTGGCAGGGCCGGCGGCTCGGGCTCATTCGTCCGACCAAGTTCCTGAAATCGAGGCCTCGGGGTCTAATGCCCGACGTGCAGCATGCGGAAATAGACCATCTTGAAGGTTTCCCGATTGGGCATCTTTGCCGCCTTCCTTTTTGCCAGCGTCGCATTGAGGATGGATCCAGGAACAAAAAACTTTGTGCTGTAGAAACTGGCATCGGCCGTATCTTCCCAACTACTGTACTGGGTACCGATGATGGAATCAGCCACTTGAGAATCGGCTGGTGTGGTTTGATGCGGCCAGCCTTAGCGATCTTATTTCAAAGATGTTTGTGCGGCCAACTTCGGCCATTTCCGGACTGGAGGATGGGACTTCCTCAGGAGACACCGTGCACAGCTTCCTCAGATCATGGAGATTGATCATGCCACTTGCACCCCTGGGCCATCGTCTCGGATCTTTCAATGATGCCGCATTCGCGCTGAAGGCCTTGATTCAACCTCTAGAACCAGCATTCTTTCCATGGTGTATTGGCAAAGAAGACAGCCTCAACAGTTGCTGATTGTGGTAGGTCATCGCCAAGTGATACACTCTCAGTCATTCGAACAAGTCGATCATGATTTGAATCATCGATTGACGGGATTGGGCGAACGATCATACACCAACTGACAGGTCAGAGAGCGTGTTTCCGTACCAATAGAAGTCCCCATAACATGCAAAATTTGTTCAAGTTTTAAAGGATCATTGATTTGTCCATCACCTGTTCTTGGAATCTATATACAACGTTGATCAACGCCTTCGCTCAAGAGCCCTCCTATTACCGACAAAGATAGCTGTCCCGTTCCAAGTTCTCCCTCTTCGAATAGCAAAATCACACCTGGCTGTCTCCTTTGTATGTGTTCGACCAAACCGATCGCTTAGGTTGCACAAGACGCTTCAGGCCCATGTAGGGAGTGTTGATGGGGCTTTCGCCGGTAAAGAGGAACATGTCGTAAAGCCAACCTCCGAATGCGCATCCACAGAAAGGAGCAACCATTGGAACCTTGATGCATGTGTCAGCTCAAATTTTCTGTATACTCAACAACACCTCTTGTGTGAACTTACCCAGAAGTAGTAGCCGCCTGCGCTCCAGACCCCATGACCATATCCGATCATGTAGCTGACAAGGCGAGGACCGAAATCTCGAGCAAGGTTGATGGCATAGCCAGTTTCCCAGCCGAAGCAGGCACCGATGCCGAAAATGACGAAGAAGAGAGCCAAAGGCGTCAGATTTCCCGCACCAATGTTTGCATCGTCCTTCAGCGCGTAGATCAAGAACATCAGGATCGTGCTGGCAATAAATTCGGAGAAGAACTGGCCGGTCTTTGTCATGAATGGCGCAGGATAGGTGCAAAAGATTCCCGCGGTAGATGTCGGGCCGCCGACAGTACGGATATTGGGACCTCCCTCGAAAACATCGATTGCAGACTTATAGTTGGCATAGACAATCGCAGAGGCTGCCATAGCACCGAGAGTCTGGGCAAGCATGTAGATGGGAAATTTTCGCCAGGGAAACTTGCGGAAAATTGCGTTGCCTATTTTGCGAATCAGTATGAAATTAGAATATTCACTGATAGAAAGTTTATCGCACTCAACGTGACTGCGGGATTCAAATGTGCTCCTGAGATGCCCGCGGTGTAGACTCCGAGCATAACACCAAGACTGTGTCACCGTTAGCGATCTATGCACTCTCAAATACATGTAGTCGAGATATACGCACCCCCAGCCCCAGGAAATCGATTGGTAGTCACCCTTTGTGCCCCCACTAAGGACCACTTGAGCGACGACACCATCACCGAAGAGGATCAGGATGAAGACGCCAAAGAATTCGGACAAAGGTTCGCGGAGGAAATGTCGGATTCGACTCCAAGCTAAGTCGGGTTCTTGCTGCACGGCATCCGCTTGAGGAATCTTGTGGTCGACGAGTGGACCGTGCTCGGCAAAGGCAGACACATCGGGAACAGAGGTCCGTCGCCTCTGGTCCTGAGGGACATTGAGGTGTTCTTGGTGGGTGATGTTGCCCATTGTGACTAGCTGTTTCTCCACGGACAGGGAAGAAGAGGATGTAGACATATAAGAGATCGAGGTGGCGAGGTGGTCAAAGATATTGCACGACTTTGTGGGGATTGAGAAGAATGAGAGGTGCCCATGGGGGAGAGGAGCTGGGTTATATAGACGGATACCACCTGGTATAACTCCATGTTTCCGCTTCTATCCCTCACGGGCTCCACTGTGTGTAATATCGAGGCTCTTGTAAGTGATACCGAAAACGTGGAAACTGAGTTGCCCAGAAGAAATAGAGTTATGGCCGTCACAATCCTTGTATGGGGTCTAGAACCAAATTGTGCATTGCGGCCGGAGCTCCCGCACATGGTCCTGAAAGACAAAACGGCTCGTGGCGTGTACGCGAGCCAATGATGCGGTATGACGGGTCGAGGAAATCCTGCCACTCACCTGCTTTTTTTGCTTCAGCTAGTATCGCCGAATTTCGCACGACCAGAGTCAGATGTACTTTGATTTCGCTCGGAGGCTGTATACCGACCTGCATAGAGTTGTGTCTAAAGCAAGAAGCCTACGTCGAAGCAAGTTTCAGAGCGCCTCGAGATACAAGGCCGTTGATTTCCACAGATGTTAGCAGAGATTGAATTGTGGCGTTGCACAGTTAGCCATCAATCAATGTAAGACAGGTGTGACAGCACAAATGTCAGCTGCTGCTCGTCAGTCAGGATTCCGTCGCGTCCTGAGGTGGCACAAATGCTGCATCTTGGTGGACACGACCAATTGCCAGCAAATGCTACGTTGCAACTTGCAAAGGATGAAAAGGTGTAAGAACAAGCGGGGCGAATTGGGGGGGGGGCGGGGGGGGTTGGGGGGGGGGGGGGCGATGTTCGGCTGACAGCGGAATTGCTACCAGCCGGAAAAAGAGTTTCACCGAATATCCTCCACATTGCGGGGAGCCTCGGCATATGCACCTCGGTCCAGCTTCCCCGAACTTCTCCTCCTTCTCTTCTCTTCCGCTCAGCCCCGCAAACACCTGTTTTCAGTATTACGTCGCGATCTGTTTCCTAGGCCGGGCTACCTGCTGGTGCTCCCATCCACGGCAGCTATGTTATGTCACTTTCCACTCCTCCCCCGCCATGCGCCGTACCCCTGATCTTTCCCGCATCTGCTCGTATCCGCCCGCGCTTCCCCATGCCCGTCGCGTGGTTCAGGGCCGAGCTTGCGTATGGGTGCATGGAACGAGACAAAGGGGATTCGTTTGTGGAGTTCGGGGTTGTAATTGTCCCGGAGAACTCGCAAAATAGCCCACGTTCAACACCGAGCAAAACACCAACTAAGAAACTCCCAGCAGTTCTTGAGCTCGCGTAAGATTCGAGTTTGACAAGGACCGCCGCGACCCGCTTCAATGTGATACAGCTCCCAAGGCAAGCAAGGGTCATGCGACCGTGTGGCCTCGATCCTCGTTCATCAAAGTCCACATGCTTCCTTCGGCGTTCCCCCGCCTTTGATCTATATAACACACCCTCATTCCCCTCCACCGAATCTCTCCAGGCCTCCCAGTCCAACCCCAGACCCAGACAACTTGCCTCTTGAGACCTTTTCTCACATTACTTTGTTGGGACCTTTATGAATTTCTTGCGAAAAGTCACCACCATGGGCAGTAGTCAAGAAGTCTTTGTCGGCTCCATCGACCAAGGAACCACCAGTTCGCGATTCCTGATCTTCAACAAGCGCGGTGAACCTGTTGCTTCGCATCAACTTGAGTTTAAGCAAATTTATCCCCATCCTGGGTGAGTTGTGGCTGTTTCTCGTCCAAAAGGACGATCAGATCTTCTTCTAACTTCAAGACACACACAGCTGGCATGAACATGACCCTCTGGAGATCGTTGCTTCAGTGGAGAAGTGTATCGACGGCGCAGTCCAACAGTTTCAAGATCAAGGCCATAGTGTCAATAGCATCAAGGCCGTCGGCATCACCAATCAGCGCGAAACCACTGTCCTATGGAACAAGGAGACCGGAGAGCCACTGTACAATGCCATCGTTTGGACCGACACACGCACACAGGCCCTGGTGCGAAAGCTCAAGCACCGCCTAGGTGCCGACAAGCTCACTGATATCTGCGGGCTCCCGCTTTCCACCTATCCCTCAGTGGGCAAGCTGCTTTGGCTGCTTGAGAACGAACCAAAGGTTAAGGATGCATATGAAAAGGGTGTTTTGGCCTTTGGCACAATCGATGCCTGGCTTGTGTATAGACTCAATGGAGGTAAGCTCTTTCTTCATAACTTCCCCAGTCACCAATACCTGACATCCAGAACAAAAGGCCCGAAGAGAAACATCTTCGTTTCGGACCCTTCGAACGCGTCCCGAACCATGTTTATGAACCTCAAAACCCTCGAGTACGATGACTCGCTCCTCGACTTCTTTCGAATTGATACCTCCAAGATCCACCTCCCCAAGATTGTCCATTCGTCCGACTCGTCGGCATATGGCTCTCTCACCTCCACCGTTCTCAAAGGTGTCCCAATCACTGGCTGCCTAGGAGACCAGTCTGCCGCCCTAGTCGGTCAAAAAGGTTTCACACCAGGCCTCGGCAAAAACACATATGGAACGGGTAGTTTCATTCTCTATAACGTGGGCGACAAGCCTGTCATTTCCACCCACGGCCTCCTGACCACGGTGGCATTCGACTTCGGCGGCAACACGAAGCCCATGTACGCGCTTGAAGGATCCATTGCGGTGGCCGGCTCAAGCGTCAAATTCCTTGTTGAAAACTTCGGATTCATCGACAAGTCATCCGAAATCAGCCAACTTGCCGAGACGGTCGAGGACAACGGCGGCGTCACTTTCGTAACTGCGTTCAGCGGCCTCTTTGCGCCCTATTGGATCGACGACGCTCGCGGGACAATCTTTGGTATCACTGCGTACACTAAGCGAGGCCATATCGCCCGCGCGACGTTGGAAGCCACGTGCTTCCAGACCAAAGCCATTCTGGTGGCCATGGAAAAGGACTCGGGCCACAAACTGAGCGAACTGGCCGTCGACGGCGGCATGTGCAACTCCGATCTGTGCATGCAGACACAGTCTGATCTCATTGGCATCCCCGTCAAAAGACCCGCCATGCGCGAGACCACGGCCCTGGGCGCGGCGATCGCAGCTGGTCTGGCGGTCGGTGTGTGGGACAGTATTGACGAGTTGAAGGATGTCAACATTGAGGGTTCGACGGTCTTCAAGCCGGCCATCCGCAAGGAAGAGAGCGATCAACAATTTGCCCGGTGGGAAAAGGCCGTGGAGATGAGCAAGGGCTGGGCGAACTGAGGAAACTTCAGGATGATCCGAAGCGAGAGGCTTTGTTCAGAAAAGCCGCTCGGGGCTTGAAGCGTGGTGTCGATGGCGTTCATCCGTTCTGGTGGGATTGGTACTGTCGTCCGTCCACGTGCTATGACGGGCTTGGAGAATAAGTCTCTTCAAACTCGACGAGTTCATATACCCGCTCAAAAAGAAAATAAAATAGGTCCGCAAAATCCAATGTATGTCTATCATCCCATCCATCAGTCGGTTTACCGCTCTGTAGTTTGCAGCATTCGAATGTGTAAAGACGGATATGCCCCCTTAGGAAGGCCAAAATTGACGTCTTTGGATCGTCCGTCTGCATGGGAGGGCAGGAATTATTCGACCACCGAGGACTGACTATTGGTGTGGGCTGAAACCTACCTATTCATCAGCATCTTCATTGAGCTTTTCACTTGTGAGCTGTGTAGTCCATGCTCCACAATGTATTGCGGGTGGATAGATCCCACCATTTCATTGAGTTTACCTCACCTCCACATCTCAACGTCCTCCCCCTTCCAGAATACACATGTTAGCGCGTTTTATGCACGATGAAGATCATCATCGTCGGCGCCGGCATCGGCGGCCTCTCCGCGGCGCTCGCCCTCGCGCTGCAAAAGCATTCGGTCACGGTCCTCGAGTCGGCTCCACGGCTCGCGGAAATCGGCGCGGGCGTGCAACTCACCCCAAACGCGATCAAGTTCTTCTTCCAGTGGGGCCTTGAGGGTGATATCCTCGCCAAAGCCGCGATTCCGGGGACGTTTTTCATTCATCGGTGGAAGGACGGGAGGGTTTTGGGGAGCGTGGACGTGGGAGGGCTAGAGCGGGAGTATGGCGCGCCGTATGTGGTGGTGCACAGAGGGGTGTTGCATGAGATCTTGCACCGGCATGCCGTGCGGGCTGGGGCGGAGGTGAGGGTTAATTCGAGGGTGGTCGAGTATGATTTCGAGGGCGGCGCCGTGGTGTTGAAAGATGGACTCAAGATGGAGGCCGACTTGGTTGTTGCTTGCGACGGTATCAACTCCTTCGCGAGAGCCCAATTTCTGGGAGACCAAGACAAAGGCGCTCAGAGAACCGGTTGGGCTGCGTATCGAACAATGGTGGATGTCACAAAAATCAAAGCAAATCCTGCTACGGCTGATCTTGTCGAACGGCATAACAACCACTTGTGGTATGTTCCCCTGACTGATCGCAGTATATATAAATCAACTGGCGCGCAGTTCTAATGGAATTCTTGAATAATCTACTTCTAGGATCGGGGAGAACTGCTCAGCAATGACCTACATGATCTATGAATCGACCAAGCTCAACATGGTCCTCTCGCACCGGGACGACGACATCGAAGTCGACTCTACTACGACTACCTCCTGGACAACTGCCTCGCCATACCACGGCGCAATCAAATCCCTCTTTCGGGGATGGGACTGCAAACTCACTAGTCTCATCGACATGGTCCGTCCCGAGACCATCAACAACTGGCCCGTGTATCAAGTCGAGCCACTCCGCAAATGGGTGTCGATGTCGGGAAAGTTCGTGCTCATGGGCGACGCGGCGCATGCAATGGCGTTTTATCTGTCCATGGGCATCTCCATGGCCGTGGAGGATGCCGTCGCATTGGCAGAGTGTCTTTCGCTTCTCGCTTCGGCAACTAACAACGACGTCAAATATGGTTGTGGGGACAGAGCAAAACCCAGACCATCTCTCTCTTCCGCCCTCGACCTCTTCGAATCTCTCCGCAAACCTCGCGCCGAAGCCGTCCAGGCCGCCAGTCTTCGCGCGGGCAATATCTTACACCTCCCACCTGGCGCGGCCCAGGAGAAAAGGGACGCCGCGTTGCAGCGGGCCGACGGCGGCGCAATGGAGAGCGAAGAAGATAGTAGGCAGTACGTCTATGGAATCGCGGACCGGGAGACGAGGGATTGGTGCTATGGGTATGATGCCGCCTGGGAGGTGCGGAGGGCTTGGAACGAGCAATTCGGGTAGGGGAGAGCAAGAACGATAATTAAATGTCCACAGGGCCTTGACTCTCGAGTCCATTCATTACGTTGACGGTGAATGGCTGCTCATCAGATTTGGTTGGTGAAGCAAATTAGAATGGTCGAGAGGCAAGTCCTGAGGCACAAAAGCGATATCGACTGGGAAACACAGAAAATGGACAGGTCAAGAGCTACAACGGCAAAAAAGGAAAGAGAAAGGCAAGCGCGAATTTAATATGTTCAATCGGCATCTATTAATGACCTATTTGGCCATAAGAAAATGCTCGCCTCTTTCCCATGGAATGAAGGCGAGGCTGGTCAGCGACCCTATGCCGCTGGCAATGATATACACTCCATCAATAATGGCAGCTTTGGACGATGAAAGCCGACATAAGACACCAGTGACTGTCACTCAGGACATCAATTCATAAGTCGTCCTCACTGATATGACTCCTGTTCTTCGTACCCATTTCCCGTCTAAAGTAATGTGAGCTCTCCGTGTTCAAACACCTTCATGAAGCGATGGACACATCGGTTCCTTCAGCTCTAGCATGCTTTCATTCGATCTTCCTGGTTTGTTGTTTTTGATGCTTCACATCACAATTCCCTATAATCGGCCTGTCGCGGCTTTCGATTCCGGTTGATATGCCGGTGGGGATTGACAGGTTGCCGCATATATGCATTGTCTTCTTCATTTCCCACATGCCGTTGTTGATTGGCGAATCTGTTGCCCGCTGGACCGGATGGCGGATAGAAATTCTGATTCTGGTTCTGGTTCATCAGCGCCTTGGGACCGGTTGGGACGCCTGTCATTCCAGCGGGCTGTTGTGGCGCTGATGGTTTTGGTTGCTGGGGGAAGTTTGGGCTTCGACTGGGGCGATTGTAGTTCTGGAAGTTGCTGGGTCGGTTCTGGTTCAATGTGGTGCTGGGATTCTGATTCTGGTTCATGTTCATGTTCATATTCACAGGCATATTCCAATTGGGCATTTGACCTGGATTTGTAAAGTTCATGCCCATGGTTCCTGGATTCATCATCATGGGATTCATGAAGTTCATCGGGTTCATTCCAGCCATGCCCCCCATGCCCATGCCCATCATCATCGGATTCATCATGAGAGGGTTGAAACCGGGCATCATGGGCATGTTCATGTTGTTTCCTGGTTGCATTTGTGACAAGTCGGGCGGCATCATGTTTGCAGGCAGCACGTTCTTACTCTCAGGAGTCGAAGTCTTCTCCTTGGGAGCATTCGCATCAGTGTCGGATGCGTTTGGTGTCGATGACACCGCTTCTCCAGACTTTTGTCGCTTCATGGCCGGGGCTGCGAGGCTATCCGAAGGTGTGGCTCCGTCGACTTCACTTGCACTGCGCTTTCTCGCCGAACCGCTCACAGATTGAGGTGTTCTAGAGCCATCTCGAGAACTCGGACGAGAACCTGGAGACCCTTTGGCCTTTGGTGACTCGGCGACAACTGTGGGGCTTCTAGACCGTTGCTTCTCCGTGGCCTTTTCTGCTTCATACTCTTTGATTTTGTTCTTCATCTCCTCATCGGGCTCAAGACGCTCGAGACTGATATTCTCGGTCTCGCAGCCAGGACAGGTGAGATCATTCTCAAGTAATGCATTTTCGATACAAACATGACAATATGTCTTCCCACAACAAGGTGTCTTCATTGGGTCTACAAACAAGCGCTTGTCAATCGAGCATTCCAAGCCTCGATCTTGCAGCTCCTTGTCTCCGATTTGCTCTTTCTTCTGGGCCGCTTCGGCAGCCTTGACCTGTTCCAGGTGTTTTCTCCATGCCTTTTCATCCGCTTGCGCAAAGACATACTCTCCCTCGGCGTTCACCATAAGATTTTGTCTTTGAGCATCATCGAGCTTGTCAATGTCTGCTTGATCGATCTTCTTCAGCATCGATCGAGGAATACCAGTAGTCCGTTTGATCCGGTTCTTATTATCATAAGAGGCGTCGTCATTGGTGGGACAGGCTTGGATCCAGTGTCCTAGGGATGTTAGCGGATGACAGCTTCAAATAATAAAAGAGTGACTTCTTACCTTTTTTGCCACAACGATAACAGATGTAGCCGTGAGGAGGCTCGCCCTCTGGAACATTCGCTTTCTTATTAAACGGCTTGCCCTGCATAGGGACTCGAGTCTCATGTGACATTTCCTCCTGCTTTTGTTGCCATTGCGCGTCGGTGACCTGAAGCATAGCTTGCAGCTTTTCTTGTTCCGTCATTGCCTTGGCCATATCCACCGTCTTACGTGGCCTGCTTGCTGCGCTTGTCGCCGTGGATTTAGCACTGACGGGCGGTTTGCCGGAGACATAACGAGCAGCACGGCCTTTCCCAGGCGCCGAGGCAGGTAATCTTCGGGCGAGGACAGTCGAATCTTTGGGGATTATTTCAGTATCGTCTGTATATTCTGGAATACTGTTAGTCATGACTCGAGTTGACAAAGGATGGGCAAAAGTGAACCTACCTTCATTGCTGTTCTCCTTGTAGATCTTTAGGTCAAAGTCTGTGCCATCACCTAACCGAGAAATGTTGATGATTTCACGTTTCAAATTCCAGACATCGGTATGAGGCCCATCGATTGTTACACGCTGAGGTTCCTTTTGTGATTTGAACTTGAAATATACGTAAGACGCCATGGCGGCGCGCCAGCCAGTGGGCGGAGGATCAGTGGAGAGGAAAGTGTATGTGTTTGTCGTAATAAGCTGAAGGTGAGCGCAGTGTTGAGGGTGCGGTGGCTTTGGCGATAGATTCCAAGGGAGACAAAGTCAAAGGACGACAGGGGGTGCAAAAGGCAGATGTTATTGTAAGTAAACGAATAATAAGTCCAGCGTGAGAGAACTGAGTTCAACTTCAAGCGACCCTGCTCCCTTCACCGGTCGTTCTTGCACAGCACTGCCAACGCAGGTCTGCCACTCTCAACGATGACACGCGCAAAGTCCCACTTTCCCAATATCATGCAACTCTTGACCGGGATTTCCGTTTTCACTTTACAAGTGCTGATTGCATGCAGACCGTCTCCGTCACGATGTTTTTCAAAACCCCAAGGTTTCCAGGTCAGTAGCGCCAGCACGAAGTGGCCGTTTGCGGCGAGAGGTGAGGAAGTGAACGCAATGAAACGCCCCAATCAAACCCAGTCCAACCTATGATACAATGCATGAAACTTTGGGTTGTGCAAAGGGAAAGATGAGCTCGAGATGGACGATGATGAAAAGAGAGGTGTTTGGTAGAGGTGTTTGGTGGGGAGTGATGGTGGATGATGGGATGATGATGATGGAAGAAAAGGTTAGAAGCAGAAAGAGGCGCAGGCAGCCTTTTTATTCGGCCAGGCAGAAAAGCAAGTGGCAATGCCACGTGATAGCATCTTTAACACGTGATCAAGAGCAGACCAAGCAGACCAGGCAGACCGTCGGCCTTGTCGGCTACATCCGAGTCGGTTCGGTGGCTTCAACGTTCTACAAAATCCTTTGGACAAGAAGCAAGGTCTTTATCGAAATGTAAAGCGAAGAGCGCATGCAACGACATAAGGTTTCAGATTTAAAGACTGGATTCTCAAAATACTGGGTAATTGCCCGGCTATATCTCATGCGAATAGTAACTGTGTTTACCATCATATTGCATGTGACAACCGTTCTCTGTCTTTGTGACCTCAGAACGTCACTTTGAACGCCGCCCCCGTCCTTTCAATCCGGCCACCCGTTTCCAAATCTTTCCCTTGGTCTCAACGGCTTCATACATGGGCCAAGTTAAGCAGACGAGGTTGGCGAGTGATGAGCACCCGCTCATCGACTTCGAACCGTTAGCTTCGATACCGTGGTGTGTAAGGGGTTCCTTATGGATGAGATTTACACCATTCATGGCACTTTGCAATACTGCGCACCTTGGTCACGGTGGCGGTGATCGCGTTGAAACATTTTACACCGCAGACCGTTCATACCCCGATCGTCGCGTCAATGGACTACTTGTAGTTGCTCGTTGCTCTTTTTCTTAAGGAGATCCAAGTGAGGCCTTCCACTGATGAAGATGGCAAAATCCGACTACTAAACGGGAGGGCACTTGCATCCAGTTTGGCCAAAGAAAATGACGAAGGCGATGGTGATGATGGTCACCAATCTTTAGTCCTTCATTTCCTGGGGTCGACGCCTCGTTGACGGCGTTGACGGCATGAACTCGGGGTGCTGTCATCGTTGATGTTGATGAGAGCATACCTGCCACTGCGGTTTGAGTTCATTTACATGAGTGTGCGCTATGGACGTTACGAGCCTCCGCTCAGAGCCATGTAAAGATCGACATCTGGAAAAACTGATTGGCGATATCAGGATGCCGTGTCTTTCTAGTCAACGATTCGGTGAAGACACAATTGCGTGACGGTGGGGACCCTCGAGAGAAGAAGGTCGACAGCCGGTGCATGACAAATTATTAAGTGGAAGGACCAAGTGAACCCATCGGCACGGTGCTGTTCTGAGTCCGCAGATGCGCTCTTGAGCCGCGAAACAGGCTTTGCCAAATAAACGCTTCGCTCAATAGAAGCTCGATATCCTTTTCTGTCCATTCGCGAGTTGGCAATGCTTGCAAGAACATCAAGATCTCCTGGAAATTCATCTTCATCAATTTGTCAGACCACTTGACGAGGAATGCTGCGCACACATAGAGGTGAAACTGGGAAAAGCCATTCTCTTCGGCCTGTGGTTTCCGGATCAGCAGAACTTTTGTGACAGCCGGCGAGCCAGTCTTACCATATATGTGTCCCACATGCGAATGACGCTCTTGATGCTCAGTTCTCGCATCAATAGGCAGTTCATCCACCTGAAACTGAACTGCATATATTCCACGTGCTCACTTTCAAAATGTTTGGCCAAGCCTGCATCAATCCTGGTCGTCAAATCTCGCAGAGCAGCAACTTGACGATGAATCCCAGGCTGCGCAACGATGTAATTGTCCTGGATACCGTCCAGCAGCTTCGTCAGGCACCAAAACGTGTCTGCCTCGACGGCGTCGATTACCGGTCTCGGTAGTTGTCCTGGATCCATTCCACTTTCGATATTCAAGTCCGTGATATAGGTGCCCAGAAATACCTGCCAAAATGGCGTAGCTAGGTCATTGATTCCTTGCACGTATCCGCTTGCTGGATGACGGATAGCCCAAACGTAGAGAATGCGCTCGAGCGATCGTTGAGTAGCTTCGAACCCATACAGCGGTATATGAGGGTTTGTCCGAGGCACGTCAATGCTGATCTGATGCCAAATTGCCTCGTCTAGTCCTCGCCCACGGCCGGTGGTGACGGGTGGCTGTGAAGCAAGCCCCGCAAGTCCTGTGCTCGACGCATTCCGGCTAGCCATCGTTCCCGAACTGAAAGCTTGGTTCACAGCATCAAGATATTCCTTCCGCTTTCGCTCAAGTGTTGTGACACGTCGTTCGCTGTTGGTTGGCAGATGTCCAAGTAAGAGTTGCCATGTAATTGCACGTACCTCTTCGGGCACCCCTGACCATGCTGCAGCTCGCAAGTCTGGCAAAGACACCGAACTCGCTTGTAAGATTCGTTTGAACTTGTTGATTCGGGATATCCGTGTGCTATGGGCCTCTGCTTCTTTGGGTGTCGCATTCGAGGGTAAGGAAGGGAAATTGATGAGGTGAAGGGAATTTGCTGGATCGTTTAGAATATCCTTGTATTGAGGCCTCAGGATCTTGCCTTCTCCCTTCTTTGTACTTGGGTATGACAGCGGATTCCGCTCTTCGGCGATATCGAAACTGTTTGATCTGACAGGGTGTGGAAATGGGGACGGTGCCAGAGCCGTCGCAGACGTAGTCTGTGACGGACTCGGATATGAAACTTGGTCCGCCTTCAGAGCCTTGTTCTTCATGCTCCGTTTTCGACGCATGCTTGCAATGCTGGGCAGCCCAAATTCATCTTCATCGTCCTCATAGACCAAATCATCGTCATCTCCCTCGAGTTCTCCTCCGCCTGCCAAGTCCCAGCTTTCGCCCAATGCAGATGAGGTGTAGCTTGTGTAAGGTTTTCGTTCTGGAGATTGGAAATGCGGCCTGTCTGGTGGAGGAGTCTGCGATGGTCGGGCTGACGTCGCAGGAGGTGTCCTTGGCCTCGAATGCGGCCCCAGATTTCTGTCCACTCGATCAGTCACGCGGCTTCATTGTCCCTGGATGTCTTACAATGACTCGAATTTGAGCATATCGGCGTGGGAGTATGAGGCGCCAAACACTTTTGTCGACTGTCCCGAGGTCTGGCGAGGTGTCGATGGCCGCCCTCGCCAAAACGGCGAAGATGGTCGTCTTCAGAGCGTTAGCAAGGTTTCCACTCCGCATCTCAGCTCACTGAACATCCATACTCTGATCTATCTAAGGCGCAACTCGGCGTTAGTTCGCACTCTTGACACAGAGAACATACGGGGGATAACCGAAGCAGAGAAGACACGAACCAACCTGGACCATTTCCTGCCGTGCGTTAGTACAGGCTCGATGCCAGTTTGAATCTGAGGGAGTTACCTGCTGTTGGGACTTCTTGTGAGCCATAATGCCTCAGTCTGCGGAAGAGGCCACCCCTGAAGAAATGCTATTGAGATCTTCTCCTAAGTGCCTTTGCATGGGGCGGCGAGAACATGCTTAAAGCCAGTTGTTGAGTGGTCTGGTCGTTGAAAGTAGCATGTTTACATTGCACCCATGGACGTGGTGCGGGTGCGGGTGCGGGTGCGGGTGACGGTTTGTGGTGGTGCAGCGGGATGTCGGTAACCAGAGCCTGCCGACCACACCACTTGCCCTGTAGCCACTCCATTCCTTGCTGCCAAGTTCTGAAAAATTGGCACAAGGGTGATGTCGCCCTCGCCGCCCAGGGTCCTATCAACAAACACAGCAAAGCCGCCAAGAGGCTAGACGGAAGTGGAACGCGTACCGGGTGAGAACCGTCCGCTCCTCGCACAGCTCCTCAAACCTGAAGTCTCTGTATATACGCTTAGTATACGAAGGATATTACTACTTATTTCTTCTATTGATCCGTCTATCTATTGATAGCCTTCCCTTACACTTACCTTGGCTAGAGTCTTCTTGTTTAGCCTCTTCTTAAGAATTTAATGTAGACTTGACGATACTTTCTAGCGCTTTAATTAGAATTGATATAGCTCTCTCAGTTATAGTGTAATAAGGTGGAGTAGCTGTGTTGGCATAGAGGTGGTAGGAAGGCGATTTGGCTGGTCACATGTCAGGACAAAAAGGACTAGCATCAATTCTGGCTGTGGACGAGTGGCGTCAAGGCATGATGGAACTATTGAGCACTCCTCCATCTATATATCCACCGATATTTCATAGTCCTTTTTGCGTTCTTGTGGATATCGATCAGTCTCGGTCTAACAAATTGACTCACTCAGTACCAGTGCTCTACGAATATTTTTACCTCTGTTGCTATCTGTTGTACACAGAACAGTTGTGGATCTATCTGCTTGATTGTGTTCTGTCCCCCTGGCTGTTCAGAGAGACTCTGCCTGTTTTTATACACTTTGGCCTGTAATCTGAAGAGCGTTCCTGAAACCTCCTATTCCATCGCCATCCTATCACAGGTCTGCGAGTACAACGAGGTTGAGGTAGATTCCGCAGTTGGTGAAACGCCTAGCGTCTCAGGCGGTTTGCCACAATGGCGATCTCGCGACCCTGTCAACACTATCCTACGTAGAGGAGCCTTGTGTGTGTCGTGACAAAGTCCCAGCTGAGCGAATCATAAAAATATACTCTAGTTCGTATTTGTTGTTCTGAGAACTAAACACACCTCAACCTCTGTCACCTTCGGGCGATAAATTCAGTCCAGGCCATGTGCAATGCATCCCATCCAGGCGTGTCCTTGAATTCGAAAATTGCGTTCCTCCTGTCAACCTTCTCCGGAAAATCCTCCCTCAGCTCGCTTGTGCCAGCCTCTCCTCCAAAAACCCATGCCACAGGCTTCGATTGCGAACTCGCCTGCCATGGTGCTTGACTGTTAGCAAATTTTATCAGGCCATCTCCGAATGCGTGTCCCACTTCTATGGCGTGCAGGGGTAACTGAGCATCGTAGTTTCTGAACAGGAGCGCGACGTCGAAAAGGTGCGAGGCAAAGCCCTTGAAGGGTCCATCCCAAGGGTTCGGTTCGTTTAGATGATACACATACGTTGTGCCCGGAAAGCGGCGTGCGAAGGTCTCCTCCGGAATGTAGAAGGCGATGTCATTTCCCAGCTCAAGAATGGATAAGTAGGCTGCGCGATCAGAGGTTGAGCTGGAGATGTGGTAGGCTGAGAGGAGGGAGTCAATTGCTTTGCCTTGCTGGGGAATACTGCGCTTTAGGCTCTCTTCGAATGCACTGGCAATGCCTTGTACGCGGTGGGCTAGCGCGCCGTCGAAGATGGTGCCCTGTTATATATCAGAACTATGAGAGTAGCATTCTGCTGAAGCTTTCACATACATCGTCTTTCATGTCACCCACAAGCAGCTCCTTGCACCATTTCAGACCAGGAATAGCAGGATCACCGCCTTTGGACCAAGCCTCTGCGCTCTGGAAGGTAGGCGAGGCGCAAAGAAAATCTGCGTCCAGTGCTGGAAGTGCTGGGACGGAAGGAGGAACCTTGAAAATTAGCTCCTCGCTGGGTATCTTCTCTATCGCCTTGATTCTGTCCTGTCCAGAGAGAGCGGTGAGACCCTGTGCTTCACAAAATACTTTATAGACCATTTCGTGCACAAATAATGGAACCGGTCTCCCGAGAAGACAGGTTCCGGCAATAGCAGCGAGGCGCTGGAAGAGTGGCTCGCTCGATTGCAGCTGAAGGGTTAGGGAGACTTGAGTCGAATAATGTCAAAAGATAGAGAATCAAGCGAGACGGAACAGATGTCCACTTACTGCCACCAGCGCTCTGGCCAATAGCTGTTACTTGATTTGGATCTCCTCCAAACCCTGCAATGTTCTTCTTAATCCACTGGAACGCAACCTTCTGATCACGCAAACCGTTGTTGGCCTTAAATCCAGCCGTGCGTAGTTCCTCCGAAGTCAAGAACCCAAAGATACCTGTACGATAGCTTGAGAAAGGTTAGGCCTTGAGGAACTTTGAGGCACAGCAAATAACTGACTTGATGGTAACTCCAATAAATGGAGTTCCGAGCCCAACTGAATGTCGCACAAGAGCGGCGAAATCGTATTGTGGCCAGGTACCTGAGCCCACCAAAAGTGCTCCGCCGTGTACCCACACCAACACGGGAAGACCCTTGCCATGAGACTGAACGTTCGGAACAGTGATGTTTAGGTTGAGGCATTCTGTGTCAGACATTGGCGGAAATTCGGGGGCTGGAAGCTTCTGCTAGATCAAGGCAAACTCCTCGTAGCAGCTGTTTTTGCCGGCAATTGCTGCTGGACTATGGCAATAATTCTGTCAGTGGCACAAGGCTTGCAACGGTCATTTACCTGTTCAGTAAGGAAATGTGTCGCATACCCGATTTTGGTGGCGTCGATCACACCCGAAGAACCAGCACCTTCGTACAAGACAGGGCAACCAAATCTATGGCTCAAGGCAGCGTACTTGACATTTAGAAACTGCGTGACACCGCTGTTCGCGTTTCCTTGGATCTTGCCAAGGGTAGGATGCTCGAGAGTACAAGTCATCTTGCTGTACTTGGTATGCCTGCAGCGATATGGGTCTTAATGTGAACTGGTGACTAGATATTGGATTATATCACTCAAGGCAATAGACGTGATATTTCTGCTTTGAAGGCGGCGTACTACTAACATCAGCAGGAATGAGTGGTGGGATGTACAACGGTATTTCAACAATGGTTCCAATCATTGTCCGAAATGGTTGTCCACACATGGATCCGATTTATCCCCATCAGTAAAGTGCTCTCAAGGCACGCGATTATTGGTCTGTCGCCAATTTGAACTTGGAAAATGCTCTTGGTAATCCAAGTGTGCTTGTCAATATTGAAAGCAATCTGACAGATACCTTAGCCAGAACTCGTGCTGGTCAGAATGACCGCGGTGATGGTCTCAACCTGCTGAGGATAGTCCACTGGTCGGCAAGGGGGTTCCATAAGAGGAAATTAAGGTGACCATAGTCCTGAGAAGGCTGTTGATGGACTGGTGTGGTAGTCAGGCATGCTTAGTCTTATGGCCTTCCAAAGGCTGAGCATCGACACGGGCGAGAGATCAGAGGGTAATTTTTTAAAATCGGATCGTGTTGACCGGCCACCCTATCTGGACCAGAAGCTTGATATTTATTGCCTTCTACATTGCTGCCAAGTTGAGAGACACGGCCACACGCTTTGTATCTGGATTCTGAAGAATGACACCTACCCGCCTCACAAACCTTACCAGCCAGCCTGGATTATAACTTGCTCTCCCTTTCTGATTGAGGGAACACCTTCTCCTTTAGCCAGTCCCCAATGAGCCGATTGACATCATCTGGCTTTTGCCAAAGAGCCCAGTGACCGGTCGCGACCTCTCGCCTTGTTAACTTCGGTATCCGCTCCGCCATTCGTTCTGCCATGAACGACTTCAGCGTGTTATCATTTGTGGCAAGCACAAACAAAACCTCACAACGAATCGTCACTCTTTTCTTCACCTCCACCTCACTCGCATTCCCATCAAGAAAAAAGTCCCGCCATTCATTGACATAATTCTCCTCGCGGCTCCGATACCAATTCAACGGTCCGTTCAATCCATGTCGCGCAAACTCCGCGACATAGTACTTCATCTCCTCCTCATTCAGCAGCTGGTTCTTCCCAATTTCCCTTTGCACCCCGAGATCGATGCCCTTCTCCGCATCGAAGCCATCGCGTCCGTCGCTTGTCCGTCCCCCGTAAATATTGTCCAGGAACTGCCGGATTTCCATCATCGAGTGGACAGCCTCTTCGATCTCTCCGGACACGTAGTGTAATTGATATGCGAAGTTGGGAAGTCTCTTATCCATCAATTGCGCAAGAGGTTCGTATTTCGCGCTAGGGAGGAAAAAAGGCGTACAGATACTGAATACAGCGGTGACTAGAGCTGGGTAGTATTGGGCAACTCGATAGACGATGGCGCCGCCCCAGTCGTGACCGCCTAGGATGATCTGCGATAGGCTGAGTTGCGCGCATAACGTCCTGATGTCGGTTGCGATGCGTTTGTAGGTGTAATACGACAAGTTGAAGCGGGGGGAGTCTGTGCGCCCGTATCCAATGCAGTCGAGAGCGATCACGTCCAGGCCGAGGGAGGTCAAGAAAGGGATCTGGTATCGCCAGCCTAGGCTGATGTCGGGAAAGCCGTGGATCAGAAAGATTGTGCCACGGTTAGGTCCGAGGGTGGAACGGGGCGAGTAGATGTACCCGTAGGTTACGCCGTTGAGGTGCGCGGAACGATAGGAGATCCTGGCATCATTGTATGGGCGGATCTTGTCAGTGACCATAGTGGAGACCCTCGGTGTGCTCAGATGTGGTATATGGTCAGCTGAGAGCTCAGGCCCTCGCCGCTGAGGGTGAGAAGTCGTCGCCCTTGTTCTGGACTTTTCTATTGCAAGCTAAAGGAGAGGTGAACAAGACGGTGGCAATTTTGGAGTTCGGTACCTTTTCATTTATGGGACTTCGTCCTCACTTTTACGCCCACGACAGGACTCGTCTGATGGAATAGGTCGCCGTGTACCGCGCTCATGAAGCAATCTGTTATTCAACCATCTGTTTGATTGAGGATATCTTTGCGAACCTAACTAGGGATTGTGACAAATGGACGGGAATGTCTAAGGTTGGATCCTGCGAGGCTGGTTTCTTACGGGGAACCAGCGGAGGTAAACCGGGATTGATGTTTCATCGTCAGCTTTCAGCTCGAGCACCCGACAGAGAGCCGGCCAATCTTTTGACATCGTCAAGAAACTAGTCTACAATCGTTGTGGTAGGTACCATCAGCCCTCAGAGATAACAACGACTCTTCCAGATCCAAGGAAGACCCACTTTCGGCTCTTGAGCTTTTCATGGGTGGGAAAGGTGGCTATCAGTGATTCCCACATAATGGCTGTTAGTATGTGCATGACCAACAATTCAAACCTATCTTCAAAGTAAACGGCCTGCTCCTGGTTGACGAATTGGTCTGATCTAAATTATGCAGCGCTCGTGAACCGGGAGTGGGAAGCACTGTTCAATCTGGCGGGATGCGGGACAGCGGATCCACTCTCTCCGACAGGGAAGGTTTCGAGCTAGCATGCATTGAGCCTGACTCGTCTACCTGGCGCTGTGCGGGAAGGTCTAGAAGAAGATCTTCCGGAAAACCGTGGAAATAAGATGATAACGGGAGTGCTCTAGAGGCGCACATGCGGTTGCATTGACGACACAGAAATGGAACTTACTACCGGAGGAAGCAAATTTCTGATGGCAAGTCAAGGGGTAACCACACTTCTTTTGTGGGGGTTAAGCGCTACATCCACCAACAACACATTACCTAGGAGTGACAATCTTTGTACAGTCTGATCAACATAGGTCCCACATCGAATCTCGAGTACTGGCCCTCTTTTCTACAGGTGAGGCTTCAGTGGCCTTTGCAGACATAAAAGGACATAACTGTGCTGGATTCACACTGCCACTCGGGATCTTTTAGAAACACATTCTGTCATCCCGCCGCCTATCAAGCACACGTACAACCGGACCGGACAATATGGCTCAACCCCTATCATTGAAACTAGCCGACGGGACAATTGTCACCGGCAGCAGCTTCCTCAAGCAGGCGCCTCTCGTAACACAGTCTTCTCCTGCCATACCACTGGTGGTTCTCATCCACGGTGGCTCGGTCGATTGTGACAGTTTCGACATCGACGAGAAACATAGCGTACGCCCATTATCGGAATTCTTAGGTGTCCCAGTGATATCTCTTAATCGCCCTGGCTACGGCGGGACTACTCCTTTACCTCCTGCGACTGATAGTAAAGAGACGTATATCCAAAGACAAGGCCGCTGGCTACACGAGCTGGCCCTCCCGGCGGTATGGACCGAGTCCTCCAAAACTTTGAACGCGACTTCGATAGTCTTATACGGCTGCTCAGTTGGGGGAGGAGTCGCCACCGTCGCCGCAGGCCTAGCAGGCCGAAGCTCACCCACATATAAATTGTCAGGTCTGGTTCTGTCAGCCTTGGGCTGCTCTCCAGATACGGCTCCCATGTCGCGCTTCTTCGGAGACAACTATGCAATAACTGGCAAGGTCATTGAAATTCCTCACGAATTCCGTCAGAAGCAAGCAGCTGGGCCACACGCTGCTTTATTCGATGTTTCGGTTTTCTCGTCGAGAAGAGGCGAATCCAACACATCCGACGCCGAAGTGTACGATATCAATATACAATGGCCGACGTACTGGTCGGATTATGCCAAAGACATTCGCGTACAGGTGTTGTATTCGGTGGGAGATGCCGACACACTCTGGCACCTAAATGCCGACACAATGCATGAATTTGGGCGCGCTTTCAAAAGCTCCCCTTGGGTGGAGAGCAGGCTGATGACGAACGTACCGCATCATATCGAGTACTCATACCAATGTTCGGGCTTCCTGCTGCGAGTCTTTGGTTTCGCCCTGGAATGTGCTGCATCTTTTGAGATCCAGGAGGGAAGGAACCGACAGTAGAGGACTTCCTCGAGGCACCGCAGTCGGAGGTTTATGAAGTCTTTGAACTTGAGGCGGGTTGAGTGAGTCAGAAAATATAGAGAATTGGTAGAACAGCATATAAAATGGCCATCCATTGTGGTTTTCCGTCCATTGTGATTTTCCTTCAGTCTATCCATGAGACTGGGTGAAGACGACTTTTCAGCGAATCCGATAGTGGAAAAGACCATGGGCTGTGACATATCTGTTCCCGAGATCGTTTACCTTTATCCCGTATACTGCACTGTCCAGGTGGGTATTGTGAGGCCTTTAATGTCGGTGCCGTATCGTGCATCGAGCGTAGTTCAGAAATCCAATCGAAGCTGAGGAAAACAAGCTGGGAAATTGCCTCCTCAAAAGGCCACTATATGCAGCTACTCACGGCTTCTCTTCGGAGAACACAACACGCAATACACAACCCTCTGCTCCCATGGTCATATCCGACACTACAGCAAATTTAGAGCGGACAGCAGTTTGATATGAGAGCCGTTGCAACGGCAAATAATGAGTCTTCGATATGGGTAGAGCTCAAAACCTCCGACTGCTGGCGGAAGTCTGCCCTCCAAAATTCCTCTATATCTTTCACAGCGACAAGTCTTTGCTCAAAGTGTTGGAAGAGGCTTCTGCTTTTGAAGCCACCATTTGCTTCCGAAATAGTCTTTCAGCATTCCCTTTGTAAGCCATCTTACGCTCGTCCTCAGTCATCATTACCCGAGGCATATGCTCTTCCATCGTGTTAGCAAGTAGTTCCACGAACTGTACCGGGGTGAAAGGGTAATCGCTGCCATAGAGGATGTGCTCCTTGTCGACAAATGCAAGTAAAGCTGGTAATTGATCAGGCCATGCAGTTCCTGCCATGTCGAAGTAGAAGTTTTTCCCCAGTTTCTCCTTCACAAAGGCTGGAGTGACCGACTCGTCAACCGGAAGGCTCGGAATACCTCGTCCAAAAGATGAGAATCTTTCTATCAAAGGCGGTAGACAACCCCCCGCATGAGGAATTATATAAATAATATTAGGATAACGAGCGATCGTCCCGGAGTAGAATAAATTTACCACAGCTCTGGCGGTATCGAAAAAGAACTCGAAGATGGGGCGTGGAAATTCTGGAAGAGGTGAAGCGTTGCGGCAACTAGTCTCGTTTCCACATCCTTGTTCCAGGCAACAGGGAGTGGTTGGGTGCACGAAAATAATTGCATGTCGACGATTTAGCTCGGCCCAGATAGGCTCATACGCGCTGTGGCCCAAATAGTATCCATGAGTATTGGTATAGACCGCGACTCCGTCGGCGTTGAGAACATCAAAAGCATGGGCAAGTTCATCGAGGGCTCCCTCCACATCAGGCAGTGGAAGTGCGGCCCAGAACCCAAACCGGTCCGGGAAATGCGCCTTCGCATCAGCAGCCACCGTGTTGCACTGACGGCAAATGTTCCGCGCAAGCTCGTCATCGTTTGGCACGAGATGAACTCCTGGCGAAGAGACGGATAAATAGCATTTGGTGATGTTCAGTTTGTCGGCCATCTGCAAGTGCGCCCCCAAACTCCATTCCTGAACACTGTGCTTAGGAGATCCAGACTGTCACGGCTGAACGATAGAATGCGTACCGGTAAGATAGGATATCCATCGGGAGCGCCGTGGCCGTTAGCCCGACATGCTTCACGATAGAATGATGGTAAAAAATGGCTGTGGACATCTATCTTCTCTGGTCGAAGAGCCATTGTCCAACGAGGATATTGTACGTGACGCGTGGTCTCCCCTGCGGCGTGAAAACGATAGAGCGGCTGGTAGCGCGACGCGACTCGGTAAAGAAACGATTCGAGTGTATAAATTTACCTGCGTATCTGGCCCCGGTGCATCCTCAGCCACTATAAGAAGCAGCGTATATATCGGGTTGGAGCCGTGGCCTGGCCGTGGCATAAGAGGGCTTTCCATCATCACTCCACTAGGAGACCAAAATAGGGCCAAAAGCCCGGCTGATTTGTCATGTGCCGCACCTGTCGGATTCCAGTGAGCTGTCAGCTCTTGAGAAGCTTTGCGGGACGCTTCAAGTCGAAGAGTTAATATCATGAGCCGCGTCCGACAAGTAACAAGTACATTTAAGAAACAACAGATGTAAGCGGGGCTAGACGGAACTTAGTAAATCAACCACCACAAAATAACAGTGAACGTGGGGGGCGGGCAATATCATTGGCGCAATTAAGTTCTTAACTAAGAAGTAGTGTCTACCTTATCCAGTTTATTTGCACCTTATTTCTTGTACCTTATTTCTTGAACCTTATTTCTGTACCTTATTTCTACGCCGCGAAGCTAACCTTGTGTAGACGGCTCCCAGAGGGTTTGCAAATGTGAGGCGTCCGACAACGCTTTGATATGTCGTCCCGCCCGGAAGAGGTGGGGCGGCATCGACTCGGATGACTTGTCTACTTGTTGACTGTTTTGAGTCAGCCTTAGTTTCGGGCCCAAGTTCGACCTGGTTTCGTCGGAGTGTCCACCCAGGGACAAGGCGCATATGGGCGCCGTGGCCTGATGCAACGACGGGCAAACCTAAAACAGTACTCTATATATCGAACGAAACTTACAGGCTCCGTAAATCATAGCAAGTAGATGGCATTTTGACCTGGCTACACTTGAAATCGGAAACTATGTCGAAAACGCCTAATGCCGAGCATAAACAGGAACCTGCCAATGGGAGTGATATTTTAGATGTTGCGATCATCGGTGCAGGGATATCAGGTATCAATACCGCCTATCGCATTCAGACTGAGCTTCCTGATATCAACTACGCCATCTTCGAGGCCCGAGATACAATCGGAGGGACATGGGACTTTTTCAAATACCCGGGCCTTCGTTCCGACTCGGACCTTTTCACCTTTGGGTTCTCTTGGCGGCCATGGACAAAGAATAATCCTATCGCAGATGCAGGGTCCATTCTAGAATACCTCAGGACGTCTACTACAATGGAAGGAATCGACAATCATATTCAGTTTAATACTCGAATTCAGAAGGCGAATTGGTCGGTCAAGTCCCACTTGTGGGAGTTAACAGCGACCACGAACAACGGTGTCCAACACCAAAGCTTCGCGAGGTTCCTTGTCCTCGGCACGGGCTACTATGATTACGAGCAAGCTTTGCCAGTTATCATTCCTAGGTTAGACTCATTCGAGGGTCAAACCGTTCATCCCCAGTTTTGGCCTGCAGACCTTGACTATACCGACAAAAGAGTCGTTTGCATAGGAAGCGGCGCCACAGCAATTACTCTTGTTCCAGTTCTAGCGCAGAAGGCTGCTAGCGTTACTATGCTACAACGCAGCCCGTCCTATATCATTTCGATATCCAACTCGTCCAAGGTCTCCCGGTTGAAGCAGTATCTACCCAAGCGTCTGGCATATATTCTCAACAGGCTTTATTTCCTGACATTTCCAATACTCTTCTACTACTTCTGCCGCCTTTTCCCAACCTTATCTAGGAACACCATCCGGAAAGCAGCTACTAAACAGCTACCAGAAGGTTATCCGATGGATCCCAACTTTACGCCCCGCTACAATCCATTCGACCAACGTGTGTGCTTTGCTCCTGACGGCGATTTTTACGATGCAATCCGAAAGGGTGCGAAAATCGTGACCGGAACCATCAAGCAGGTGGTTGGCGACGGTATTCTTCTTGACGATGGATCAAAGCTCTCCGCCGACATTGTAATCACAGCTACTGGGCTGAAAATGCTGTGGGGTGGGAAGATCAGCATCACGGTGGATGGGAAACCCTACCGCATTGGGGACAAATTAGCGTGGCACAACGCCATGTTACAGGACCTACCCAACGCCATGGTGGTGACCGGATATGTCATGGCCTCCTGGACACTCGGTGCTGATGCCACAGCTTTCCTGCTTTGCCGTCTCTTGAGGGGAATGCGCAAACACGGGCTGTCTACTATTGTCCCGCGCGTCCCAACCGACGGGTCTGTCAAGGCGTGCCCTCTTATCACGCTGAGCTCGACGTACGTCTTGGCAGCAGCGGCAGACAGCTTGCCAAAGTGTGGCAGCCAGGGTCCGTGGAGGAGGCGATTCAACTATTTCACCGACACATTGAAGTTTAAATATGGTGATGTGACAGAGGATTTAGAGTTGTATCGAGAAAACCTGCCGGTGACCGGCCTGAAACTCTAGGCGGGCAGTCCATAGCCACCACTGACAGACTTTCAATGAAGGAGGTCACACACTATCACTGCTGGCAAGTTCTGCTACATTTTTGCCCCCTGCATCAAAATTTAGTCTTGCTGTTATAACCATCCCTTCATCCGTGTCTATATCCAGAACCACACGGTATCTTTCACAGAGCCCGTCCTCATAAGGCCAGCACCAGTTTCAGCCTCTGTATTTCCCTTTCAAAAAACCCGTCGAGTGTTCCCGATTCGAATCCTAGATCCTTGACACGCTGCAAGTCAAGGGGTGTTGGATTACTCGCCAGAAACTGCTCGTATTCCGTCTTGGACGAGTTAATTCCTCTCCTCTGTGCTTCCTCCGCGGTAATGTACTCGACGTTAATTTTCACCTGGTCACCATGTTTTGCGAGGGCTCTCCCCATTGCACCGGTGACGTCGGTTAACAGGCCGACCTGGGAGACCAGATCGATCTTCTGCAACGACATGTCAGGCAGGTCACGTCCCTTTCCAGGTCCGATGACAGCGACGGCGCAGAATAGTCCAATATCTTCTGGATCGACCAGATAATACTTCCAGTCGGCCGGCATCACCGTCACAATCCGGTGCTCAGCAAGCTGTGGGTACATGAATTCGGCCATCGGTTTGAGAAAATTTGAAAGAAAGTACGCTGGTTTGAAAATCGTCCAAGCCCAGCCATTCTCCTCGGCAGTCTTCTGGACCGCCATCTCGTTGGCATGTTTACCTTCGAAGTAGGCGTAGCGGTGGGTGCCCTTTTCGAGGTTCTTAAAGTTTCCTGGAATGCTGGGATCTCGCACACCTGCGGTGGTGGTATACACCACTCGCCTCATGGTGGTGACCGAGGAGAGAACTGAGAGGATGGTATCAGCTTGACGTCGCTCTGCTCTGGACTCCGTTTGGTCCCAACCCGTGAGAAGAATGAAGAAGCACGCGGTACATGATTCTGCGGCGGCGGCGATGGCGGATCGGTCGTCGTTGTCCCCCTTGAAAAGCTTGACTGACGGCGAAAGTTGTGCTAGTGCTTGAGCTTTGGGGCTGTCAGGGTCGCGGACGAGAGCGTGAATGGAGATAGGGTGCGTGGAGGAAGCAAGGCGGAGAAGGGCACGGATTGTGGCGGTACCCTGGGTACCAGTACCACCAGATACAAAGACAACGTCTCCCGGTGCTGAATGAGACATGATCGAGCACAACAGTTGAGGCTGGGACGGTAAGCTGACGAGGAGAGTGGAGCGGCATCTGCGACGATCTTTCTTACGGGCCTTATATCGGTGTTCCGAATCCCAATCCTAACCCATCTGCAGGACATCCAAGCCGGGTCGAAGGTGCCTCTGTGCCTTTTGATGGCCTCACCCGATCTCCCCGTGGTGGGAAATACTGCATGACGTGAGGCCGGATTCAGCCAGTACAGGGGCATCAATTCCCGCCGAACCCACCTCATCAAGGCTCACGGTGCTGCATCAAAGCGAAGTGTCGCCACACACGCTAGACGCCTGTGCTTCCGCGACCTTGAGAGGTCGTTTTCGAAGCTATGGGGTTAGCTTAGGGGAATCCATGATTAATCATGACACCATTCTATCAGGCGTTGCGGACTTTGCCAATTCAACTACGCACGAAATCAAGGAGGTCATGCGGGACGCGAACGCCAAAATGTAGAAGGGTCGGGTTGAGGCGCCATATTCTCCCACTAACCTTTATCTCTTCTCAACAGTGTCAAAGATGGCAGAGCAACGGAGGTACGCAGACAGTTATGTGGTAGAACGAAGGGCACTATTCTCCCCCTCATGAAATCCTCCTGGTTTGATCGTGTTCTTCTGTCCGCATTTGAATTCTTGTGGGGTTTGTACTATCAAAGAGCAAATCTAGCACTGAAACAAGTCAATTTCGCCCAGATGGTTCTAATGCCCTCCTTTCTTCTTGCTTCTCCCACAAGGTATGCAATGTTGAGTTTCCTTGCGTAATTTCTGCCCAATCTCCTTTCTCCAGGTGCTGTCTCCCATACGCCAACACACCATCCGGAATCAAATATGGGCGAGAGGCATCGACAAGACGAGCCACGAAAACCACAGTATGGGCATCCAGTGCAGTCGGTCCCACACCATCGCCGAAGATCCACGTGGCTTTGCCTCCGGGGTTATTCGTCACAATGTTGTGTGCGATCCTTTCTAGGTATGTCCGCGCCTTGATTTCCTCTCGCGCCACTATTTCAGGGTTGTGCGGGTCGAAGGGATAGGAATCCATGAGGCTGTCCGGTCCAATCAGACGAGTGTTCCAGCGTCGAAAAACTCTCTCCTCATTCGATAGGACTTACAATTGTAGCTTCCTTTGTAAAGCAGCCTTGTATTTTTCAGAGGAAGTCCGGTGTGCGATACGCTCCTGGATCATGTTCACGATTCCTTGCGATCGGCCGTCGTCGGCGGTGAAGGACAGGCTCACAAACCAGATCTCATGTAGCTCATCCAAGAGTGCATTGATTGTCTCACAATGCGGACCAGGCAGTAACTGACTATATCTTTCGCCCAAGAACCTGGTGATGTCGAGGCTGTCGGTTATCTCGACAGATTGAGGACCAAGCAGTAAGGGCACCTTCGCCAAAAGTGTCTCATTAGTCCAGCTGCCACTATGCGTCGCAGGATTCGGCCCTTTCCCCTACCTGACCTTTCCAATTCTTCTCTAGATATTCCTCGTCGTTCTGGTGCCCAGCGTAAATGTCAATTTCTGTTTCGACGGGGTCAACTGCCAATGCTGGCGACTTTGGCTGTCCTTTCCAGCGGAGTGTCAAGAGGACCATGAGCGAGCATATCGAGAAAGAGTTGTAGTACAGTTTGTACTGGGCACTCGCAGTACCGTCTTGCTCCATCACGCCTGTCCTGCTCTCCCGGGGACATCAGAACAATGCGCGGAATTGAGTTTCATATGCAGTTCTTGAATTGATGAGTAAGAAAGACTGGACGTGATTGAGGCCTGTGATCGATGAGGCAGAGGCCCGCATGGATTTTTCGGCGGGACGTGTGGGAAGCCCATGCGACGAAGAACGAGTTTGGCGACGTGTAACTCACTTTACAAATCAGTCCTATGTATCCCCGAGACAAGCCGCTTTCTATTTGCTCTGAGCCTACACATTCTCCATTCACACCACCTAGCCGAGCCCGAGCGAAGACGGGGGGCAACATACACTTGGCACAGACGTCGAAGGGTCGATCTATCGCCATATCGAGAGGCAAACGTTCTCCTAGCAGACGGTAGTCCTACTTCTTTTGTCCTCACCAACGGAGGACTGAAAATGGCTTTTTGTGGGGGTTCCTCTTGACATTTATTTTGCCCAGTCCTATAGCACTCATCCTATGTTGATGTCATTCATTGTTTGGGCTCTCAAGGATATGCACACGGGCCTGAACCTTCTTTCATTCTGTCTGCCCGGAGACGAAGGCCTGGACTACGTCCGCAAACTTTCGTGAGATACCACTCGTTCCAAGTCGTCGAAGAGTCGACTCGAGTACACATAAAGTGCTAGCTTTCATTACCGCTGTGTTTGCGACGAGTATTGCCTTCAGATCCGCGATGGCCTGGTCCAGAATACCTGGCCGTGTCTCTATAACACTCCTGTTCTCTCGTAACAGCCGAATTTCCGGCAACGTCATCAGATATTCGGATGTCTTATCGGTCAACAGATGTGCATCCGATCCGACTGAGGCCGAACACCAAGGTAAGTAGAGCATATAACAATACCAACATAGAGCAGCCGAAAAGAGGATTCTGGCAGTGTGAACGGCATCTGCTGAGCCTACAGTTGTTGAGGCAACCATATTCTGAAGACACATGGCATGAAGGAGGCAACGTTTAGATTCTGGTGAGCAGATCCAGGTTCTAACATGATTTAATGTTGAAGCGTCGATATCGGTGCCTTGCCTGCCCACCGCCAGCTCCAGAGCGTTGAAATCTGTCGTAAGAACCATAAATGTATGGTGCCATAGCGGCCTTAAGCAGAATGGAAGCTCCGGTTGTCTTTGGCTTCGACATTCTTTTTTCTGGCAGCAATTCTGGGGTGAAGAATACCACATCAAAAGGTCGGCTTGAAACTCCGTTATACGTTCCGCAGAGAGTAATTTTAGGTGTCGAGATTCGCAAATAGTAGCGCCTATCCCAGAAAGTACCGCCCAAGAGTTCAGCATCGATAAGTGGTTTGTGTCTTCTCCGAGAGCTACGCTTGCTTGATCTTGCCAGCTCCTCCGCCACGTTCTGTACTTCATCGCCCATATTGTGGCGGTCGGTGCTTGAAAGAGCTCTGCGGGTGCAAGTGGTGGTAAGCGGCTTACATTGTGTCGGAAAGTCGGTTCGTGGTGGAAGAGAGCGGTAATTTCAGCATCCTGAATATGCAATATTACAACTGCGCTATCGACGATGTTAGTGACACAGTATCTAGGGCGAGCCCATATACGGGTTACCGTCTCATCTCTTCGCAACGAGCCCAACGTTTCCATACTCGTTCAAGATCATCTCCTAAGACCATCTCGTTGGGACCGAACTCGGGGGTTTCGGTAAAGAGGCTGACGGAACGGGCAAGCTGGTATTCACGATTAGCTTTAGATATTACGGAGGGCTAGAGAAGATACCGAAATCAGTGTCCCATGATAGGCATCGGCGATCGTACGGTGAGCAGGATCACCTGACAAGAGGGCAAAAGTCTGGCCAATTGCTGCTCCTCTGATATTATCACGCATCAGATGAGGGTGCTGTAAAAGTCGCCTTTCCCATGGAACAACGGCTCCAGTTCTAATGACGCGTTCAAAGAGCCTTGCCCCTATTCGTGTGGCAGCGTCAGATGTCATTGTCATTGCTCCTGCGGCGCATATCAACAGGACGAACATGGTGCTGCTCGCGCTCGGTCTGAAGGTTGGACCGTGTATGAGGGGTAACGCGACATTGAAGCGGGTGAAGAAAAAGTGAATGCAGAGGTTCTGCGACATTGGTTAGACAAGATATTTCCTGCCCCGGAGGGGAATATTATACCAGAAGATCAACCGATGGCAATGGTTCATTGGGTAGTGGTGTGCGAAGTTCTTCAACCATTTGCGTATGGTAATTCTCGTCAATATCGCTCCTCTCCGTGCTAACGGCTTGCACTTCTGTTTCTACTCCAATGTGACTCCGGACTTGGAGAAACCACATGCGTCGTAGATCGAGTACCGATGGAGGTCTATCACTCCCTCTGGTCGAAGACAAAGGTGCTGGTTTCAGGTGTGGTTGGCCGCTCAGTGGACGTGCTTCATACAATGAAGAACCCACATTCTCGATGTCGACAAAGTCCTCGTCTAGAAGCCAGTTTGTGGCGTCAAACTGAAGGAGCGGATCATTAAGAGCAAATCCATCTAGTACAGAGGACTCTATGCTTGTAAGTTGGTGGCCGGGGAAGGCGTCGAAACTTGCCCTTTGATCTGTGGATGATGACGGCACTGACATTTGGGCCAATTCGTCACCAAACCAATGTCCCAAAGGCTGCGACCCAGAGTCGGCGATTGAGACATTCGGGTTGATGATCATTTCATGTTGGAACCCCGCGAACGGAGGACGGACGACCATACTACCATCGTGATCATTTGGGGCGGTGGTGTCGACGACGGTGTCGGCAGGAGGCAAATTTGATCTCAAGGTCGGCTTGGGAGGCAGAGCTATACTCGACGCGTGTGCGGCCTGCTCCAAGGCTGCGGGTGGGGAGGCATCTGGGTGAGCTTCACTGATGGCGATCCTAGCAGCCCTTTGCTTGCCTCGTGTCACTTCGTGAGTCTTGAAATGGCGCAACAATGTGTCCCTTTGGTTTTTAGCTCCGTTGAATGACGAGGTCACTCCTTCGCAACGTACCGGCGAGGATAGAACTTCCCGCAGGTCCTGCAGCCATAGGGCTTTTCATTCGTATGGGAGCGGACATGACGGTCGTAGTGGTCGTTTTTCTTAAACTCTCGTGAGCAGTGCGGACACTGTCGTACCTTTTCGGGCGCCTGCAACAGAGGCCGCTGGATGCGGGAATCGTAAGTCGACTCATCAGGGACCGTACTGTATGACATGGGCTGCATCTTCTCCTGCACTACTTGTGCTGCGCTATCATGCAGGCCCAATGCACCTTGAAAACGTAGTGAACGAATGCACTGTACCACAAGACCCGAATTTTCCACTATTCCCCGCTAGCGGCCCCGCATGAAAAACCTGGGGAAATGTCGGCCTTGCGGGAGATGCGCCTTTGTTCTTCCCCAGTCCAATCGAGCGGGAAAGTGGTGGGAAAGGGCAGGAAAGGGATGGTCCTGCTGGCGGGACGACCAAGTTCACACACCAGGCGGACCATGAAGAGACCTTGCTCCTTCCATGCCTCGAATTTATGTTTCAAAAGGCCTGCGGGATTTGTCTTCGTGCTCTTCTCGTCCTTTCAGGCAACCCACTCACAACCAGATTGCAAAAGGAAAACCATGGCACAGGACAAAGAGGCCGACATGAAGCACGACAGCTTCGATCACTTCGAGCATGTCCCTAACGATCAACAGCAGGAGTCGGACGGCGGCACCACACATGTCGACACGCTCCCGACCATGGCTGTTCAAGCTCTGCGTGAGCAAAAAACCACGAGGACTATGGTTTTCTTTGCAGCCTGGATTGCCTTCGCTGGCTGGATTTGCAATTTCGACCAGGGCTACCAAGGAGCCGTTTTGATCATGCAGTCGTACGGAAGAGCCTTTGGGCATTGTACACAGATGCCCGATCCGGGTACCGGGGTCATGGTTGAAGTTTGCACGTTGTCCGCGACTCAACAGTCGCTGACCGGCGTGCAGACGCTTTTCTATGCCGCAGGAGCTGCGCTGGCAGGAGTAACGGGCACATGGCTTGGTCGAAGAGACAACATCCGATTAGCTTGTGCACTCTGCATCATCTCGGCCGCAGGTATGCTCGGCACTGGTGGCAGCTTCCTCCAATACATGGTTGTGAAATGTATCGGCGGGCTTGGGATCGGTCAACTTCAGGCCGTGGCTATCGTCTATGGCTGCGAATGCGTCGCTCCCAGGAAGCGTGGCCTTCTGCTCGCCATTTTCAACACTGGTCTGTCCGTTGGTAATGCATCGGCAGCCGCTGTCTGCGCCGGTTCCTCCAACTTTGCACCCACCAATGACTGGCAGTGGAAGACACCCATCGTCTGCCAAATCCCTCTCAATCTCATGTTGGCATTAGGCACGTTCCTATTCTGCGAGTCGCCAAGGTGGCTCTTGATCAAGGGGAGAGAAGATCAAGCTCGAATTTCTTTCGCAGCATTCCTACATGCCACACCATCCTCTGAGATTGTGAGCGCACAGATCCAAGACGTCAAATTCCATCTTGAACTTGAACGATCTATGGTGGCGACCGCCTCGTGGACCGAGATATATGGCAGGAAGAACATCCGCAGGACTCTCACGTCGACATTAGTCCTTGTCAGCATGGGGATTACCGGAATTCAGTTCGTCGGCTATTACACGGCCTTATTCTTATCGGGTGTAGGCGTCCACAATCCCTATCTCATCAACGTTACCATCGCGCTCTGTATCTTTGCTGGCACCATCCCTGGACCTTTAACTCCGGAATATTGTGGCAGGCGACTCTCGTTGTTGATTGGCTACATGTGTATGGGAAGTTTTATGTTAATCTTCTCGTCGGTGAGCACGGGCTTGGGGGCCGATAATTCTGTTGCGAAGAATGTCGTGGTGGTATTCTTGTGCCTATGGGCATTTACATTTGGAGCTTTTATCGGGCCCAATGTTTGGCTGTCCTCCACCGAAATGCATAGTGTTTCGCTTCGAACCTATGGCCAAGCCAGCACGACCGCGGTTTTCAACTTATTCAGCTTTGGAGCTACATTTTGGACGCCATATATGTTGAACCCTGATTATGGAAATATGGGAGTCAATGTTGGGTACTTCTATTTTGGAGTAACCTTCGTGATCACCCTGCTCATTTTCTGGTTTGTTCCGGAGACTGCGAGATTGACTCTGGAACAAGTGGACGACTACTTTGCAACGGGCCGTGCAGCTTGGAAGACTTCCTTGACTGGGAACAAACGACTGGCTACTGGGGTTCCCCTGGAAGTGGTTGTACATGAATGATGAAAAGCGGAAATAGCAAGATCTGCCCGAGATGTCTTGAGCTCCTGTAATCTAGCTCCAATTCCACAGGCTTTGATGTAGGCCTGGTCAGGCTGGGGTCTGACCCCTCTCGACCTGGCCAGCAGGTTTTAACTTATCTCTCGGTAGTTATCGCCTGAGCGCCAAAATCTGGCTACATACACAGTATCACCTCAACATACAATTTCTTGTAAGGTTCAAATTCTCGGCTCATGTACACTCAGGATAGGTGTCGCCGCGAGCTCTCTCCCATACGTTGAATATCACCGCTGATACACAAAATCTGAAATTCAGTTGACATAACCTCATCCGAAGTCTCCTCCTTAATTGTCCTGGTTTCTTAAGCTTTCCAGAGGACGCAATTTGAGTCTCCCATGAACGAGTAAAACAGTTTAAACTCTTTGAACCCGGCCCAGGTTTCCCTGGCGAAATGTCTTGTACTTGAGGTTAAGTGCTTAGGTACAACTTGGAACTGCACTCCCGTGCGATTGTTGTTGAGTCAAACCTTCGTTATATATATATATACTTTTCTGCGAGGATAGAAGGTCTCCTTTGCAACCAGCCATGACAAAGTGGGAGTCGACGTTTAGGTACACTTTCGATCTTCCAGGATCAGTATGGATACGGTATACCTGAATCCTTCCAAGTCTTCAACCAAGACTTTTTCCTGAGCCTGCTTTCTGTTCGCCCGATTGAAGTGAATTGAGGTGGCCTACACATAGACGATGAGTAGAAAAGCAGCTGTAAAGCAGATGTAGAGACTGTGACATGGGTGAAACCGAGTAGTGCTATACCAATGATCAAGATGAAGGCGTTAGCAACAAGGAAAGGGGCTTCGTAAGCGGAGACATTCAGAGAAATATGTTTTAGTCGTCCCCAAGACCACAGAAAAAGGCAAGTCCCTAAGAAAATGGCTCAAAATCAGTCCAAAGGTAGGAGAGAATGAAGGAAAGGCTCAGAGGAAGTCGCTCCACAATGGTGACGCACCGGAGTTCAAAGACATTGCCCAACGACCGTGCCATAGCCCAGCTCGTCCTTCAGGATGATGGAAAAGAAGTATTGTAACAAGGCAAAGTGGCTATGTTGTGCTGGCATAGGGGTGGTAGGTAGACGATTTGGCTAGTCACATGTCAGGACAAACGGGACTGGCATCATTTTGGCTGTGGACGAGAGGCTTCATGGTAGGAAGGAGCTATTGAGCATTCAAGCATCAAGGGGAAATGGCAACAGTTACAACAGTCACGGAATGGCTGTACTAGTATACTATTATTGTCAGTATACTCTTAACAGTTTACAGTGCTAGTCGTGTACCATCCTTTTCAGTTTAAATAGAGTACTCTATGGTTTTCTTGACGCCGCATACCTATTTCTGAGCATTCCTTTTGTTTTGTTTTTTCACTCCTCAACGCCGCTTAGCCGCTTCCTCTCTGTGGGTTGGTGTTGGTGGTGGCATTGGCGGTGGCGTTGTCTTGCCAGGACCAACCAGAAAGGCATTCTCGATTTGCGACCTGCCTGACAGGCCTCTGTGCATTGTTGCACGTGCATGCCAAACCCAGAAGTGCTTTGTGACAATATCGCTACCAGATGTCTGATTATAACGGTAAGATGACATAAGGCGTTGATATGGCCCAAGCCAGTCCAACTCAGTTCACACCTAGAAATCTTAACATCGTATCGATTACTACTTCAGCTGTCCATATTCATCTAATCAGTCACTAATTGAGAATGCCTGACGGAGCGCCTAACGAGAATCTCAAGAAGTTTGGCCACTGAGACGAGGACACAGTGTGGGAGGTTGCGCTAGAGGGCTGGAATAGATTGTCAAAGAAAATAATCAATAAATGGGTGGAGGAAATGCCTAGGAGGCTTCAAAGTGTGATCGATCTAGAAGGCCAGATGACAGCCTGCTAGATATTTCTGGTTCCTGATTATAGCTCTATATTTCTAGTCACAGTAGTAATTTCTGTGAGAGGTAGATGTGACCGGGATTGCCAAGAAATGAAAGCGTCACGTGTTTGGTCGGGACCTTACCCAGTTTAATCAATACGTGTTATGCAAGTACTGTAACACGGCTCGAAGGATCTGTGGCTTAGGGGCCTATCCTATTTAGGTGATACCGGAAGCACCTGTGATGCCTGACTCGCCGGTTTTAAAAGCGGCACGGTCGAGGAGAGTCCCAAAGTGAGCTTCCCTGCGCCGCTTTTACTCTGCTTGTGTTGCCAAGTCTAACTGCGCCAGTCTGCGCCAAGAACTCGTCGAGCGGCTGCTGGTGCCAACCAAACCTGCGGCTTGCCGGGGCTTGCTGGGCTTTGTGGGCTCTACCCAGTACGATCTCTGCTCAAGGTTCAAGGCCGCCTCTGGAGTTTGCACCACTTTGTCACCTCCCGCTCTTGTCGCCATTGTTTTTACTTCATCTCCTCTCCTAAAATTTTCGCCCTCGTCTCATCCGAGTCCAAGTCACCGTTCCGCTCTTCCTCTCCACCGTCTTCCCCTGCAAGTGATTACTCTCTCTCAAGTCGTGAGGCGTGTCTTTTAAACAAGATCTCGTGAGCGAAAGGCGTGGCACCTCTGCTCACTGTTCCCTTTTGTGCACGATAAAGATGGCAGAACCCGACGATGTCGAAGAAGACCTCTTCGCAGATCTGTAAGTCTCTTCTCTTCCTTGCCTCATCTCTTCTCAAAAATCTGCTGTGGTGTTTGTTGAGATTCGCGCAGAGCCTAATATGACCTTTGCAGCTATGAAGCGGATGAGAACCACGCCCCCAAAAAGAGTGCAGTTCCTGCTTCTGCACAGCCAGCCTCGAGCGACACAGTAATGAAAACAAGTGAGACGCCAGGCTACGGTGAAGAACCAGAGGTCGCCTTCGACGCTACTTCCTTCGATACAGAACCTCAGGGCCAGGATGAACCCACCAATGGCACTCATAGTCCAAAGCAAGCTCAAGAAACGCAAGAGAAGCCGCCGCAGGCCGAGGTCTACAACGTCAATATGAAAGAAGATGGGTGAGTATATGTTCTTCTCTACGTTCTCCTTGTTCCGCACCTCCCTCCTATTTTTGGCTGCTCTTGTAAGTCGGTTTTGTTGTGGACTCTAGTCTTGGGAAAGTAGGAAAGAGGTGGACCAACTGCGAAGATAATGTGGAGAAGAGGAAGCTGGGTCGTTCGTGGCGCAGTTGGCCGTGGCAGCCACCAGCACTGGGTGACGCAAAGGTGCGCGTGGTCTGAGAACTCTGCAAACAAACACGCGAATTGAAGGTGCTATACCGTTCATGGGTAAAAGACAACAAAGGAGGTCGATCGTGGCTGGAATGGATGGCTCTCATACATTTCTATGACGAACAACGGATCGGGTCTGCGATTGGTCAAGCAGCCCGCTACAACGGGCTACAGACCTTGCAATTTTCATTTTCAGGACAGGCTCGGATGAATTGCTGGCAACTGCTCCACCTCGGTTGGCTATCAAGTCGTGCTTGGACAGCTGCAGTTCGAGGCCCTTCGGTCTGATTAGGGAATTGGGAAGCCTCTCCAAATATTGAGCCGTGCGTCAGTGGCTGGTTACGTGGTGCATCAAACTAGCCGAGTCGATCTCATTGCCGAAAAAGTGGTCATTCAGCGAAGCCAGAATAGTGGGCAAGAAACTACTACCGTACAACAAGATACTTTTCCAGGCAGAGCAGAGTAACAAAGTCCAAACCCAGGCAGGAGATAGATGCTATGGAGTATCTGCTGAATCTCAAAGAGCCAACAAACCTTTGCCTCTGTCCGCTAGAAGAAAGTCGACTGCTTGCGCATATGGGGAAGAGAACGAGCGACTCAGAGGCCCGACGTCCTGTTATATCGTGTATGGGAATGGCCGCGTCCAACGAAAGGCGCAGCTTTCCTGCAAGGCTGCAAGGCTGCAAGCCGCTCGAGTGCCGAAGACTGAAGACCAGGGCTGGGAAGGTGTTGGTCAGGACGATCTTGGATCTGGACCGTGTCTGCTTCCTACAGGCGGCAAATTCATGCGAATAGTCTTGGCCTCCGTCCCATTCAGTCTGCAGTCTGTATTCAAGTTGACGGTGGACGCCCGCGATCATTACTCTACTGCAACAAGCCGCCATCACGATTGCCCACAACAAAGAAAACCCACACACCATGGAATGTACATCTAGAGCATGTCTTGCACGGTTGAATTCCCTCTTCCCCCAAACTTGCGGAGCTGGCCCTGCGAGCCCTCTACTACTGAGGAACGGAATAAAACCCATCTAGCTCGAGACGAGGCTGTTATTTCGGGGATTGGAGAACCACCACCTGCCAACGAACTTTTTCACGCCTCGACTTATCACTCAGTCTTTTGTTCTCACTCCCCCATGCCGCATCGTCGTCTTCATTCTTTTCGTTTGGTTTGCTTTCCATAGCTAACATAGCGATGTTTACAGAAAAATGTTCATAGGGGGACTTAATTGGGAAACAACCGATCGTAAGAATCGTCCCAGCTCCTCTCCCTCAATCGGAAATCTATCTGTCGCTGCATTAAGGCATCCGGGCACCGCACTAACCTCCATTGACAGAATCGCTTCATGATTACTTCTCACAATTCGGCGAAGTTCAAGAATGCACCGTCATGCGAGACAGCGCCACAGGCCGCTCTCGAGGCTTTGGATTTTTGACATTCAAGGACCCCAAGACAGTCAACACCGTGATGGTAAAGGAACATTTCTTGGATGGGAAAATTGTAAGACCTACCCATTTCGATACATCCCGGGAGACACAGGAAAAACTTGGTTCCCTTTCTCGAAAATATTTGGTCCCCCGAAAGAACGAAGGCTTACTGAGGTGTGCCCAGATCGACCCCAAGCGAGCGATCCCCCGAGACGAACAGGAAAAGACAGCCAAGATATTCGTGGGCGGAGTCAGTCAAGATGCCACCGAAGAAGATTTTGAGGGCTTTTTTGCTCAGTTTGGGCGGGTCATCGATGCCACCCTCATGATGGACAAAGACACCGGCCGACCGCGAGGCTTTGGATTCGTGACCTTTGACAGTGACGCTGCCGTAGAGAAATGCCTGCAGTACCACCCGCTCGAGATTCTGGGGAAGCCTATCGAGGTCAAGCGCGCACAACCAAGAGGCAAGATGGGTGAAGATGACGATTACGGTCGTGGTCGTGGGAGAGGCAAGTTCGGGCGCGACGACCGCTTTAGTACTGACACCACCCAAGCTCCGCAAAACCCCCAGGCTCAAACTCCAAGCATGATGGCCGGCACCACTGGGATGACCCCTCAGATGATGGCGCAATATTGGCAAAGAATGCAGCAATACTTTGCAATGATGCAGCAGCAGATGGCGGCCAACATGATGGGCGGCATGGGCGGCATGGGCGGCATGGGCAATATGGGCATGAATCCCCAGATGATGGCGCAAATGCAAATGCAGCAACAGCTGCAGAAAATGCAAGGTGCAAATAGCCCTAATGCTCAGAACGTCGGCGGCATGCAAGGCATAACTCCTCAAATGATGCAACAGATGATGCAGATGCAACAGGGTGGGATGAACATGGGGGCAAATCGACCACCGATGGGCCCCGCCAGTGTGGCAGGAGGGCCGCGAGCCGGCTTTTCGGCACAAGAGCAGTTGGCATTTGAACAACAAAAGTACGAACAGCAGCAACAGGTACGTCGTCAGGGCGGCTTTCCGCAAGGTCCTCGCGGCGGCGGCTTTCAAGGCCAGGGGCAAAGCGGGCCACAGTCGTGGGAAGGAATGTACGACGACGTTCCCCAGCCAGAAGGAAATGTCGGTGGCAGAGGCTCAGCCGGGCCGGTTCGCCAACACACGCCAAAACCGCCCAAGGGTCCCGGTGGTGCCTCTCCAGTGAGCGCAGCTCCGGCCAATGCGCCCACTGGGCCCAAGAATGCCGGCAAGCCAGGAGCAAATTTCAGAGGAGGTAGAGGCCGATACCATCCATATGGAAGGTGAAGAATCTCCAACGTCGAATTGCGGAGGGACGCGGGGGTTGGTTTCGATGGGGGGTAGGTGTGATGCTTTTGCGTTTTGAGGGCGATCTCGACAGGCAAAGGGCTAGCGGGCGATCAAATATTGTGCATCGGCACCACAGCGAAAATGTGGCCAAAGGTTCACAAAAGTTGAAGGCAGTGGCTGCTAAGCTCTCATTACTCAGCAAGGGACGAGTTGATGCGACATGTGCCTATGGGAAGTTGGGATGCTCAATATACCAGTAGAAAACAGAGAAGCCCACTGCATTTTGCACCCCGATGACGATCTCATGCTTGGATTGGAGATAAAAACAACGAGAATTCAATAGCTAGCGATGTACGGAGTCTTCTCACCGCGAGATCGGCTATTGAGCAATTTCTCTCATCCATAGGGCTTCTCCTTGACGGAAACTGGGTCGGAAGTCTCCCACTGTGCCTAGCTATTATGTAGAGTCTTCTCGGCACCTAGACGAGGCTATGAGACCGTCTTTTTGGCAGGTTAGTTAGTGACCGCGTCTATTAATAGGAACCTCACTATTTCTCACAAGCTTCTCCTAAGTCGACGGGGAGACCCGTCAAGCCGTTCCGATTCATCTTTGAATACTCCGTCCTCTCACGCAGCACCGAGTACATGGGGTAGTTGAACATGGTCCGCGACAATGGAATTCCCCTGGATCGTCCTTATGTACTTGTATTCGCCTGGATGAAACTAGCCAAAGTCTCTTCAAGACATTATTTGTGGGTGCCTTGCATTTCGAATAAGATGCTGACAGGGAAGGACGGCAATGCAGGTACGGGGAGCGAAGGCCAGTCGAAAGGATTTCGGTGAGGCGCAGTCATGGCCCAAGCGGGTTGTCTTGACTCTCGAACTGTGAGGTCAATGGAACCACAAATGCTGCGCCTCATCGACAGCTCCCAACGTTCCAAGGCTCCACTGATGTGCTGAAGGTGTTCCCCGTTTTTTTTTTGGGTCCCTTGTCCTTTTTCGAGTCTTCCGGCAGTCGGTCTCCATAATGGTCCAGTGATGCAATATGGGGAGGAATAGGAGAGAGGAGCGGGAGAGTGAGGACGTTCAGACTCGCTGGTCGATGGTCGTGAGTACTGAGGTGCGTCTGTGAAGATTCGAAACGCGGTACAGTACCCAGTACAGAGGTACTTGCTCGGTACCTACGTGGTATCCAGTACCCAGTACGGAGAACAGGGACAGTCAGCCGAGGGCGACGTACAAGTACGAGTAAGGTCATTGTTCAGTGTCATTGGAAGGCACCGCTCTGAAGGGGGGCGCCCAAGCCACCACATGGGTGGCATAGGCACCACTAACTGTTCACTAACAGCTTAGCACGGTCCTCTCCATGCCGAACAACTCTTTCCCCAAGCTGCCCGGGTGGTATTCTGGCGGCAATGCCACCCCCCCCAAGAATCCCCCCAATCCATTTAAAGGTCCAAGTAGCTAAGTATTGGCGAGCATGGCTCCATCGATCGAGCACCACTTATACACCGTCAAAGTTTTTCCCAAAGACGCCACTGACCCAAACCCACCCCCTTCCAGACCAGTGGGCTACCACCCCCGGCTATTATCGATTCAACCATTTCACCTACCCAGTACAGTCCCTAGACAGGCGCTGTCGTCGTCCTCCGAGTGCCCAGAGCCCACAGCGCACCAGCCTGAAACGGCGCCTTCAAGCGGCCCAAACCCTGGACCCTGGCCAACCATACCCTGTGCTGAACATGAGCCATATCTTTCTCTCGCATCGCATGCGTCGAGACACCCAGCCGAAAATCCATTTCTTTCGTTTTTTTCCCACTTGTATGAAACTGTTCAATCGTTCCTGCTCCAAACTCTCGCTTCTTCTATCACGCTCGCTCTTGGCCTTTTGCATGTCGTTGCTTTCCCACCGTCGTTCGCTGTTCCATTCTTCCGCCTTCACGCTCCTGACGAACACCCACTCTTCCTCTCCCTGACAGACGCCTCCGATCCTAACTTCTGTCAAGATCTTGAATATACGTTTTTTCTTTTTGTTTTTGGAAAGAGATATTGGAAAAAGGGAGTTGCACCGGTGCCGTCTGACGGCCACTCGACCATTGTTTGGGCACAACATATTCGGGCGCCATCATGTGGAGGCTGTCGACAGTGGCATTGGCCTCTCTGGCCCTTCTTCCATCTGTGCTGGGAACAGATATCTTAAAAACCAATGGCTTCTCCGATTGCAACAATGGGACGTCGACAATCAAGGTCAATAATGTGGACATCTCCTTTGACCGGTCAACGAACAAGGTCAACTTTGATGTCTCAGGTTCCAGCACAAAACAACAGTTTGTCACGGCCGAGCTGATTGTGACCGCCTATGGCATTAACGTGTACAATAACTCTTTTGACCCCTGTGCCGTTGACACCAAAGTCGATCAGTTGTGTCCTGGTACGTGAAAACGATGCTATTGCTGCACGTCAATTGGAAAAGATACTAATGCTCGCCCAGTACCCGCGGGGACATTTGCGGCCAACGGATCGCAAGTCATTCCTTCAGAGTACACCTCGCTCATTCCTTCCATCGCCTATTCTCTCCCGGACCTCGATGGCACCGCTCAGATGGTCCTCAAGGCCAAAGACGGGCAAGAGCTGGCTTGCATTCAATCTGGTGTTTCTAATGGCAAGACCACGGATGTACCCGCCGTCTCGTACGTCGCCGCGGCCATTGCTGCCGGTGCTTTGGCCGTTTCACTGATCGGCGCGGCTGCCTCTGGGGCGCATCCCGGCACAACTTCATCCAGTCCTGGCTTTTTTGAGGTCATGTGGTGGTTCCAGGGGATGGCAATGAACGGCATGCACTCGGTCAACTATCCCGGGGTGTACCGCAGCTTTGCAAAGAACTTTGCTTTCAGCACTGGTCTCATCTCCTGGGGTGGGCTGCAGAACTCAATCGACTCCTTTCGAGCACACACTGGAGGCAATTTGACCGATAACAGCTATGATTACCTGAGAAACGCCACTCTGGTCTTCCCTGATGGCTCTACCACGTCAACAACGACCGGCATCGCAAAGCGATCAGTTGCATTGGCGCTTCGTCAAATAACCACTTCCGTGAACGATACCAGCGCGGACTCCGGCGAGAGCAATTCCAAGGAATCACACCTGGTCAAGGGAATTCAGGGATATGTTGAGCAGCTCACGATTCCCGAGGCCAACACGTTCATGACGGTTCTCCTGATCTTTGTAATTGTGATTGCTGCCATTGTGGTTGGCATTCTTCTTTTCAAGGTCATTCTCGAGGCATGGTCACTTTTCGGCAGATTCCCCCAGTCTCTGGCCACTTTCCGCAAGGAATATTGGCGTATCATGGCTCAGACCATCACCAACTTGGTTTTCCTGCTGTACGGCGTCTGGACCCTGTATTGCATATACCAGTTCACCCATGGTGACTCGTGGGCGGCAAAGCTTCTTGCGGGTCTCACTTTGGGCACGTTTACGGCCCTCCTGGCATTCTACACCTGGAAGATCTGGAGCGTGGTCCGAAAATTAAAGAAAATTGAAGGCGACGCAAGTGCCTTGTTCGAAAACAAGGAAACATGGAAGAAGTACAAGCTTTTCTACGAAAACTACAAGAAGGGATACTGGTGGCTCTTTGTCCCAGCCATTGTCTACATGTTTGCCAAAGGCTGTGTTCTGGCTGCGGGTGATGGGCACGGCTTGTTTCAAACCATTGGCCAATTGGCCATCGAAGCTCTCATGCTCATTCTGCTCCTATGGAATCGGCCGTACCAGCGCAAGTCGGGAAACTGGATCAACATCATCATTCAGGTCGTCCGTGTCATGTCGGTGGTTTGTATCTTGATTTTTGTGGAAGAGCTTGGAATCGCGCAAACCACCAAAACCATCACCGGCGTCGTCTTGATTGTGATGCAGTCTGCTCTGACCGCCATCCTTGCATTCCTGATTGTCATCAATAGCATCATCACCTGCTGCCGAGAGAATCCTCATCGGAAACGCCGCAAGGCTGCACAGAAGAACATTTCCCAGGACCTCGAAGGCGATGCTTTCCTCATGCAGCCAAAGCCATACAATGGTTCCCCTGCCCGTCACAGTCGCATGATGTCCGAGTCTGGACAAAGCTATGAACCCATACGCGCTCATGCTTACTCGCGTTTCGGACCCCGAGGAGATGAAAGCGAAGAGACATTGGTCAAGGGGGCCGCACGTATGGGGGCAAGCAGCTACCGCAGCGTAAGCCAAGGGAGGAGCGACCACAATGGAAGTCCTCCTCCTTTCTCGCGGGAACCGAGACTCCCTGATCTTGCCTTTGAACAATATCGTCACAAATAAAGGGGGGAAATGAGGTGCGAGGATGTCTGCTCTACAATTTAGTCCGGCGTACTGTTTCATACCGGGGGTGATTTCCAAAAGCATAGCGTGGGTCGAACATTGGACACGACACGAATCAATTTTGGCATTGAAATGCCATGATGATATTTTTAGATAGATATATCGAATTAATACTACAGATTGCATATACTCGCCAACCGGTCTAGTGCTCATATATGTGTCCTCAGACAGCTCAACCTCACTGGTCAAGAGACAACATTGTGGTGAGGTTCGAAGCGCATCCAACTTCAACGTGTTCGGCCAGGATGCTGTGTAAAGAGTGAAACCGTTGGCGGGATCCTTCTACGTTCAGCCTTGTCAGCCCTTCGCAAGGCTGTGCCCATCCAGGTTCGGTACAAACCATTCACCTTTATATACCTATTGTCCTCAATCCCTGTCACACAAAGACCCCCTACCACGACCAGGGCGATTCCCGAGTCCGAATGCACCACGATTCCTCCACCCAGTCCAGGCCCCGTCAGGTCAAACTAACACCGGGTTAGCAGGCACCAGGACCTCGATTCGGACTGAACCGACGACAAAATAATCTGGGCCTCGTCTGGACAAACTAACAATAACGGGTTAGCAGGCGGCAGCACCCTGATTCGACTCCCACACCAATCGAAATTTCAACTGTATAGAAATTTGTAGTATGACCAGCCGAGAAAAACCAACCCCGAAAGGGGACGCGTTTCACTTAATCACAGACCAGAGGTTGACTGTTCTGTGTTTTAAGTTTTTGCACTGTTTTGACGCCAGATCTCAATCACATGGTTATAGTACCCGGTATAATGGCCAATATTGTCAAATGTTTCAGGAAGGCGGGACACCCAGTCGGCATGGAGCTGGGGTCTTCAATGCATTATACGCCGTTTTGAGATCCATAAGACGCCTGCCACAGTGTTATATGGAGGCGGGCTCACGGTTGGGAGTCGGGTCGTGAGCACTGAAACGGGCACGGGGAAACGTGGAGTTGTGCCTCAGCCAAGTTTATTCAAGTACAGCCAAGTATGGCGCGTCTCCTCTGCTTCTTTACAACACCAATGCATCCTTCATTAAGGCCTTCGGAGTCTCATGAGAATTGATTTGACTGCAAACTTGAGTATAGGGCGCCTCAAACAGAGCTGAGGGCGAATATGACCGTGATCAGCCGGCTGCACGCCCTGTTCTCTGGGACGGCATGGCAAGAGTCACAGAGACCGAAACAGAAAATTGATCCTGCTTCTTTGTGACAAGCAGATTGGCCAGCTGAACTTCCATTAGTCAAGATGTTGACTTGGACAAAGGAAGAAGATGTTCGCGGCGCCCTTATCGAAATCGACCTTCGTCAAATGTTTGGGAGAGAAAGAGAAATCAAAGAATGTGGTCGACTGGCAGGCAACAAGGAAGTCGAATTCGATCGCCATGCTGACCTTTTGTGTCTCACGCGCCCGATCTGGATGCCCGAGAAGCGAGTATATCTCCTGAACTCCAGCGAAACATTGAGAGTCGAGCAATCACATTCATTGCTACCAAGTCCTTCGAACTCGACCCAAGAACTTACGACTATGAGCTCATCGACGACCGGCATACGCAGTAGCTATCGGGTCAAAACTCTTCGTCTTGCCAGAATATTTTATTCACAATGCACCTCCCTCGGGAGAAATCCGATCCCGGCTGAACAACGTCTTCAACCACGAAATATCCGAAGAAAGGAAGACTGAGATATTTGGCCTAGCGGTGAATATACCCGAAAGCTTCCGCAGAGCCCTTCGAGTGAATGCGAGAGAAGATGACTTAGTAGAGCCGATAATTCAGGCTCTCGAAAGAATGAATAAGGACAATGTCTTGGCGGTTCGGAGAAAGGCTGGTAAGGTTCTCCCTTGGGCCTGGCGTGTTCATCATGGAGTGCTAATCTGAACTCTAGACTTCGTCGCGACTCTAAAGCCTGATTTTCAGCCAAATGCACCAGGTCTGGGACTTCGACGCCATGCCAATGGTGAGGCAGATGGTGCCGTCGATCAGCCTGGCAAGCGACAAAAGGCAAGCGACGGGCTTCCTCTCCCCCAAGTCAAATCATCTTCTTTGGCTTTAGCTACAACTCCATCCAAGGGCAAACCACCCTGCACTCTCAAGACTTCTCGTCCTGATATGACGATCGGTCTTGACGACTCGACGATACATAACTCATTGTGGAAGCGGAGGGCGAGCAAGTCTAAGGCGTCGGACTTCCTTGAAGCCTTGCAAGACGATGGGCATACTTCTCTCCGACCCCCGCGCAGAGCGACCTAAAAGTCCGCTTCCCAATTCTATTGCTTGAAGGTCAAGGGTTTGCTACGGGAACGCGTATTTACACGGCAGAGAATCAAGCCGCTGTAGCCGGAAGCTGCACGGTCAATCTTCTCCAACAACCAACCGACCTCTACAATGAGACCGTCCCCGATGGAGAACCCAAGAAGATGGGACCTCTCGCCTTTTCCATATGCACGCAGGGACCCTCGATCGAATTTTGTGTCCACTACTCGGTGGAGGAAGAGGACATTACCCACTGCCACATGAACCTCTTGATGGCAGTTCACGCATCCTTTCCCAACGAGGTACGCAAGTTCCTTCTCATGGTGGAAAAGTTATTCAGCTGGTACAAGAACGAGTTTTTGGACGAGTTTGCGGATCAGCTGGTCGCTCTACACTGTCGTATTACTCGTTGACCCCCCCCCC